AGATAAAAAAATAATTTTTCTTTCTTTAAAGAAAATAAATATTCCTCACAAAGAAAAAAAAATATTTCGAGAGAAAAATAAAGAAACTTTATTTTATTTTCATCATCATCAATAAAAAAAAAGCAAAAATCACCCAACGATAATCGTACAGTTTTGTCATTAAATTCTCCTCCTTCCCCGCCCCCCTTAAATTTTTTGCACCGCAGCGAAAATTCTTAAAACATTTTTAGCCTATATTTAGAGAGAAGATTAAAAAAAAAAAAAAGAAAAATCAATCTAAAATAAATTATACCGAAGATTTCGACTTCACACCTATCACCACCGTCGCTTTTTAAGAGATCTAAAGGCTCGTATCGATTTAGGGTAATTTGATGCCAATTCCATAAATCAGTGCGGAATAAAAAAAAAACGCGCAGGTTTTGAGAACTGTAAATAGTTAGTCTTAGGGCGAGGTGTTATAATAAACAAACAATAAAGGCGGGTAATATGAGATTATTTCAATAAATATAAACGAGACGCATGCATATCCCCTAATCACCAAGTCGTCGAATGATCAAATAGTCGAATGCCAAGTAATCGAATGGACAAAACGTCGAATGCTAAAAACATCGAATCGTCATTTAGTCGAATGATAAAAACATCGAATCGGCATTTAGTCGTATGTTCAAAACGTCGAATGATTAAAACGTCGAATGCTAAAAACGTCGAATCGTCAATACGACGAATGTTCAAAACGTCGAATTATCAATTCGTCGAATGTTAAAAACATCGAATTGTCAATACGTCGAATGTTCAAAACGTCGAATGATAAAAACGTCGAATGCTAAAAACATCGAAGCGTCATGTAGTCGAATGCTAAAAATATCGAATCTTCACTTAATCGAATGCTAAAAACATCGAATTCTCAATTCGTCGAATGTTCAAAACGTCGAATGTTTAAAACGTCGAATGCTAAAAACGTCGAATGTTCAAAATGTCGAATGCTCAAAACATCGAATGATAAAAACGTCGAATGCTAAAAACTTCGAATCGTCATTTAGTCGAATGATAAAAACATCGAATCGTCAATACTTCGAATGCTAAAAACATCGAATTGTTAATTCATCGAATGCTTAAATCATCGAATTTTTCATTCGTCGAATGTTCAAAACGTCGAATGATCAAAACGTCGAATGCTAAAAATGTCGAATTCTCAAATCGTCGAATGCTCAAATAATCGAAACGCCATCTGTTCGAAATGTCAAGTAGTAGAATGGTAAAGTAGTCGAATGGTAAAGTAGTCGAAACGCCATCTGTTCGAATTGCCAAGTAGTAGAATGGTAAAGTAGTCGAATGTTCAAAACGTCGAATGATAAAAATGTCGAATGCTCAGAACATCGAACTGTTAATTCGTCGAATGCTCAAAACGTCGAATGATAAAAACGTCGAATGCTAAAAACATCGAATCGTCAAAAGTTCGAAAAAGTTCTTTGTTTTAAGTTAATGTCTACTGAAGACAAAGAACTTTTTCGAACTTTTGACGATTCGATGTTTTTAGCATTCGACGTTTTTATCATTCGACGTTTTGAGCATTCGATGAATTAACAGTTCGATGTTCTGAGCATTCGACATTTTTATCATTCGACGTTTTGAACATTCGACTACTTTACCATTCTACTACTTGGCAATTCGAACAGATGGCGTTTCGACTACTTTACCATTCGACTACTTTACCATTCTACTACTTGACATTTCGAACAGATGGCGTTTCGATTATTTGAGCATTCGACGATTTGAGAATTCGACGTTTTTAGCATTCGACGTTTTGATCATTCGACGTTTTGAACATTCGACGAATGAAAAATTCGATGATTTAAGCATTCGATGAATTAACAATTCGATGTTTTTAGCATTCGAAGTATTGACGATTCGATGTTTTTATCATTCGACTAAATGACGATTCGAAGTTTTTAGCATTCGACGTTTTTATCATTCGACGTTTTGAGCATTCGACATTTTGAACATTCGACGTTTTTAGCATTCGACGTTTTAAACATTCGACGTTTTGAACATTCGACGAATTGAGAATTCGATGTTTTTAGCATTCGATTAACTGAAGATTCGATATTTTTAGCATTCGACTACATGACGATTCGTTGTTTTTAGCATTCGACGTTTTTATCATTCGACGTTTTGAACATTCGACGTATTGACAATTCGATGTTTTTAACATTCGACGAATTGATAATTCGACTTTTTGAACATTCGTCGTATTGACGATTCGACGTTTTTAGCATTCGACGTTTTAATCATTCGACGTTTTGAACATTCGACTAAATGCCGATTCGATGTTTTTATCATTCGACTAAATGACGATTCGATGTTTTTAGCATTCGACGTTTTGTCCATTCGATTACTTGGCATTCGACTATTTGATCATTCGACGACTTGGCGATTAGGGGATATGCATGCGTCTCATATAAACTTCTCGCCAACAGTTCAAATTTTCGTTTAATTCTCCTTTTTGTGAATTTTTAATAAATCAATTTTTTAAATATTCCAAAAAGTGTTAAAAAAAAAGAAATTTTCTTTTTTTCCAATTTCTAAAAGTGGAAAAAGAAAATATTTCGTATTTTCTTTTTTTTTATTTCGAAACTGAAAAAAGGAAAATATTTCGTATTTTCTTTTTTTATTACAAAAGTGAAAAAAGGAAGAAAAATTTTTTCGTATTTTCTCTTTTTTATTTCAAAATAGTGAAAAAAGAAAGGAATTTTCGTATTTTCGCTTTTTTATTCCAAAGATTAGAAAAGAAAAAAAAACGAAAATTTTCGTATTTTCCTTTTTTAAATTTCCAAAAAGTGGAAAAAAGGAGAATTTTCGTCTGCTATATGAAATCGCCACTTGAATAAAAAATATTGTAAGTAACATGGAAACAAATGACTGCCTTTGTCCCCTTGTTGCTTAATTTATTATTTTTCCAATTTCTAAAAGTGGGAAAAGAAAAAATATTTTCTATTTTATTTTTTTTTACCACTGGAAAAATATTATTTACCATCGAAAATCGTTAAAAAAACGTTAAATTCAACAAAAAAAAAAAAAAACACGCCAGACACGTTATTCTTTTTACGAGAATTTTTCTTCTCCAAAAATATTTCCCCGCGGAATTTTGAGATTGCTCAATGTAATTTGTTAATCGAAAAATCTATTACGTGAGTTTGAAAATTTTCTCCATCTCACTCACTTTCCTGTAAATATAAATAAATAAAAAAAAACTAAACTCTAATTTTCCTACCACCAGTTCTAGGTTTAATTGAATAATTTTTCAACTTCACTTTTTTTCCCCTCTCTAAAGGAAAATTTTTTTCTAAACAAAAATATTTTCCTTTAAAGAAAAATGTATTTCTAAAAAAAAAATTTTTCCCCAATAATTTTGTAAATATTAATTTTATTTTTCCTTCATAAAGAAAAAGGAAGTTGAAGATAAAAAGACAATTTAAAAGAATAAAGTGTCAAACGGCTCAAATTTTTTTTAACTCAATTTTCTTCATTTCGAAAAATGAAACCAAAAAATTCTCAATTAAACCTGCTGGAATATTTCGAATTTCTGTCTAAAACAGAAAAAAAACTACGAAATATTGTATAAATCACAATTTGTACTATTTTGCAATAATATGTAATTTCTTGTGTATAAATTTCATCGTCTATTTGTTATAACTATTGCGGAATAAAATGTAAGGAAATATTTGCCAAAAAAAAAATTTAAGCTAATTATCAACGAAACAATTATAATAAAACGAGTGAAAGCAAATTTTCCAAATAATCACAAACACACACACACACACACACACGAAAAAAACGAGCGAAAATGTTATATAAAAGTGAGTAAGAGTATAAACTACGGAGTGAAATCCAAAAAAACAAATGAGAAATTGTGTTCTGATCGTGAATACGTAATAAAAAAAATTATTTTGTCAGTGTCTCATATTACCCGACAGAAAAAAAATTCGAAAATATCATGTTTTGCAGGGTGTTACAGTCTTCTTTTATTTCTAGTCCCAACACCAATTAAAAAAAAAAAAAAATAATAAACTAAATAATAAGAAAACTACAGAAATTCAAATATGAAAATTCAATGCCGGAGGGGATGAAATAAAAAAAAAATAATGAACCTCGTAGTTTTTCGAATTCTAGTATTGTAATTTTCGTAGGAGATTTTATCAACTTAAGTAAAAAAAAAGAAGCTCGCCGAGAAAATTGTTTGTTTTTAAAAGAGAAAAAAAAATGAGAAAAAAAAATAATACGTTTGAAGCAGACAAGCATATCTCAGAACGTCCAGTGCATTACCTTGTCGTAGGACTGACAGTAAAAATATTTTTGTTATTTGTATAACGTTGCAAAATCCTTGGACTGGAAACGGGAAACCATCCTTGGATTTTATTTTTATTTCAAATACGAAATATATAATATAGTTGAAAAGAATCGAAAAATTATTATAATTATCGTAAAACCTTTACAAAAAAGTCCATATTTTAATTTTATTTCTATTTCATTCAATTTTTTTTTTTATTGAAAATAAAAATAATATTAGAAGTAGATAATAGTATTGCAATTTCTTTTTCAAATTAAAAATTAAATTTAATGAATGAAAAGATTTTTCTCGAGAGGAAATTTTCCAAACTAGAATTTCAATTTTTTCGCATTTCGTAAATATAGAGGAAAACAACAAGGACGTAGTTTTTTAAATAAATTTCGTTTTCCATTTCTTCAATTAGGTAAGTAGTTGTCAACTAATTTTATTGTTTTCTATTCTTGGAAAAAAAATTAAAATATTAAAAAATAGAATTAAAAAATATAGAAAATAAAATAGAAAGTAAAATAGAAAAAAAAAAATAAAATGAAAACAAAATTAACAAAATAAAAAATGGAATTAATAAAGTAAGAAACAAAATTAATAAAGTAGAAAATAAAATTAATACTTACAATAAAAAACTACAATAATGAAAGAAGTGTATAAATATTACCTATAATGCAAAGAAATGATAATGGAAAGCACGTGCTCCTGCTACGAAGAACAGTATGCATTGTCCAAACAGAATAGAATATCATTGTTGAAAACACTATATTAACAATAAAATACTTCTTCCTCTTCTTCTTCTTAAATGACTTTAGACACTGCCAACTGTCAGAACAATTCAATAAAACACTTCGATGATAAAAATTTTACGACATTTTCGAAATGAGCTTGACTTGGCGCGTTGTCTCTCTCTTGAGCATGGAATACACAATTGAGAAGGTAGACTAGCAATGCAAAGAGCAAAGACGCCATGTTAGTTCACACTTTACCCACCAGATATCGCTCTAATTAAATTATTTTCATTATTTATTTATACAATTTCCTTTTACCTTTTACATTAAAAATATTGTTTTAAATGTTTTAATAGTAATTTTATATAAAAACATAATTTTCATTTTAGCTATATATATGCTTTCCTTCCGGTTTGGACAACTTTTTGAAAAGTGAATCGTGAATTTTTAAAATCAATCACAGCGCTCTAAAAGGTGGTCATTACTAAAAGTATTATTCGCCTCCACCACCTATTACCACTACTATCAGAAATTTCATTAAGTTTATAAAAAAACATCTGTTTATTGTCAACAAATCCTGTTATTGGTTTCATTTTTATGTGAAGTCTCATTGGTTGAAATAGTGTAAATAAAAGTTAAAAAACTCGTTTATTAATTTATTTGCGGCTCTCTTTCTCTATTCTCTATATAGTAGTAACCACGTAGTAACTATAAGCTATTAGACAGTATTATAACCTTACTTTTTAAACAACGCAACAAACAGTAACTGTGAACACCAATAATTAATTCAATTTTAACATTTGTTTGTTGTGTATTTTACTATATATTTTTTTGTTAAAAATATCTATTAAAGAAGAATTAATTTTTTAAAGCTTGTCACCTTAATTAATAAACGTTTAAACATTAATTACATCTTAATTTTTAACTAAATAGATACCGGTCACACGTATAGTCAACAGGAATTTTGTATTCCTATAAATATTTCTTGCCGGTAAGGTTAATTACGCTATCCATGCTAAGTGAAATTGCTGTGCGAGTTGATTTTTCTTTTCGATCAAATTTTATCAATCAAAAAATATGGGACAGCATGTTTCGCGAACCGATTTTGAATGGGTTTACACAGAGGAACCACACGCAAGTCGTCGAAAATTAATTCTAGGTAAAGTAATCATTTCTTATCTTTATTGACTACTAAAGATTATTCAAAGATATAATTTTATCAAACTGTTTCCACGAACGTTTCCGCATTTTTCTTTCCTTTTTATTAATTTCTGACATTTTTTCTTCCTCATAGAGGAAGTATTTTTTTATTTCTTTATCATTTCTGAAGTAATAATTCTACAACTATATTAGCAATAAAAAAATTAATTTATTAATTATAAATAATTTTTGTTACAGAGAAATATCCTCAAATTAAAAAGTTGTTTGGCTATGATCCCAATTTTAAATGGGTAGTCACAGGAATGGTTTTAGTGCAATTTGTTTCAATGTTTATAGTAAAGGATTTAAGCTATCCCATGTTATTTTTAATGGCATATTGCTTTGGCGGAGTCATTAATCATTCGTTAATGCTGGGTAATTTATATGCAAAATGCAAATTAAATAAAATTTTATTATTATTAATACAAATTTTTTTTTAGCTGTTCATGAAATTGCGCACAATCTTGCCTTTGGTCACGCGAGACCTATGGCCAATAAACTATTTGGTTTTTTCGCTAACTTGCCCATTGGAATTCCAATTTCTATTAGTTTTAAAAAATATCATCTGGAACACCACCGTGTATGTATATTAATGTAATATGAACTAAATAATATATCGCAAGCTTCGCACTCATCTACTAAAACCAAATATTTACTACTTTTTTTACGTTAGGCTACTATTTGGGTACTTTTTTTTAGATTTTAGCTACTAAAAGCTACTATTTCTGTTTTTTTTTATAATTTCCACTACTTTAAATTCGCTAATACTAGAATTCAAAAAACTATTCTCAAAAATTATAATCAAATTCTTTAAAACGATTCAATTATTTTCAAAAAATATTCGAAATTCAATTATTTTCAATATTTCTATTTTCATAAAACTTCGCAAAAGAATTCAATAGTTAAAAAAATTTTTTGATAAAATTCTAATCAAGAATTGAATTATTTTCATAAATAATAAAACTCATAGAAGAATTTCAATTATTTTTAATACTATGTATTTTAAATTAACTATTCGAAAAATTCAATTATAATCACAAATAAAGTTTTCCACGAGAATTCAATTATTTAAAATAAAATTTTCATAATATTTATTATGTTTAGAAAAAAATTAATTATTTAAAACAATGTTTATAAAATTCTTATGAAAAATTTAATTATTTTTAAAAATAACAAAATTTTTCACAGAAATTCAATTCTTTTTAAACATTTTAATAAAATTTTTCCAAATAATTCAATTGTTTTCATAAAAAATAAAATTCTTTTCAGGAATTCAATTATTTTTGAAAATTTTAATAACATTCATAGCAACTATTCAATTATTTTCATAAATAATAAAATTCATTGCAGGATTTAAATTCTTTTTAATACAATTTTACATGAATTGCTTAAAATATGTAATTAAAAATGTAATTTCAATTCCTGGAAAAAGTTAATTATTTTATTTAAAAAAATATTTTTTTTAATTCTTTGGAAGAATTCAATTATTATTTAAAAAAAATATTCAAATTTTTCACAGGAATTCAATTATTTTTAAATACTTTAATAAAATTGTTCGAAAGTAATCAATTATGTTAAATACAATTTTTATTAAATTTCTTTTAAATAATTCAATTATTATTTTAGATTTGAATAAAATTCTTCACAAGAATTAAATTATTTACATAAATGATTCTTAGAAAGAATACAATTATTTTGAGGCATTTTAATAAAATTCTTTGCAAAATTCAATTATTTTCATTAATAACAATATTCATCACAAGAATTTAATTATTTTTAAAAGTAATAAATCATTTATAATTAAAACTCTTCAAAAATTTGATTTTTTTATATTTGGTAAAAACTCAATTATTTTTAAAAGATTTTATCAAATTATTTTTTATAGATTTTACAAAATTTAAATTATTTTTGTTTTTTAATTTTACCAAATTTCAATTTTTTGGACATTTTTTAATTGTACATTTGTAAAACTTTTGTCTTTAAAAAATTATTTAAAAATATTTTTAAAAAATTAATATTAAGAATTTCTTGAAGGATTTTCGGAAACTAATTAAAAATTAATATATATATAATTGATTGAGAGATAAAGTTTAGTTAAAAATTGTAGAAAATAATTGAATTTTGGAAGAGTTATAGTTTTAATTTTTAGGAATTATTAAATTTCAGTAGTTGATTTTAAATTTTATTTCCCGTGAAAAAAGAAATAAGAAGTAGGTATTTAAATATTTATTTAGCAAAATTATTCAAGTTTTGATTAACTAAATTTAGAATTATTATTTAAATACAAAAATTCAGTTCTTTATAATGATTCTAACTGTCCCATGTTTTTTAAGTTATTAATTAATTTTCAAAAAATTATAATAAAGAAGTTCTTAAAATTAATTTTTCAAAAATATTTTTTTTTTATTGTAAATTTTCAAAATTTATTTAGTAATTTATAAAAATAGTTGAATTTGTTTCGAAGAAATTATTAAAAATTTTAGGAAATAATTGAATTTTATAGAAATATTTGAAACCTATTTGAATTCTTACGAGAAATTCAATTAAATATGTTTTGAAAATAATTGAATTCCTGCAAAGAATTTTACTAGATATTTATAAAAATAATTGAATTCTTGCGAAGAATTTTGACATTTATAAAAATAATTGAATTGTTTTGAAGGATTTATTAAGATTTTAGAAAATAATTGAATTTATTCGAAATATATTAAAAAATTAAATTCTTCTGAGGAATTCAATTTCAATTATTTTCAAAATTTGCAATTAATATTCTTCAAATGTTAATTTTCAAAAATTTTTATAAAACACTTTAAAAAAAATCAATTATTTTCAATTAAATTTTACAAAATTTCAATATTTATTGAAACTCTTTTCAATAGAAAATTTCGAAAGTAAGTTGCATTTTATACTAAAAATTATTGCAATATTCGGAAGAAAAGTCGAAATGGTCATGATTTTTGAAAATAAGTCGAAAAAAGTCGCATTTTTTGAAAATAGTAGAAAAAAGTTGAAAATGTTATAATATCCGAGGCTTGTCTTTATAATTTTTAAGTAACAATTATTAATATTAATAATTTTAAATAAATGATCCTTTTTACAGTATCAAGGTGACGAAAAACTAGACACGGATTTGCCGACTTTATTGGAAGCGAAATTATTTTGTACCACTTTGGGTAAATTTTTCTGGATTTGTTTGCAACCATTTTTTTATGCTTTCCGGCCATTAGTCACGTATCCAAAAGTACCAACCACTTTAGAATATGTCAATTTGGTTATTCAACTTATTTTTGATGGTCTCATTTGGTATTTCTTAGGTACGGTGAAAAATTTTCAAATACTTATAATTAGTAATTTTCAATACTCGCTAAATTTGAATCAGTGAAATTTCACTAGTAAAATATTTGAAATTTTACTCAAGTGCGACAGTTGCTTAATTTACCAGTAAAATTTCACTTATTCAAATATAGAAAGTGTATCGTTATGTTAACAAATATTTTTTTTTTCAAGGAGGTAAAATATTGGTCTACTTTATTTTTGGATCAGTTATGGCAATGGGTGTTCATCCAGTTGCTGGTCATTTTATATCTGAACATTATATGTACAAAAAAGGATACGAAACTTATAGTTATTATGGTCCTCTTAATTACATTACATTTAATGTTGGTTATCACAACGAACATCACGATTTTCCTGCTGTGCCAGGTTCCCGATTGCCAGAGGTAATAATATTTTCTTAAAATTAAATCTGTCTTTTAATACACAGATTTTAGTATTTTAACAAAATTTATAATTACTTGGTTTTTTTTAAATTAGGTAAAGCGAATAGCGTCCGAATTCTATGATAATTTACCACACCACGACTCTTGGGTTTCCGTTTTATACGATTTTGTAATGGATCCGGAAATTGGCCCATATGCTCGAATAAAACGAAAACATAGAGGTTTGAATTCATAGGAGCCTTAAATTAAAAAGTATTGACAAGAATTAATCATTATTTATTAGCTGTAATAAAACGAAATCGTCAGCCATGTAATTTAAACTATTTTTCTACGACGCTTTCATTTTACGCTGTGTAAAAGTTGAAATAGCATTTATTAAGAATCATGTCTGCTGTATTTGCAATTAGACGTACAATTTTCTTGTGTAAATAATAAATTAATCGTATAAAATTTTTATTCATTACGAAGCAGTGTGTAAAATAACTTTATCATTCATTAAGAAGCAATGATGAGAGTATAAATTTGAAGACGATTTTTAACTCTACTCAATGATTGTTATTATTTTGTAAAATTATCTTTATTTTTTCCTTTCAACTGTTCTTCGTCAAATATATTTTGTATATTACTTTTGATTTATAGACAATACATAATATATTTTAATTAAAAAATGAATTTATGCGCTGAATATGAAATTGTGAAAGTGAACTTTTTAACAAACTTTAAATAAATGTAAAGTTTAATTTAATTAATAGTAAAAAAAAAGAGGCTATATAATACAAACATAAATGTAAATAAAACTCTCTTTGCTGATGAGATTGAAAAAATTAACTATATATTATCTGTAGTCAACATATTTTTCTCTTATTATCTGTTTATGTATATATTCATACGTTAATATCAGTTAATGTAAATTAGCAACAATTCGCGCGCGGCTTACTTCTCCCTCACTTCTTTAAATAAAATCATCAATTTCGAAAATAATACCTAGAACGTAAAAATTCTTTCAATTTTTTTTTATAAAACTAAAATATGAATTGGAATATATATAGTTTAAATATTATTATAATTCTAATAATTATAATAATCATATGTTCTGACACAGGAAATTCAGGGAAAATTCAAAAATTTTTTAAAAATTCTTGTCAAAATTTTAATTATTTTCAAAAAATTTCCTCATTTCAATGATTTTTATTTACTATTTTAATAAAATTACCCAAAAGAATTCAATTATTTAAAAAAAATTAATAAAATTCGACACAAACCTTGAATTATTTTCATGAATAATAAAAATTTCACAGGAATTTAAGTATTTACAAATTTTTTATATAAGTTTCTTCTTAATAATTCTATTATTTTCAGAAATAATAAAATCGCAGAATTTCAATTATTTTTAATCAAATTTTAATCAAATTCCTTGACAAATGTAACTATTCTTAAAAATCTTATTAAAATTCGTCAAAAGAATTCAATTATTTAAAAATTTGATAATTAAATTCTTTATAAGAATTAAATTTTAAGAAACATTCAATTATTCAATAAAAAATTTAATTTGCAGGGTTGCCACAGGTCAGGGAATTCAGGGAAAAGTCAGGGATTTTTATTTAAGTAACTGGAAAAAATTGAATTTTGGAGAAGTTACAAATGATTGCAGAAATTCAATTATTTTCAAAAGTAATAAAATTCTTCGCAGAATATCAATTATGTTCAAAAATTAAAAAAAAAATCTCATAAAAATTCAATTATCTTTAAAAGTAATAAAATTCTTCTCCAAATTTCAATTATTTTCAAAAATTTTAATAAAATTCTTTGCAAAATTTCAATTATTTTCAAAAATTTTTTCTCAATTTAATGATTTTCAATATCTACAGTTTTAAAAAAAATTTTCAAAAGAATTCAATTATTTAAAAAAAAAATTTTGATATAATTCTAAGCAAACTTTGTAATAATTCAATTATTTTCATAAATATAATAACATTTTTTACAAAAATTCAATTATTTTCATGAATAATAAAAATCATCATAGAACTTCAAATTTTAATTAATTAAATTCCTCGAAAAATTTAATTATTCTTGAAAATTTTATTAATTTCTCGAAAAAATTCAAATTTGTTGATAAAATTCTTTATGATAATTTAGTTTCGAAAAACATTCATTTATTCAATAAATTATTTATTTTTGTATTTAAATAATTGAATTCTTGTAGAATTTTCCAATAAAAATTGATTTTCATTTCATAAAAATGAATTTCAGTTAAAATTTTAGATAATAATTGAATTTTAAAATCATTATAGCATGAATTTTTAAAAATACATAATTGATAAAATACATAATTGAATTATTTCGAAGAATTTTAACATATTTTTTAAAAATAGTTACATTTTTCGAAGAATTTACTTAAAATTGTATTAAAAATAATTGAAATCCTGTGAAGAATTTTATTAATTTATGAAAGTAATTGAATTTTTGCAATGAATTTTTTCAAATTTTTTTTTAAATAATTGAAATAATGTAAAGAATCTTATTATTTATGAAAATAATTGAATTCCTGCATCGAATTTTATTACATTTTTTAAATAATTGAATTCTTTTTTGAGAACTTTTATTAAAAAAGTAGATTGTGAAAATATTTGAATTTCAACGAAGAATTTTATTATATTCGTGAAATGTAATTAAATTCTTAGAAAAAAATTAAGAGAATAATTCCATTTTTCTAGGAATTTACTTTAAATTGTATTATAAATAATTGAAATCCTCAGAAAAATTTTATAATTTATGAAAATAATGGAATTCTTACAACGAATTTTATTATAATTTTTGTAAATAATTTAATTTTTTTTTGAAAAATTTTATGGAAATTAAAATGTTTATAAAACATGAAGATACCAATCACTCCGAGTCGAAGACACGGAGTAATCGTTATCTTTATGTTTTATAACAATTATTTTTAAAAATGATTAATTTCAAAAAGGTTTGAATTTGAAATTTTTGAAAATCTTGATTTTAAAATGAAATTTTAAATGACTTGATAATTTCCCTCACGAGTAAAAAAGTTATTTAAAAATTTGAAAAACAAAAAAATAAAAATGTTTTCCATTGGGCTCGTGATGTTTCGCACAACTTCGTTAATATTCGTTTCTGTCAAGTATTCTTTCTGTATCTGTTCAAGAAACAATACATTATTTTAAAAAAAATTATTAAATACTATATTTATATGTCAAATTGTTAACATCAATTATTTAAGTAAGTGTTGAAAAATGTCGGAAAATGCTAATGATTCAAATGACGAAAACAATGAGGTAAGATTCTTGTATTTATATACTTATTCATGTTTATTCCCCATAAATTCCTAACCTCAAATTTTATTTTGGTTCTAATAATTCAAATGAATTTGTATATTTCTTTTTAGATGCCAACTCCAAAAATAAAACACGATTGGTATCAAACTGAAACACACGTTTTTATAAATATTTTAGCAAAAAACGTAGAAATTGTAAAAGTCCACACAACAGAAACTGCAGTGAGTAAGCGTTTTACGTTGAATTTTTAGGATTTAGCAATGTTTTCTAACACTCAAACAAAAAAAAACAATTCTAATAATTTCTCCTGCGATGAAAATATAATGAAACAATATTTTTAGTTGAGCGTATCTGCAAAATTACCAAACGGAAGTGACTACAGTTTGGAATTAGATTTAGCCCGTCACATTGTACCTGATCAAAGTTCGCACAAAATACTTGCATCGAAAATAGAAATTAAATTAAAGAAACGAGATGGTCATAGATGGGCAAATTTAGAAGGAAATGCCGAAGAATCAATTGCAATACTTCCAATTCCTGATGGTAAATTATATATTTCTGATTTTAAAAATATAATTGATTTAAAAAAAAAACAGGTTTACATTCTATTAGGTTTTGTATAATTTATTCTTAAAATTAATTTGCTGAATAATTAAAAAAAATTTTGTAGTTATCCTACAATCTGACAATAAAGCTCCAAAATATCCAACCTCAAGTAAAAAGGTTCATGATTGGGATAAAATGGAAAAAGAAATCGAAAAACAAGAAGCCGCAGAAAACCCTGAAGGTGAAGCTGCCCTTAATAAACTTTTTCAAAAAATTTACGGCAACGGATCTGACGAAGTTAAACGAGCAATGAATAAATCCTTTGTAAGTATTATATTTTCTATCAATTTCAATTTTTAATATTGAAGTTTATATTCTTATCTAACATACAGGGCTCGAACTAGGTCCGTAATTTGCTAGAAGTCCCTAAAAGTCATTTTTTGAAAAAAGGTCCGTAAAGTACGTAATTTGATTGAGAAAAGACGAAAAGTTCGTCAATTGTACGATATAATTTGGAGAATTTTAGACAAATTACAAATGATTGCAGAAATTCAATTATTTTCAAAAGTAATAAAATTCTTCGCAAAAATTCAATTATGTTCAAAAATTTTTTTTAATTCAAATAAAAATTTCAATTATCTTTAGAAATAATACAATTCTTCTCCGAAATTCAATTATTTTTTCAAAGATTTTAATAAAATTATTGACAAAATATCAACTTATTTTCAAAAATTTTTCTCAATTCAATGATTTTTAATATCTACTATTTTAATAAAATTTTCAAAAATAATTCAATTATTTTCATAAATAATAAAATTTTTACAGGGATTTAATTATTTTCGTAAATAATAAAATTCTTTTTAGGAATTCAATTATTTTCATAAATAATAAAAAACTCATCGCAGAATTTCAATTATTTTTATAATACAATTTGAATCGAATTCCTCGAAAAATGTAATTAATTATTTTTAAAACTTTATTAAAATTTGACCAAAGAATTCAATTATTTAAAAATTTATTGACAAAATTCTTTATGAGAATTCAATTTTAAGAAACGCAATTATTCAATAAAATTGTTCTTTTTGTATTTAAATAATTGAATTCTAGTTGAATTTTCTGATAACAAATTATTTAAAAATGTATTTCAGTTAAAATTTTAGATTATAATTGAATATTAAAAGAATTTGAAAGAAAATTTTTAGAAGTAATTGAATTTTAAAAAGGTTTCGAATTAAAATCTTTGAAAATCTGGATTTTTCATATTTTTAACTAACAATTCTGTGGAATTAATTTTTTTGAGAAAGTTTAATTACAGATTTTTTTGTTGAAATTATATAAAGTTTTTATTTTCTAATTATATTTAATAGAAGAATTAACAAATAACTGAAATTTTGAAAAATTTAATTGTAAACAAATGAATTTGAAAATTCTCAAAGATCTTTTTCAAAAATTATTAAAAATAATGTATTTATAGAATAATTTTTGTTAAAAACACGAAAAAAAAATTTAATTTGAAAAAGTTTAATTTAATTTTTCTTATATTATTTTAAGTTTTTATTTATTTTTTTTTTATTATAAGAATTTAATTATTCAATTAGTTATTTGTTTTATTTAAATAATTGAATTCTAGTAGAATTTTCTAATAAAAATTGATTTAAAAATGAATTTTACTTAAAATTTTAGATTATAATTTTATAATTGACCATTAAAAGGATTATAGCGCGAATTTTTATAGAAATAATTGAATTTTGAATAGGTTTCAAATTTAAAATCTTTGAAAAATTTTAATTGTTCATACTTTTAACTATCAATTCTGTAGAAGAATTAATTTTTTTGAAAAAGTTTATTTCAATTTTACTTGAAATTATGTTTTTGAAGTTTTCATTTTCTAATAATATATTTAATTGGCTAATTTCCGAATAATTCAAGTTTTGTAAAATTGAATTGTAAACAAATGAATTTGTAAATTCTCAAAGAACTTTTTCAAAAATTATTAAAAATAATTGATTTATAGAAGAATTTTAGTTAAAAACACTAAAAATAAATATAATTTTGGAGAAATTACAAATTATTGCAGAAATTTAATTATTTTCATAAATAATAAAATTCATCGCAGAATTTCAATTATTTTAATTAATTTTTAATTAATTTTAATTAATTTTAATAATTAAATATTAAAAGCAATATAGCGTAAATTTTTAGAAATAATTGAATTTTGAAATTAATTTTTTTGAAAAAGTTTAATTGAATTTTTTTAAAAAATTATTTGAAGTTTTTATTTTCTAATATATATTTAATTAAAGAATTTACGAATAATTGAAATTTCGTAAAATTGAATATTGTAAACAAATGAATTTGAAAATTCTCATAGAACTTTTTTGAAAATTAATTGATTTACTTAAAGAAGAATTTTATTATTATTATTATTAAAATTCTAGAAAATAATTAAAATGGGAAATAATTTTGAAGAAGTACAATATTCTTATAATATAAAATAATGATTTTATCACTGGGCCTTTTATAATAATTATTATAAAACATGAAGAAATCGATAACTCCGAGTTTTCGATATCTTCATGTTTTATTGTTGAAAAATTTAATTTATAGTTTTCAGTAAAATGTTTTCTTATTTGACTCGTACTGGTTATATTTTTGTCAGTAATTGGTCCGTAAAGTCCGTATTATTTTTAAATACTTTTATAAGTTCTTGCCCTGAATATATTAATTTTGTCCTTAATTTGTTATATTAAATTCATAAAACAGCAAGAATCTGGTGGAACAGTTTTGAGCACTAATTGGAATGAAGTCGGAAGAGGAAAAGTTGACAAGAAACCTCCCGAGGGAATGGAATGGAAAAATTGGAATCCTTAGATTTTAATTTCTACTTGTCTTTGTTTAAATTCATTTTCACTTTTATCCACTTTTAGTAAATTATTTCGAGTTAGTTTTACATTAATTTCGCAAATACTAAGTTAAAAACTTTTAGTTAATTAATAATTAAGAATAATTTAATGCTACGATTAACTTGTATTACTGAATTTATCATAATTAGTAGAATAATAGATTTTTCCATTAATCATCATAAATTGAGTTCTTCGAAGCCTTACGCCTGTTAAAATTATATGCATATAAATTTAACAAATGTTTTTTATAAAAAAAAAGACTTGACAATTACTTAATAAAATAAAAATTTACATTTACATAATTATTTTTTTATTATATCCTTAAAAAGCGTAAGAAATTATCGTAAAATATTCATCAAGTTTAACTATTATACAATATTTTACACTTTACATCAACAAACTGCAAAATTCTATATCAACACTATTTTCTCTTTTACAATAATCTCTCTAAGTCAATGATCGTACCAAAATAAAATTAATTATTAATAAACCCGTCAAAAAATATGCGACGTGTTTACTACTCACTGTTAAACTAGAATTCATAGAGGTAGTACTTTCATTACTAATGTCACTAATTTTATTTTCGCCAAATGTAAAATTGGTTTTACTATTTATAAGTTGAATGATCTTTGAAAATTGTTGACTCGAACTTTCTTCGAGGGATTGAAAATTATTTCGAAAATTTGATTCATTTTTCTTTTGTGCCTCTGATATGACATTTCGAACATCAACAATTCTTCGATTATTATAAATCATTGATCCTGTTAATGATAAAATGGCAAGAAAAGCCGAAGCAAGAATTGAAAGATATTTGTATTTTTGCGCATTTATTGTTTGACTGTCGTGATATTCTTTAATAGCAGTTGCTAGTTGAGTAAAATGATCTCTTTCCTCATTTTCTAAAAGGTTCAATTGATTTCGTATTCTCGATTCTTCCTGAAGACCCTTATTCTCCATAATCGTGAGTTGCACATATTTTGGATCATCACGTTTTGTTTGTATTAATTCGGCGTAAACTTCTTTTAATTTATCATGTACAAGAGACGATTGACGATTTAAAATTCGTCGCTCATCTTGACATTTAAATAAAGAATCCTGAACTTGAATTACATGCTGTTTTGCAACTTCAACAGTGTCTAAACCTGTCAATTGTTGATACCATTTCCACCAATTTATCAATCGAACTGGAATCGGACTTGATGGTTTTAATGATTCAGCATGTAAATCTTGTATTATTGTTGTGCCAGTTACGTTTACGTGCTGAATATTAAGAATAATTATTACCAATTATTATCCTAATATGAAATAAACTATAAATTTTATAAACATTTCCATAAATATTCTTAAATAGACAAAGAAATAATAGAAAGAAAAAGCGTTTGGAATTCTTGGTATTATTTATTGTTACCTTAACGATATTTCCATATTTTTCAGACGCAACATTTTGAATAGTTGTCAATTTTTCTTGTGCTTTTTCCGAAGTTTTTTCAAGCACTGTCGACGCACTATTTAATAGTGCAGATTTATTTAATTGTTCTGTAATTACTTTTAATAATTGTCGGGAATTTTTGGCCATATTAAATGTTAATTTACATAAATATTACACATTTCTCAACATTATTCACAAGTATTTGTGTTTTGAACTTTGTTACTCTTTGCTTGAATAATAATACAATTTTGAGGTTAGATTGTACATTCCTAACTATATACTTTTATTATTCTTCATCGACAGTACAATTATTATTAAATGTGCAGATTCTTCATTTTTAATACGAAAAGTGTGTAATTATTGATTGAATATAATATAAAAATTTTATTATATTATATTTAAAAGATTTTAAGTAAAATAAAAAAAATAATATTTTAAACATTTTAAATACGTGCCAATCGTCGTACCAATAACACCCACCAATCAAATTACTCTCGTATGCTCTGAAACTAGCAGCAAGGGCTGTTTCGTCAGTTACACAGAGTTAACTTCAAGTTAACGATTATCCAATCATCAATTACATTCTGTTGGATCTAACCAATCAAAATAACGCGTCACTTTTGATTTTTGACTTAGATTACGTAAAATAAGTAACTTACGTAGACAATTGTAGAAAACCTAGAAAACCCATTTAATTTACATTTTCAAGATGGCGGCCATTAAAAGACAATTTAATTTAATTTATTATAATTAATTTTAATTTAATTTAATTAAAGGCAACCTGAAAAGTTTGCTTTGTTATATCACGTGACAAAATACATGAATGTACACCCAATAACATATGCTTTCCTTCCGGTTTGGACAACTTTTTTAAAAGTGGTGTGCCTTCTATAACAATGTTTTAAGTCTATGGCGTACTCAATTCCATTACGCCATAGACTTAAAACATTGTTATAGAAAGCACACCACTTTCCAAAAAGTTGTCCAAACCGGAAGGAAAGCATATGTATGTTATTGGGTGTAAATTACGTAGAAAACTCTTGACGAAAATTACCAAGTAATCTACATGTAAAGGCGCTTGTATACCTCCACGTTTCTGAGTATATTCAGAAACGTCCAGCGTTTTGATTGGCTTTTTTGGAAATTCCCTATGAGCATAGCCAATCAAAACGCTGGACGTTTCTGATATACTCAGAAACGTGGAGGTATACAAGCGCCTTAAACATCTGCGTAGTTTACCTTAGGTAGTTTACGTCCCCAACCCTGGGGCGGAAAACAGCCAAAAGAGTGTTGATTTCATGTCGATAAAGTAGATTTTAATATTGAGCGGGAAATTCAAAGCCACGTGCGACTTTAATCACTTTCATTTACTTTCCGACCATTTTTCTGATTCGAGCAAAATATTACCTGACACTTAATTAATTAGAAAAAAATTAAAAAATGTTCTGTGTCACTTTTTAAAAATTTCAGTAAATATTATTCATCGAGTTATTCATTTATTACGATACTTGAAGATAAAATGATAAAAAAATAATTAGATTATAAAAGAAATGAAAATTGATATACAAATGCCGCATTATTCTAACTTAAACCTTAAAAATAGTTACGTTTTTGAGGAAAAACTTTCTGAGTTAGTGGTTACGTTTATTTTTAATTTGTAAAAATAAGGCAATGTAATGATTGTAACTTAGAAATAATTGTTTGTTATATACCTTTGTGGAAGTGCCATTTGTTGGGAGGTTGCTCGTATGACCCGCGCGGTCCCGGTTAGTTTCGTGCATCCAACATGGCCGGTCGAGGTGGTTATGATGATTATAGGCAAGTATCTGATGTATTTTTCTTATTTAATAAGTTTTAAAGTTGTTTTAAAACCGGTGTTGTAATTAATTAAGTTCAATGTATCAAGATAGAGTTAGAAAACTGTCTTTTCAACTTGTGACGCGTGGTTTTAAGGTTAAGTCAATTCAGCCTCTAAATGAGCAAAGTATTTCTTTCCAAGCATATAAGAAAAGAACACGCGGCTTTATTTTGGCTAGTGCTTTCTTTTTTTGAAGCTTAATATACAATATTTTGCCACAATGTGACTTTTTCATCATCTTTTACATTCGTTTTTGTCAAGGCCAAATGAATCTCCCCATCGACTCCGAAATGCTTTTGCTGAAGCTTTTGGATTTAAATGTCATTTCTCGAGAATATTTTCTTTTATCTTTGCTTTTAAAATTGCTCACTTATATATATCTCTCTCTACTTTCTTACACAGTTCTCACTAACGTTTTTTATGAATTTTCCTTTCTTATACACAAAAATATTATAGTACTATGTACTCAGAATTAAATTTCATTGATAAAAATTTATGTAAAAGTATTTGCGTTAGTATTTACAAACGTTTGTTTAATCTTAATTTTATTTATTCTGATTTTTAGTTAATTGATTTGGCATTATTTATGTTAAATATTTTAATTATCCAATAAAATTAAATCTTTTTTTATATAAATGTGATAACTAAATTTATTAAATTAATTTAATATTAAAAATGAAACTGTATTTTGCAAATTATCGAGACCTGTGTAATTTTACAAGACGTGAATGTTAGAAATGATCTACGTGGCATTAATTTGAAATTATTTTTCATAGCACTGGTTTGTTATAAAACTCCGGAGCTTTTATAATTAAGAGCAATCAACGGATAATTACAGCATTGAATGTTTCAAGAAATTTATAGGGATGTAAAGAAAAGATTGTTTGTGATGCATTGTAAAATTGGGATATTTTTTTGAATTATAATTATTTAATTATTATTTTGTCTGTTAAATGAATGTATTTTATTCTCAGAGGTAGGAAACCTTTACCTACGGAGCCTCCTTACACTGCTTATGTCGGAAATCTTCCAAATGGAGTCGTTCAAGGAGATGTTGATAAAATTTTCCAGGATCAAAATGTAAAAGGAATTCGTTTAGTGAAAGATCGTGAAACTGATAGGTAATATATGTATTCACATTCTTTCAGGGCTCGAACCGGTGAAAGTATTTAAAAATACGGACTTTACAGACCAAAAATAAAAAATTACGGACCAATTACTGACAAAAATATAAACACTCCCAGTCAAATAAGACAACATTTTACTTAAAACTATAAATTAAATTTTTCATAACTATAAAACATAACTGAGTGATAAAATCATTATCAATTCAATTATTATTTTCAAGAATTCTTAACTAAAATTCTTCTTTAAATCAATTATTTTTAATAATTTTCGAAAAAACTCTTTGACAATTTTCAAATCCATTTGTTTATAATATTCAATTTAACGAAATTTCAATTATTTATAAATTCTTCAATTAAATATATATTTGAAATTATAAACTTCAAATAATGTAAAAAAAATTCAATTAACCTTTTTAAAAAAATTAATTACAAAATTTAATTATTTCTGAAAATTAGCGCTATATTGCTTTTAATATTGAATTATTAGCTAAAATTTTAACTGAAATTCATTTTTAAATCAATTTTATTGGAAAATTCTACAAGAATTCAATTATTTTATTGCAAAGATAAAGAATTTATTGAATAATTGAATGTTTCTTAAAATTCAATTCCCATAGAGAATTTTATCAACAAATTTTTAAATAATTGAATTCATTCAAAGAATTTTAATTCGATTAAAAATTGTATTAAAAATAATTGAAATTCTGCGATTAGTTTTATTATTTGTGAAAATAATTGAATTCCTAAGAAGAACTTTATTATTTTTGAACAATATTTAATTTTCGCGACGAATATAATTACTTTTGAAAATAATTGAATTTCTGCAATAATTTGTAACTTTTCCAAATTAAAGTTTTTTTTTCGTGTTTTTAACTAAAATTCTTCTATAAATACATTGAGAAGAAATTTATAAAAATTTTGTAAATAATTGAATTCCTGTAAAAGTTTTATTATTTTGTAAAAATAATTAAGGGTTTGCGTAGAATTTTATTAATTTTTTTGAAATAATTGAATTATTTTGGAAGATTTTATTAAAATAGTAGATATTAAAAATCATCGAATTGAGGAAAATTTTTGAAAATAAGTTGAAATTTTGTCAAGAATTTTATTAAAATTTTTAAGAATAATTGAATTACGAAAAATAATTTTATTATTTCTAAAAACAATTGAAATTGTGATGAGAATTTTTTAAAATTTTTGAATATAATTGAATTTCTGCGAAGAATTTTATTACTTTTGAAAATAATTGAATTTCTGCAATCATTTGTAATTTCTCTAAATTTATCCAAATTATATCGTACAATTTACGAACTTTCCATCCTTTTTGAATGATATTACGGACTTTACGGACCTTTTTTCAAAAAAACTGACTTTTACGGACTTGAAGCAAATTTACGGACCTTTTGCGGGACTTACAAACCTATAGGTTTGAGCCCCGTATTCTTTTGATAAATATTTTTGCATGTTTGTAATAAGTTTTTAATTACTGAAAATGTTTGCAGGTTTAAAGGCTTCTGCTATGTTGAATTTGAAAATTTATCTGATCTAGAACAGGCTATAGAACTTAATGGACTTGTTGCTATTGATGGTAATTCGGTAAAAATAGATGTTGCTGATGGTAAGCGAAATGATCGAGGTGGTGGTTTTGACAGAAGAGGTCGAGGGAATAGTGGAGGGAGCGGAGGATTTGGAAGAAGAGATGGAGGCGGCAGAGGTTATGGAGATGATTACAATAACGCACCCTCTTATTCCAGTGAGTCTGAAATAGCAATGTTAATTCATTTCTATGTCAAGTTTTCTCTAGATCTGCAAATTCTTAAAAAAGTGTTTTCAGTTTTCAAATATTATTTTAGAAATTTTTTTTTGTATTGAACTTATTCGTGTGTATTAACAATTCAGGAGGTAGATTCAATCCAAATCCTCCTATAACAGGGAGACTGGCCTACGACAGTGGAAGATCAGGAAGTGGTTTCAGCGGTGAACCTAGAGGAAATCGTGGGAACTACGGCCAATTTAATGAAGACGGTGGTGGTCGAGAGTGGTCTCGAGGAGGTGCTAGTGGTCCAGGAGGTGGTCGACCTGGTGGCAGTAGTTCATTTAGTGGAAGACCATCCCGTGGAGGAGGTGGTGGAGGTGGAGGTGGTGGTGAAAGAAAATCCTACCAGGATGATGCTTACATGAAAGAACCACCGCCAGGTCTGTATTATTTAGACTAATTTTCTCTTTCGACTTTCTTCAAAAAATCAAAATAAAGGGAAATTTCTTAAAAATTTAGGCTTCACAGTCTGTCCCCTATTTCCCTAAAAGTCCCCTTTTTTAATTATGGCCCCTAAACGTACCCTATTTTGAAAATTTCCCCTATTTTTTTCGTCGCAGGAAATCAATTATTTTCTATAATTTTTAAGTAATTCTGCAAAATAATTCAATTATCTTGATAACCAACAAAATTCTCCCCATAAAATCAATTATTTTAAGGATTTATAATGAATTTTTTTTCCAAAATTCAATTATTTTGGTAAATATCTCAAAAATTCTTCTCAACAATTCAATTATTGTCAAAAATTTTAATTAAATTCTTGGCAAAATTTCAATTATTTAAACAAAATTTAATAAAATACTTTGCACGAATTCAATTATTTTTATAAATTTTAATTAATATCTCGTCAAGAATTCAATTATTTTTATAAATAGCAAAATTTTTCGCCAAAAATTCAATTATTTTCAAAAATTTTAATAAAATTCTTTACAAAATTTCAATTATTTTCAAAAGTTTTTCGCAATTCAATGTTTTTAAATATTTACTATTTTCATAAAATTTATCCACAGATTTAATTATAGAAAAAACTTGTTGATAAAATTCTACGAAAAGATTCAATTATTTTCATAAATAATAAAATTTCATTTACGAATTCAATTATTTTCATCACAGAATTTCAAATATTTTTAATAAATACAATTTAAAATAAATTCCTTGAAAAATGCAATTATTATTAAAAATTTTATTAAAACTTCAGGAAAGAATTCAATTTTAAGAAACATTCAATTATTCAATAAAACAATAAAATTCGTTGCAAGAATTCAAATATTTTCATAAATAACATTTAATTCGTTGCAGAGAATCAATTATTTTTTAAAATTTTCAAGTAATTTTGCAAAAGAATTCAATTATCTTGATAAACAACAAAATCGCATAAATTCTTCCCATAAAATCAATTATTCTAAGGAATTTTAATTAGATTCTTTTCCAAAATTCAATTATTTTGATAAATATCCAAAATCATCACAAGAATTCAATTCTTTTGAAAAGTAATAAAATTCAATTATTTTCAAAAATTTTAATAAAATTCATGTCAAAATTTTAATTTTTTTCAAAAATTTTTCTTAATTCAATGATTTTCTATATTCTATTTTAATAAAATTTCCCAAAAGAATTCAAATATTAAGCACAAATTTTTATAGAATTTTACACCAACATTCAATTATTTTTTTTTAAAAAATAAAAATTCCACAGGATTTCAATTATTTAAAATAGAATTTACATAAATTTTTTCGAAAAAAATAAATTGTTTTGAAACTTTTTTACAAAATGATAAAAAAAAACTCTTTGCAGAATTTCAATTATTTTTAAGACAATTTTAATCAAATTCCTTGAAAAATGTAATTATTCTTAAAAATTTTATTAAAAGTCGTCGAAAAATTCAGTTATTTAAAAATTTGTTGATAAAATTCCTGTTGAGAATTCAATTTTTAAGAAACATTCAGTTATTCTATAAATTATTTATTTTTGTATTTAAATAATTGAATTCTAGTAGAATTTTCTAATAAAAATTGATTTAAACATTAATTTTAGTTAAAGTTTTAGATAATAATTGAATTTTGTAGAAGTTACTAATAATTGCAATTTTTGGAAATAATTTAATTTTGTAAAGATTTCAAATTAAAATCTTCGAAAATCGGAATTTTTCATATTTTTTAGTAACAATTCTGTAGAAGAATTAATTTTTTGGAAAAAGTTTATTTCAATTTTACTTGAAATTATTTTTTTAAAGTTTTTATTTTCTAATGTATATTTAATTGAAGAATTTCCGAATAGTCAAAATTTCGCCAAATTGAATTGTAAACAAATGAATTTGACAATTCTCAATAGAGTTTTATCGAAAATATTACAGAAAACTTTTATTTAAACCAAATATAATTTATTTGACTTAAATAAAAATACATTTATCTCAGATCGTTACGAAAGTTTAGTTTCTGAGTTGACACAATATTAAATTAAGAAACTGAGTTTAGTTTCGTGTCGACTCGAAAGAGTGACGCTAAAAACACCTGTTTTTTAGCCCATTTTTCGGACCGTGAATTTTTCAATGAAACATATTCTAAAATGCGCCGTATAAAGGGATATTAATTTCATAACCATTTTGAGTGGAGCATATCCTTTGTTTTTGGATATAGTGTTAAAATGGGGGTTTGGAGGGGTTAAAATACCAAAAATTAAATATGCTCAGATTCGCTGGAAACTGGTTACTCGGGGGTTTTCGGGGTCGCTGATTACGAATCCAATGTCAGTTTTTCAAAATTCAAAATGGCGGATCCAATATGGCGGACGACTTTTTCTAAAATTGCTCAGATTCGCTTGAAATTAATTACTCAGGGGTTTTCGGGGTCGCTGGCTACGAATCCAATATCAGTTTTTCAAAATTCAAAATGGTGGATCCAATATGGTGGACGACTTTTTTAAAAATCACATCTTATTGCTTGAAACTTGTTATTCAGGGGTTTTCGGGATCTCTGATTACGAATCCGATGTCAGTTTTTCATAATTCAAAATGGCAATAAGATGTGATTTTTAAAAAAGTCGTCCGCCATATTGGACCCGCCATTTTGAATTTTGAAAAACTGACATTGGATTCGTAATCAGCGACCCCGAAAACTCCTGAGTAACCAGTTTCCAGCGAATCTGAGCATATTTAATTTTTGGTATTTTAACCCCTCCAAACCCCCATTTTAACACTATATCCAAAAAACAAAGGATATGCTCCACTCAAAATGGTTATGAAATTAATATCCCTTTATACGGCGCATTTTAGAATATGTTTGATAGAAAAATTCGCGGTCCGAAAAATGGGCTAAATTTAGCGTGACTCTTTAATTAACCAAATAAATTTAGTTTCATGTCGACTCGATATTAAATTCTGTTAAATTCTACAAAGAATTCTATTAAAATTATGGACAATGATTATTTTAAATTCTTTTATAAATAAATATGGAAATTCTTCTCAAGAAGTCAATTATTTTCAAAAATTTTAATAAAATTCTTCTCATGAATTCAATTGTTTTCAAAGATTATTATTTAAATTCTTCAAAAAGTTTTCAATTATTTTCAAAATTTTTTATAAAATTCTTTAATATAATAAATTTTATTAAAATTTTAATTAAATTCCTTAAAAGAAATTAAATATTTTCAAAAGTTGTTAATACAATTCTTCGTAAAAATTAAATTTTAAGAAACATTCAATATTATTTATTTTTGTATTTAAATAATTGATTTCTCGTAGAATTAAATTATTGTTTTTTGTACTTTTAACTAACAATTCTGTAGAATTAATTTTTTTTGAAAAAGTTTAATTGAATAATAATTGATGTTATTGATTTAAAGTAGAATTTTAGTTAAAAATTCTAGAAAATGTTAATTGAATTGAAATGATACAAATAATTTTGAAGAAATTACAATAACAATATTCTTATAATAATAAACTAATGAATTTGTCAGTCGATCATCTTTAATTATTATAAAGCAGAAAGAAACGAGTCGAAGACTCGGAGTGATCCATTTCTTTATGTTTTATAATAATATTCTTATGAGGTTGTTCAATTTGAAAAGATTTGAATTTGAAATTTTTTGAACATCTTAATTGCAATGAAAAAAAAATGATTAAATATTTATTTTGAATAAAACTATTGATGTTTTCGTATAATTTTACTTTTGAAGAAATTTGTAAATAAATTTAATTAAACATTTTTTTGAGTGTCTAATAATTTTTAAGAGTGAATTAGAATATTTTTTAGGGTCAGGGAAAAATATAAGTCAAAGTTGTATTTGGAAATCAGGGAAAAGTGAGGGAAAAATAAAGTTAAATTTTTGTGGCAACCCTGTATAAATAAATGATATTTTTATCTTTATTTAACCAATTTCTATGGTCTCCTAAAAGTCCCTTATTTTTTAATTTTCAGTCCCCTATTTCCCCTAAAATACTTTTTAGGGGCACTGTGAAGCCTGTAAAGGGAAATTTCTTAAAAATGTAAATTAATTGTAGACACAAGCGGAAGAAAACGTCTTGTTCTCCAACCTCGAACAGTGGCGCTTCCCCTGAACACAATTGCAGAATCGAGTAAATCAAGCTCGATATACGGTGGAGCTAAGCCACGAGAGGAAAAACTCAAAACCGAGGACGGAGAAGAGAAGTAAAAAGCAAAACGAATGTCTTCAATAACCACTATATTATCATCAGTTCCCATTTTCAAAACGGGAATCGATAAAGTAAATCACCTTAAATGAAAAAAAAATCGTCAAATAAGTAACGTTAAGACTCTTTCGACTTCCTTGTACATCGTTGAGAAAACTCTCCATAGAAAGAAGGATCATTTCAATAAAAAAAAAAAGAGAGAGATTCATTTTTATAAAATTTGTGGAGGGATTTTTTTCTCGAGACTAATGTATACATAACGAGAAAAAAAATAGGTCTATGTGGTACATAATAAAAATTTCAGAAAATTAGCGTCATTTTACAATTTTCATCACACACACAACAAAAATTGTCATAGAAATGGAAAAGTTTTATGCAAGGATATAAGAAATGTATCAACGTGTCTATTTCAAATAACGACGCTATACATGTGAGACATGATCATTGAAATGCTACAATTTACAGGTACATTTTGATATTCGTGTAAATTAAAAAAAAAGTAAAGTTTGTGTCTGTTTGTAATAACGTCAAGGGTACATGTACAAATTATGAAAAAATGTGTAAGTGCGCATGGTGCAGTAAAATTCACAAATGCCTTGTTCTTGAACTTGATCCTAAACAATAAATAATAATTTTATTGATTTTATTGTTCAGGAGTAATTTCAAAGCAAAAGGCATTTGTAAGTTTTACGTACAAAAATCTCCCTTTAAGCATTTTACAATTATTTGCAAATTAACAAAAAAAAAAAAAAAATCGTACACACATACACAAAGAAATAATTAAAAAAAAAATACATGACCGTGATGCTCATATAAGAGAGTACAAAAAAATCGAAATAATCCCCGTAATCCTTACACCATTTTTTTAAAAATGTTTGTTTCGTAATTCTAATTTACTGTAAAAATGTTAATTAACTGGTAAAACGCTTAAACAATTGTTGCTGGCCGAAATAATGCTTCGAAACAATAATTGTTTAGAGCATCAATTTAAGTGGATATTATAAATGCTCGGTAAAAAAAAAGTGAAAAGGAGATAACGTCGAGTGAACAAAAATTTAAATGGCAAAGCCTTTTTAACAGTGTATTAATTTTTGTTTCCTTTCTTGTCATTCGAGAAATTGGACAATGTTTACGAAATTGACGTAAAAAAATTATGCAAAATAAATTTAAAAAATCATGGAATTAATCACGTTATGTAAAACTACGCTTGTATATGGTACTATTTCGTAAATAAAGTAGTTACTACCGTGTAATGTGTCGTGAGGGATAAACAAAAACAACTGATAAAATCATTATTTATATAATTTTTATTGTCAATTAATACAAATCAAATGTAATATCACTTAACTCTTGATGCTTATTAACTTCTAATTTTTATTTCTTTTGTTAAGTCTTTACTTTTATCATTTACGATTTTCAAAATTTTTGTCTATATTATAAATCATTATATCATTGATAAAATGTCGAAAAATTTATTATAATTGAAATTTTTTAACTTTTTCAACTTATTTCTATTTAGATTTATAATTATACTTACAGAAGTAATCCTCGAGAAGTAATTGTTTGAAATAATATTTAATAAAGTAATGAAACTTAAAAAGGTTTTTAAACTTTTTATTTAATGAAAAAAAAATCATTTAAACATTTAACTTTTTTTTTAAATTCTATATGTTGAGAAACCTGGAAAACCTGGAAAACTCAGGGATTTTTGATCGAAATCCTGGAAAATTGTTGTTTTCTAAAGTTATTGTGTTTATTCTTGAAATTTAATTTTACTTCAATATTTCAAAATTAATTGTATTTTAAAAGAGTTGCGTTTACAATTTTCATAAGTAGATGAACTTCAAAAGATTTTGATTTAAAATTTTGTAAAATTTCAATTTTAAATAAATTTAATTAGAAGTATAAAAAAAACTTAGATTTAAAAAAAAAATTTTAAACTAAAATTCTTCTAAAAATTAGTTAAATTTTTTAATATATTTAATAGATTATTAAAAATAATAGATTTATAGAAGAATTTTAGTTAAAAATACTAAAACAAATTGAATTTTAAAGCAATTACAAATGATTGCAGAAATTCAATTAATTAAAAAAATTTTAATAAAATTCTTGGCAAAATTTTAATTATTTTCAAAAACTTTCTTCAATTCAATGATTTTTAATATGTAATACTTTAATAAAAATTCCTAAAAGAATTAAATTAGTTAAAAAAAATTTTAATAAAATTCTTGGCAAAATTTTAATTATTTTCAAAAGTAATAAAAATTTCACAGGAATTCAATTATTTACAAATTATTTTCATAAATAATAACATTTTTTACTGGGATTCAATTATTTTTATAAATAATAAAACTCAATGCTGAATTTCAATTATTTTTAATACAATTTTAATGGAATTCCTCGAAAAAAGTTATTATTCTTAAAAATTTTATTAAAATTTATCAAAGAAATTTAATTATTTTAATAACCTTTGCTACAATTTATTTATTAGAATTTAAGTATTATTTTCAATACATTTTTAATTATAAATTTCTTTAAAGAATAAAATTATTTTTAAAAATTTTAATCAAATTCTTTGAGTAACAATTCAATTTTTTTCAAAATAATTTTAATAAAATTTTTTGCAGAAATTCAATTATGTTTAAAAATTTACGAAAATTCTCGTCAAAATTTCAATTATCTTTATAAATAATAACATTTTTCTCCGAAATTCAATTATTTTCAAAACCTTTAATAAAATTCTTAGCTGAATTTCAATTATTTTCAAAAATAATTGAAAACTCAATGCTAAATTTCAATTATTTTTAATATACAATTTTAATGGAATTCCTCAAAAAGTGTAATTTTATTAAAATTCATCGAAAGAATTCAATTATTTAAACATTTGTTGATAAAATTCTTTATTAAAATTCAATTATTCAATTAGTTATATTTTTTAAATAATTTAATTCTCTAGTAGAATTTTCTAATAAAAATTGATTAAAAAATTAATTTTAGCTAAAATTTTAGATAATAATTAAATATTAAAAGCAATATAACGTAAATTTTTAGAAATAATTGAATTTTGAAATTAATGTTTTTGAAAAAGTTTAATTGAATTTTGTTTATATTATTTTAAGTTTTTATATTGTTTTTATTATGAGAATTCAATTATTCAATTAGTCTTTTTTTATTTAAATAATTGAATGAAATTTTCTAATGAAAATTGATTTAAAAATGAATTTCACTTAAAATTTTAGATTATAATTGAACATTAAAAGGATTATAGCGCGAATTTTTATAGAAATAATTGAATTTTGAAAAGGTTTCATATTAAAATCTTTGAAAAAAAACACTAAAAAAAAACATAATTTTTGAGAAATTACAAATTATTGCAGAAATTCAACTATTTTTATGACAATTTTAATGGAATTCCTCAAAAAATGTAATTATTCTTAAAACTTTTATTAAAATTCCTCAACAGAATTCAATAATTTAAAAAAATTTGTTGATAAAATTCTTTATGAGAATTCAATTTTAAGAAACAGTCAATTGTTTAATAAAATATTTATTTTTATAGTTAAATAATTGAATTCTCGTAGAATTTTCTAATAAATATTGATTTAAAAATAAATTTCAAATTAAAATCTTTGAAAATTTGAACTTTTTATACTTTTAATAAAGAATTCTATAGAATTCATTTTTCTCAATAACTTATTTACAAGAATTTTTTTTAATTATTTGAAGTTTTTAATTATTCTAATATATTTTAATTGAAGAATGTCAGAAATAATCGAAATTTCGTAAAATTAAATTGTAAACAAAAGAATTTGAAAATTCACAAAGAACTTTTTCAAAAACTATTAAAAAAAATTGACTTCGAGAAGAATTTTAGTTGAAAATTCTAGAAATAAATAATCGTAGTGATGAAAATAATTTTTGAAGAAGTTACAGTAACAAAAGTGTCGAGTTTTAATTATTATAATATGTTATTGAATTTCAAATTTTTTAATATCTTAATTTCTATAAAAGAATAATGATTAAATATTTATTTAAAAATGAAGTTATTGATGTTTTTGAATAATTTAAGTTACCGCGCCTTTACGTAGTTTACGTAATACTACGTTTGAAATAGTTATGAATGGAAACCACTTGATCGTAAATAAAGGTAAAACGTCATCAACCGTTAACCGTACACAGATTTTCTTGCCAACGTTTATAAAACTTTTGATATATATTTATTTTTTCATGAAGACAAGCCGTAAAAATATACGTGGATCAAAATATTTCCACGCATCTTAAAGTGCAAAACTTATCAATAATAAATTATCACTAATTGATTGTGAGAAAAGAATTCGTACTGAAAAAATAGAATAACAAGTATTCGCAGGTATTTATTTTTCTACTTATTCTACACATATTTTCTCTCATATATATTTTGGTTTGAATATTAATTATTTTTTAATGGTTACTAATTACAAAATTATGTATTTCACCAACAATAATGTTTGTTTAGAAAGCGCAAAATTATCACATATTTAAAAAAGTAATATTACCGTATAGTTTTAATAAAAAAAAAATTTTTGTTTTTCTTCAGAAAAATGACGAAAATAAATGTAAAAGATAAACTTCAAGATGAAACTCTGGATCTTAGTTTGTGTGATATAGAGGAAGTTCCGGTTAAAGAAATTGTAAGTTTTTTTTTATAAAAATTTATATTTTAAATTTAATTAAATACCTTATTGTAGGTACCTTATTGTTTATTTACTTTTCCAGGCCACAATTAGAAGAGCAAAGCATTTGGATTTATCAAATAATGCGTTAGTTTCATTGCCGGTAAGTTTCGAATAAAATTTAATTTGTTTATGAAAAATTTTATTAAATTCATATTTTAATATTTATTGGGAAATACTTTAGAGAACATTTGTCACCTTAACGCAAGTTATAAAATTGGATCTCAGTAAAAATATGCTGACAGAAATTCCAGAGAATTTTGGTGAAATGATGCAGTTAAAACATCTTGATTTATATAGCAACAAGGTAAATACAACGTGAAATTAAAAATGAAAATAATTCTTTAATTACGAAAGCAAATTAATTGTAGATAAGTAGATTGCCATTGAGTCTTGGAAAGCTGAAGAATCTCAAGTGGCTTGATTTAAAGGAAAATCCTTTAACTCCTGCAGTTGCCAGTGTTGCCGGTCCTTGCAGTAATGCCAGTGAATGCCAAGCCTGTGCTCGTAAAATTGTCACTTATTTAGCAAACGTCCAACTCACTGTGGAAGAGGAAAAACAACGAAGAATAAATGCCATTTCAGGTAATATTAATTATTAATAAATAATAATAAAGTACATGTTCCGGTAATCTGTTCGCAGTTTGAAGTTAATTGTAGTTTGCTTTTTTGTTTCTTAACTTTTTTATAATTTTTCTTTTCAAATATTTTCAATTTTAAAATTAATTTACTGAAAATCATTGAATTGTTGCAAAGAATTTTTTTAAAAAACTTTATAATAATAGGACTTTCTTTAAAGAATTTTATTATTTAGGAAAGTAACTGCATTCTCGCCAAGAATTTTATTAAAATTTTTAAAAATCCTAATTAAATTCTTTTCAAGAATTTCTTTGAATTTTTTTTAAACTAATGCAGTTTCTTTAATAATTTTAATTAAAAATTTTGAAAGCAATTGAATTTTATGAAGAAGATTTTTATTAAAAGTGAATTGAAAATAATTGAAATCTTGAGAAGAATTTTACCATTTATAAAAATAGTTGAATTGTTTCGAAGAATTTATTAAAATTTTAGGACATAATTGAAATTTATGGAAATATTTTAAAATATTTGAATTCATCCGAGGAAATCAATTAAAATTGGTTTGAGAATAATTGAATTCCTGCAAAGAATTTCATATTTAAAAACTTAATTGAATTCTTGAGAAGAATTTTACTATTTTTTATAAAAATAATTGAATTTTTTCGAAATGTGTTAAACATTTTTTTAAAAATTGAATTCTTCCGAGGAATTCAATTAAAATTGTTTTAAGAATTGAATTCTTCCGAGGAATTCAATTAAAATGGTTTTAAAAATAATTGAATTTTTTACAAGGATTTATTAAAATTTTAGAAAATTATTGAATTTATTTAAATATTTATTTAACGAAATTATTCAAGTTTTAAATAATTAAATTTAGAAATCAGTGAAAAATCAGAAGAATAAAAAATAAAATTTTTGTGATGACACTGAATTAATTATTAAATAAACGACTTTTTCGACTTTTTTTTCTATTTTAAATCGACTAAAGCGACTTTTTTTGCACCTTAAAGTCCTTAAAACCTTAATAAGTTATTGAATATCAAAAGATTTGAATTACAAAATTTTGAAAATCTTAGTTCCCAAGGAAAAATAACTTAACCATTTTTCCAATACTTTGAATTTTTATTCTAGAAGCAGAAAAGGTAATAGTGCCAAAAAAGGAAGGGAAGAAGAAGAAAAAGACCTCCGAAAAGATGAAGGTTAAAGGAAATATAGATTTACAATCCTCAAATCAAAAGTTTGACGACACTGAACAAAATGATGGGAAATTTTTCAGTATGAACGATTCCGAGCAACGAAAGTCAAAGAACACAAAAGGCAGTAAGTGTATTATTTTCAAACTTTTAATAATTTTAAGATTATCTTTTAATATATACAATATATTTATATTCTTAACAATAATTGTTAATAATTTGACAATTGTAATTACAGGGGGAATATGCAGTTCTCTTTGCAAATCACTATTATTTTTACTGCTATGGACAATTTTCTTCTGTCTTCTTATAGTTCTAGGCACTATTGTATTCCCCGTTTTTGATAATCAACGCACCCAAGAGACTATCAGATATTTAGAAACAGAAACTGGTTTACCAATCAGACATTATCAGCAAATTGGAAAAAATACGATGGGAAAAGTAATTAATGAAACTCTTGTGTGGACCGATAAATTGAAAGAAATCCTTCAAGATTATTACAAACAATTCTTTCTCTACGAAAGCAACTTAAAAAAATCAACGTGAAAGAATTGGAAGACAGGTTTTTTTTTAATATTCTTTTTTAAAATCTCAGTGCAGTGTTTTAAATTTTTTACTAAAAACTATACAATAATTTTAAAAGGATTTGAAATATTTAAATTCGAACGATAACTTTTACACGTAATTTTAAAATATTTCTTTCTTTGAAAGAAGTACATTTTTCGTATGCCACTAAGTGGCAATATTGGCCTTTGAAAAAAAAAGAAAAAAAGTGATGTAATTTTAAGTAATTATTTATTAATATTTGTAGTGAATAACTAGCAATATTATAATATAATCAAATATTTAACTTTTTTGAAAATTGTGATTCTTTATAAGTTAATTAGTAAATAATTACTTCTAAAGTCTGGATATTTTCTTTTTTTTTTAGAAGACTAATGCATATAATTCGCTGAATGAGTGGAATATGTATTTTTTACGAAAGCAAACTATTTTTACGATAAGATTAATTTTATTCTTTTAATCACAGAATAGAGTAGGGCTTAAAATTACTAGAAATAATTTGCAGCCTCTCCAAATTGATAAAATGCAATATTATCAGCGAGTGATGATGATTATTATTATTTATTGTAATTTAATTTATATTAATGTTTTATTACAAAGCTTCTCTTTTAATATCTCAACCTCGTTGATAATATTCATTCAAACAATAATCATATTTCATTGGAATTTACAAAGGGGAATATAATAAACATTTATTTTTAACAATGGCAGTAATCAGTCTATCAATCAACTATATTCATTTTTTGGCACACTTAAAAAATTATCGATTAAACTAAGTTTTGACTTTATAAAAACTATATGCCTCTTTTTTTTTATTTAGTCACATATAATTAAAAAAAATTTTACAGTAAACATGAAGAATGCAGGGCTCGAAGTAGATTCGTAAATCCTGAATAAGTCCGTAACTTTGCTTCAAGTCCGTAAAAGTCAGTTTTTTTTAGAAAAAAGGTCCGTAAAGTCCGTAATTTCATTCAAAGAGGATGAAAAGTTCGTAAATTGTACGATATAATTTTGAGAATTTTGGAGAAATTACAAATGATTGCAGAAATTCAATTATTTTTAAAAGTAATAAAATTCTTCGCAAAAATTCAATTATGTTCAAAAATTTTTTTAAATTCTCGTCAAAATTTCAATTATCTTTAGAAATATTAAAATTCTTCTCCGAAATTCAATTATTTTCAAAAATTATATTAAAATTCATTACAAAATTTCAATTATTTTCATAATTAACAATATTTATCATACGAATTCAATTATTTTCTAAAGAAATAAAATTCTTCGCAGAAATTCAATTATGTTCAAAATTTTTTTTAAATTCTCATTAAAATTTCAATTATCTTTAGAAATATTAAAATTCTTCTCCAAAATTCAATTATTTTCAAAAGATCTAAAAAAAATTGTCAACATTTTAATTATCTTTATAAATAAATAGCAAAATTCTTCGATAAAATTCAATTATTTTCAAAAATTTTAATAAAATTCATTAAAAAATTTCAATTATTTTCATAATTAACAATATTTATCGCACGAATTCAATTATTTTCTAAAGTGATAAAATTCAATTATTTTCAAAAATTTTAATAAAATCCATTGCAAAATTTCAATTATTTTCAAAAGTAATAAAATTCTTCTCCAAAATTCAATTATTTTCAAAAGATCTAAAAAAAATTGTCAACATTTTAATTATCTTTATAAATAAATAGAAAAATTCTTCGACAAGATTCAATTATTTTCAAAAATATTAATAAAATACATTAAAAAATTTTAATTATATTCATAATTAACAATATTTATCACACGAATTCAATTATTTTCTAAAAGTTTAATAAAATTCATTACAAAAATTCAATTATTTTTAAAAGTATTAATATTCTTCGCAAAAATTAAATATTGTTCAATATTTACTATTTTCATAAAATTTACCAGAAGAATATAATTATTTAAAAAGAAGTTTAATAAAATTCTACAAAAACTTTTAATTATATTCAAAAAATAATAAAAATTTCACAAGAATTTCATTAATAACAAATTTGTTTTTATAAATTTATTTGCAATCATTCAACTATTTTCATAAATAATAAAAATTTTTACGGGTATTGAATTATTTTTGTAAATAATATAATTCTTTTTAGTAATTCAATTATTTTCAATAGAATTTTAAACGAATTCCTCGAAAAAATTCTTAAAAAATTTTATTAAAATTCCTCCAAAGAATTTAATTAATTAAAAATTTGTTGATAAAATTTTTAAGAGGAATTGAATTCCAAGAAACATTCAATTATTCAATAAATTATTTATTTTTGTATTTAAATAATTGAATTCTGGTAGAATTTGCTCGTAAACATTGATTTAAAAATAGATTTCGGTTAAAATCTTAGATTATAATAATTCAATTCTTTCGAAGAATTTCATTAAAATTTTAAAAATAATTGAATTTTATCGAGACATTTTTTTAAAATTTTCTTAAAAATAATTGAATTTCTACCAAAAAAAGTTTTATCAAAACTTTTTAAAATATTTGAATTTCTGCTAAAATTCTGATAATTTTGAAAATAATTGAATTCTTGCGAATAATTTTATTAAGACTTTTGAAAATAATTGAATTTCTGCAAAGATTTTTATTATTTTACGAAAATATTTAAATTCTTGCGAAAAATTTTATTTAAATTTCTGAAAGTAATTGAAGATCTGCTAAGAATTTTGTTATTTTTAATTTATGCCGAGAATTTTATTAAAATTTTTAAAAATAATTGAATTCCTGTTAATTTTTTACAAGAATTTAATTATTTTCATAAATAATAAAATTCTTTGCAAGAATTCAATTATTTTATTTATTTTTAATACAATTTTAATCGAATTTCTCGAAAAATGTAATTATTCATAAAAATTTTATTAAAAATTCGTTGATAGAATTCAATTATTTGAAAATTTGTTGATAACGATTTTTTATGGGAATTGAATTTTAAGAAACGTTCAATTCTTCAATAAATTATTTATTTGCATTTTATTTGTATTTAAATATAATTGAATTCTAGTAGAATTTTCTAATAAAAATTTGATTTTCATTTCATAAAAATGAATTTTATTTAAAATTTTAGATAATTGAATATTAAAAGCAATATAGCGTGAATTTTAAAAAATAATTGAATTTTGTAATTAATTTTTTTTTTTTTGAAAAAGTTTAATTGAATTTTTTTAAATATTATTTTTAGTTTCTGTTTTCTAATATTTATTCAATTAAAGAATTTACGAATAATTGAAATTTCGTAAAATTGAATATTGTAAAGAAATAAATTTGAAAATTGTCAAAGAACTTTTTCGAAAATTATTAAAAATTATCGATATATAAAGAAGAATTTTAGATAAAAATTCTTCAAAAATAATAATGGAATTGATAATGATTTTAATTATTATAAATTATTTTTAATTATAAATTATTATTAATTATTATAAAACATGAAGAAATCGATGACTTCGAGTCGAAGACTCGGAGTTATCGATTTCTTCATGTTTTATAGAACTATGAAAAATTGAATTTCTAGTTTTAAGTAAAATGTTCTCTCATTTGATTCAGCCTGATTCTATTTTTGTTAGTTGGTCCGTAATTTTTAATTTTTGGTCCGTAAAGTCCGTATTTTTAAATACTTTCACTGCTTCGAGCCCTGAATGAATGTGAATGAAAACTATGTGACACTTGTCGAAGATTGTGACTTGGAATTATTAGATAACGGTAAAGGTTTCATTGACGATTTACTGAGGGTATTTTCAATTTTGTTAACGATTTTTTGAAGTCTATTGACTCTCGCTTCGCCATTATTATCGTCGGGTTCATTAACGGAATTTTTACTTCTCCCACTACTGAAACGACTCCAAACTTTTTCAAAATTCGAAACAGTCGATTCGCGTTGCTTTGCTCGAAATTTCATCAAGAGAGCAACATCGTCATAAAGTGCATCGTCTACTTGTAAAACACGATTGCTTTTTGGCGATTGATAATAGTCGAATTCCATTTCATTATTGTTCGGTGTCTTCGATGAATTTGTTAAAAAATTTAAATCCACTTTTGAAATTTCCGTCTCGAATGAATTGCTTGAATTACTTTTTGTACTTTCGGGTTCTTTGGCGGATTTCTCTTGACACACGGCAATGTCGTCGTACAATTGTTCCAATGAACAGGGTGTGACTGAGGGTGGAATTGAGTAAATTGGTCGTGGAACGGGTGGTGAAAGGTATTCGCATTGTTCACTAGTAACGTCAGATTCGGGATGATTCATTACGATAGTGGCAATGTCATCATAAGTGGGCAATGCTTCCGATGATATTGACGATGCAGGTGATAAGCTTCGTTTTTTATTTTTATTTTCCTTCTTTACGATGTAACTTCGATTTCGCATACGATCGAGAAAGGATTTCTTTGAGGCTTTTATTTGAGCGGCACCTGAAAGTTTCTTCTCTTTTTGATCGGCGGCATTCATCTGGAATTTATTAAATACAAGAGTGTATTAGAACTAAATTTTTAAAAACTATTAAATATAAATAACAGGGCTCGTACTAAGTCCGTGAATCCCGTAAAGGTCCGTAAATTTGCTTCAAGTCCGTAAAAGTCAGTTGTTTTTTAGAAAAAAGGTCCGTAAAGTCCATAATTTGATAGAAACAGGACGAAAAGTTCGTAAATTCTACGATATAATTTGGAGAATTTTAGAGAAATTACAAATGATTGCAGAAATTCAATTATTTTCAAAAGTAATAAAATTCTTCACAAAAATTCAATTATGTACAAAAATTTTTTTAAATTCTCGTCAAAATTTCAATTTTTTTTAGAAAGTTTAATAAAATTCTTCTTCGAAATTCAATTATTTTCACAAATTTTAATAAAATTCTTGACCAAATTTCAATTATTTTCAAACATTTTCCTCAATTCAATGATTTTTACTATCTACTATTTTAATAAAATTTTCCAAAAGAATTCAATTTATTTAAAAAAAAATTAAATAAAATTCTACGCAAACCTTTAAATATTTTTGTAAAACAATAAAAATTTTATAGGAAGTGAATTATTTACAAATTTTTTATAAATTCGTAATCATTCAATTATTTTCATAAATAATAATATTTTTTCAAGGATTCAATTATTTTCGTAAATAATTAAATTCTTTTTAGAAATTCAATTATTTTCATAAATAATTCAAAACTCAACGCTGAATTTTAATTATTCTTAATACAATTTTAATTGAATTCTTCATAAAGTATAATTTTATTAAAATTCGTCGAAAAAAAAATTCAATTTTTTAAAAATTTTTTGATAAAATTCTTTATGAGAATTCAATTATTCAATTAGTTATTTTTTTATTTAAATTTAATTGAATTCTAGTAGAATTTTCTAATAAAAATTGATTTAAAAAAATATTTCACTTAAACATTTAGATTATAATTGAACTTTAAAAGAATTATAGCGCGAATTTTTATAGAAATAATTGAATTTTGAATAGGTTTCAAATTTAAAATCTTTGAAAAAGTTTATTTCAATTTTACTTGAAATTATGTTTTTGAAGTTTTCATTTTCTAATAATATATTTAATTGGCTAATTTCCGAATAATTCAAGTTTTGTAAAATTGAATTGAATAAACAAATGAATTTGTAAATTCTCAAAGAACTTTTTCAAAATTTATTAATAAATAATTTTTTTGTAGAAGAATTTTAGTTAAAAACACTAAAAAAAAAATATAATTTTTGCAGAAATTACAAATTATTGAAGAAATTCAATTATTTTCATAAATAATAAAATTTTTACAGGGATTTAATTATTTTCGTAAATAATAACATTCTTTTTAGAAATTTAATTATTTTCATAAATAATAAAACTCATTGCAGAATTTCAATTATTTTTAAATACAATTTAAATCGAATTCTTCAAAAAGTGTAACTATTTGTAAAAACGTTATTAAAATTCGTCAAAAGAATTCAATTATTTAAAAATTTATTGATAAAATTCTTTATGAGAATTCAAGTTTAAGAAACGCAATTATTCAATAAAATTGATTTTTTTGTATTTAAATAATTGAATTCTAGTAGAATTTTCTAATAAAAATTTTTTAGAAATGGATTTTAGTTAAAATTTTAGATTATAATTAAATATTAAAAGCATTATTGCGTGAATTTTTAAAAATAATTAATTTTGAAAAGGTTTCAAATTAAAATCTTTGAAAATCTGAAATTTTAGTTAAAAACACAAAGAAAAATTTAATTTGGAAATGTTACAAATTATTGCAGAATTTCAATTATTTTCAAGAGTAATAATATTCTTCGCAAAAATTAAATATTGTTCAAAAATAATAAAATTCTTCTTAGGAATTCAATTATTTTCACAAATAATAAAACTCATCGTAGAATGTCAATTATTTTTAATACAATTTTAATCAAATTTTTCGAAAAATGTAATTATTCTTAAAAATTTTATTAAAATTCGTTGAAAGAATTAAATTATTTAAAACTTAATTATTAAAATTCCTCAACAGAATTCAATTTTTTAAAAATTTGTTGATAAAATTCTTTATGAGAATTCAATTTTAAAAACATTCAACTATTCAATAAATTATTTATTTTTGTATTTAAAATTTTGAATAATTGAATTCTCGTAGAATTTTCTAATAAAAATTGATTAAAAAATTATTTTTAGTTAAAATTTTTGATAATAATTAAATATTAAAAGCAATATAGCGTAAATTTTTAGAAATAATTAAGTTTTGAAATTAATTTTTTTGAAAAAGTTTAATTAAATTGTTCAAAAAAAATTATTTGAAGTTTTTAATTTCTAATATATATTTAATTGAAGAATTTACAAATAATTGAAATTTTCTAAAATTGAATATTTGTAAACAAATGAATTTGAAAATTCTTAAAGAGCTTTTTCGAAAATTATTAAAAACAATGCATTTAAAGAAAAATTTTAGTTAAAAACAAGAAAAAGAAAATTTAATTTTGGAAAAGTTACAAATTATTGCAGAAATTCAATTATTTTCAAGAGTAATAATATTCGTCGCAAAAATTAAATATTCTTCAAAAATAATAAAATTCTTCTTAGGGATTCAATTATTTTCACAAATAATAAAACTCATCGCAGAATTTCAATTTTAATCGAATTTCGCGAAAAATGTAATTATTATTCTTAAAAATTCTATTAAAATTCATTGAAAGAATTCAATTATTTAAAAATTAGTTGATAAAATTCTTTATGGAAATTGAATTTTTAAGAAATATTCAATTATTTATTTATGTATTTAAATAATTTAATTCTAGTAGAATTTTCTAATAAAAATTGATTTAAAAATGAATTTCAGTTAAAATTTCATTTTAGATAATAATTGAATATTAATAGCAATATAGCGTGAATTTTTAGAAATAACCGAATTTTGAAATTAATTTTTTTGAAAAAGTTTAATTGAATTTTTTTTATATTATTTTAAATTTTTATTTTCTATTGTATATTTAATTGAAGAATTTACGAATAATTGAAATTCGTAAAATTGAATATTGCAAATAAATGAATTTGAAAATTCTCAAAGAACTTTTTCGAAAATTAATTGATTTACTTAAAGAAGAATTTTATTATTATTATTATTATTATTAGTATTATTATTATTATTATTATTATTATTATTATTATTATTATTATTATTATTATTATTATTATTATTAAAATTCTAGAAAATAATTGAAATGATGAAATTAATTTTGAAGAAGTACAATATTTCTATAATATAAAATAATGATTTTATCAATTTGCCATCTTTTATTAATTATTATAAAACATGAAGAAATTGATCACTCTGAGTCCAAGACTTGGAGTTATCAATTTCTTCATGTTTTATTGTTGACAAATTTAATTTATAGTTTTTAAGTAAAATGTTTTCTTATTTGACTCAGACTGGTTATATTTTTGTCAGCAACTGGTCTGTAATTGGTCCGTAATTTTTCATTGTTGGTCCGTAAAGTCCCTATTTTGAAATACATTCACTGGTTCAATTTCTGATATAAATACCTTAGCATCGTCACATAATTCTGGAGAATCGACAATTGCTTCGTTTTCTGGTAAAGTCGATTTCTGAGGCATTTGAACGTCGTCATAGGCTTCCTGAATTTCTTCTCTTCTTTTATCGTTGTCAGTGTGTTTGATTTCGGTGGCGACGTCGTCGTAAGTGTCGGGACAACCGTTTCTCTTCAACTCTTGTTGTTTCTTCTCATCCTCCTTCTTTGCAACCATGAAATTCTGATAAGCTGTGCCGTCGCGGAAATCTTCAATTTTGTGATAAATATCGTCTTCATCGTAGGGTTCGTCGATAATTGGAAACGAAGGAATAACATCCTCATGAGGCAGCGAAGGAAGTCTTCGAGGGATTCTAGCAGGTAATGGAGGTGTTTTATCATCATTTTGTTCTTGATTCAGTAACTTTGTTGTTTTTTCTCTTAGATGAATATCGCTATTCGCCTCTTTTTCGACACTTTTTATTCGAAGACTCAGTAAGTTTTCTCTACTTAACGAAGAAGGTCTAAAATCAGCGTCCTGATATTTTTCATCTTTTAACGACGATTCTGAACTTTTTCTCTCTTTCTGCTCCAGTTGTGCTGTCTCCGTGAAAGAAGATCCACGAAGGCGTGTCTTATTGTCATTTTCTCTGGCACTCGTTTCACAGATGATTGCCACCCACTCTTCCATTTCTTCTGGTGTTTTTGCCACAAACTGAAATATTAATCAATTTTAGTTTTCTCTATATTGGAAAAAATTAAATTTTTAGAATTCAGAAGAAAATTCTGAATCATGTGTCTTTTTTGTTTGACTCATAAACTATGAAACTACCACGAATTCTAATACAAAAATCTTCAAAAATTTTTTTCTATTTCTAACGAGAATTAATTTTTTAATATTATTTAATTACTTTCAAAAGTTTTAACGCAATTATCTCGATAAATAACAAAACTCTTCATAGAAATACAATTATTTTTAGAAATTTTAATAAAATTATTTGCAAAATTCAATTATTTTCATAAATAACAATATTCATCAAAAGAATTCAATTATTTTCAAAAGTAATAAAATTCTTCGAAGAAATTAATTATTTAAAAAAATTTTTAACGAATATCTCATCAAGAATTCAATTATCTTTATAAATAGCAAAAATTTTCGCCAAAAATTCAATTATTTTCAAAAATTTAAATAAAATTCTTTCCAAAATTTCAATTATTTTCAAAAGTTTTTCGCATTTCAATGATTTTTAATATTTACATAAAATTTATCAAAAATTTAATTATTAAAAACATTTTTTGATACAATTCTACGATGGGTTCAATTATTTTCATAAAATAATACAAATCCATTTAGGAATTCAATTATTTTCATCGCAGAATTTCAAATATTTTTAATAAATTTTTAAATAAATTCCTCAAAGAATGAAATTATTCTTAAAAATTCTATTTACACTTGTCGAAAGAATTCAATTTTAAGAAACATTCCATTATTTAATAAAATTCGTTGCAATAATTCAATTGCAAATATTCAAAAATTTTTAAGTAATTCTGCAGAAGAATTCAATGATCTTGATAAACAACAAAGTTTTCCCCATAAAATCAATTGGTTTTAAGGAATTTTAATAAAATTCTTTTCTAAAATTCAATTATTTTGATAAATATTAAAATTCATCATAAGAATTCAATTCTTTTGAAAACTGATAAAAATACTTTTCGAAAATTAAATTTTCAAAATTTTTTAAAAATTCCCGTTGAGAATTAAATTATTGTTATAAATAGATAGCGAAAGAATTAAATTATTGTCGAAAATTTCAATAAAATTCTTGGCAAAATTTCAATTGTAAAGAAAATTTATTAAATTCTAAAAATTATTATTTCAATTCTTCTCAGGAATTCAATTATTTTCAAAAATTTTAATAAAATTCTTGAAGAAGTTTTCAATTATTTTCAATAATTACTATAAAATTCTTTAATATAATAAATTTGAGTAAAATTTTTATCAAATTCCTTAAAAGAAATTAATTAATTTTAAAAGTTGTTAATAATTCTCAAAAATTTCAATTATTTTCAAAAAATTTTCTCAATTCAATGATTTTTAATATCAACTATTTTAATAAAATTTTCCAAAAGAATTCAATTTATTTGAAAAAAATTAAATAAAATTCTACACAAACCAATAATTGAATTCCTGTAAAAATTTTTATTATTTTATGAAAATATTTAAATATTTTCATAAAATAATAAAAATTTTTACAGGAATTCAATTATTTACAAATTTTTTATAAATTCGCAATTATTCAATTATTTTCATAAATAATAACATTTTTTCAAGGATTTAATTATTTTCGTAAATAATAAAATGCTTTTTAAAAAATCAATTATTTTCATAAGTAATTAAAAATTCAATGCTGAATTTCAATTATTTTTAATACAATTTTAATGGAATTCCTCAAAAAGTGTAATTTTATTAAAATTCGTCGAAAGAATTCAATTATTTAAAAATTTGTTAATAAAATTCTTTATGAAATTCAATTACTCAATTAGTTGTTTTTTTTTATAAATAATTGAATTCTAGTAGAATTTTCTAATTAAAAATTGATTTAAAAATGAATTTTTAGAAATAATTGAATTTTGAAAAAGTTTCAAATTAAAATCTTTGTAAATTTTAACTTTTCATACTTTTAACTATCAATTCTGTAGAAGAATGAATTTTTTTGAAAAAGATTATTTCAATTTTACTTGAAATTATTTTTTTGAAGTTTTTATTTTGTAATAATAAATTTAATTGATGAATTTCTGAATAATTCAAGTTTTGTAAAATTGAATTGTATAAACAAATGAATTTTAAAATTGTCAAAGAACTTTTTCAAAAATTATTATTAAACATAATTTATTTATAGAAGAATTTTAGTTAAAAACACTAAAAAAATATAATTTTGGAGAAATTACAAACTATTGCAGAAATTCAATTATTTTCATGAATAATAAAATTCATCGCAGAGTTTCAATCATTTTTATGACAATTTTAATGGAATTCCTTAAAACGTGTAATTATTCTTAAAACTTTTATTAAAATTCCTCAACAGAATTCAATTGTTTAAAAGTTTGTTGATAAAATTCTTTATGAGAATTTAATTTTAAGAAACATTCAACTATTTAATAAATTATTTATTTTTGTATTTAAATAATTGAATTCTCGTAGAATTTTCTAACAAAAATTGATTAAAAAATTAATTTTAGTTAAAATTTTAGATAATAATTAAATATTAAAAGCAATATAGCGTAATTTTTAGAAATAATTGAATTTTTGAAATTAATTTATTAAAAAATGTTTAATTGAATTTTTTTAAAAAATTATTTGAAGTTTTTATTTTCTAATAATATAGGTATTTAATTGATGAATTTCCGAATAATTGAAATTTCGTAAAATTGAATATTGTAAACAAATGAATTTGAAAATTCTTAAAGAACTTTTTCGAAAATTAATTGATTTACTTAAAAAAGAATTTTATTATTATTAAAATTGTAGAAAATAATTTAAATGATGAAAATAATTTTTAGGATTTAGGATATTTTTATAATATAAAATAATGATTTTATCACTGGGCCATCTTTAATTATTATAAGTTATTTAATTTCAAAAGATTTGAATTTGAAATTTTTGAAAATCTTACTTCTTATGGAATTATAATAATGATTAAGAATTTATTTAAAAATGAAGTTATTGATGTTTTCGAATAATTTTACTTTTGAAAAAAATTTGTAAATGAATATAATAGAAAATTTCTTATTTATTTATTTTTTTTTCTTATTTTTTTTTTTTATTTTTCTTTTAGTATCGAATTATTTTTAGAGTGAATCAGAATATTCTTTACTGTCAGGGAAAATGTCAAAATTCTTTCTGGAAATGAGGGAAAAGTCAGGGAAGAAAAAAAGTTAAATTTTTGTGGCAATAATCCTGTATTAATTAAAATGAACTCTACCTGTAGGGTTTTATGACCAGGACAAAAAATCTCAAAGGCAGAATCACTTCGTTTAGAATCAACACTTGGTGCTGGACGTCCTCTGTATCCTCGTATAGGAACAACTGCATTGGGTCGACTATCTTTTTCACTTCCGTAAATCAAAAGGTAAGAACCCAATAAACCTGTGAAAATTTTTAAAAACTCTTTATTTCTTCATAGTCTCATTTTTTTTCATGTTATTTTAAATACAAGAAAAGAATACCAAAAAAAAACATTTTCAATTTTTTCTGTTTCAGATTTAAAACTCACCGATCCAACAAGGTCGAAGAGAATCAATAAAGGGAATTTTGATTTCACTCTTTCTTGAGAGTTGTCCCCATTTATTGCAATTTATCCTCGTCTGCGTTGCTGAGAAACCAAAATAAATTGTCGTTAAAGTATTTTCCAACGAATTGCCCGCTTCGTCTTCTATCGATGGGAAATTCTCGGATTTTGGATTATTAATTTCCTGAAATGTTTCATAATAATCTTGATTAACTTTTGGCTCTGAATCAAGTTCGGTATTTATGTATTCCTGAAGTTGTGTCTCTTGTTTTGTCGCTAACAAAAGACCCTTGCCGGCATTCATGTCTAGATAAGGTTCAGGCGAAGATGGTGGACCAATCGCGAGATTAAGAAGAGTTACTTTTGATCTTCGTAAAAGATTTTCACGAATATTTTCCAAATTTGATGGTAGTTTCACTTCATTTAAGGCTTCAAGAAATTGCACGAAATCTAAAGAGATTGAAGATTGAAAAATGAAAAAAGGTACATAACTTATTTTTAATAATTATTAATGATAAAAAATATTTTTTTTAATTCAATACATTAAAATTAAATTTTTTTTAGTAAGTAATTGTGAAACATTTTTTATTTAATATAAAATTAAAAAATAATAATTAAATTGTCGATATGAAAGTGGATCGACTTTTTTATTTATAAGTTATTTTTTAGATAAGAACATTATTTGGTTAGCTTTATGATTACAATTGTTGCAATTAAAAGATAATAGCTTGATTACGTACCTCGCAAAATGCAAGTGAAGTCTGCTTCCAAACCCATTGTTTTAAAACTTTTATTTCTTCTTATCAAATAGATAATTGCACTGAAGATCTTTATTGTTTATCAAAATCTCAGCTAAGTTGTCCTATGGAGACAATAATGGGACATTGTCTTTTTTTTATATCAATTCTTTTTAATTTCTCCATTACGTGATCTCTACGTTTCTGAAAAGAGATAAAAATTTAAAATTTACTTTTAATTAAAAATTAAAATTCTACTCTATCTACTTTGCTTTTAATGCTGTTTCTCATTAATTTAAGTATATTTTTTATCACCAATATTACAGAATTAAAAATAAAATTTTCATGAGAAATTTTAGTGACATGCGGTTACCGCATAATTTTTATAGCTGTGGTTACCCATATTGCAGATATATCCTATGTTTTGAATAAAATTTAAAAAATGAAAATTTCTTACAGTAAATTAATTTTTAATACTCTATTTTTATAATAATAATTATTCAAAATATTTTTGCTAAATGCTATTATCTTCAACTGTTATTTTTGAAATTTTAATCAATAATTCAATATAGTAAAATAATATCAATATAGGTATCTATAATAATTATTTTATTATCTTCGTCTATAAATTGTTGTATTCTGGTAATCTGTTCGCAATTTGAAGTTAGTTTTTGTTTGCTTCTTTGTTTCTAAACTTTTTTTAAAAAAATTTTTCTTTTTAAATGTTACCTATCTTTTTTTTAAATTAATCTACTGAAAATCATTGAATTTATGCAAAGTATTTATCAAAAAATTTAAAAATAATTGAATTCTTTCGAGAAATATCATTAAATGATTAAAATTGCATTGGAAATAATTAAATTCTCGCACAAAGAATATTATTAATTATAAAAAGAATCGAATTCTTCCAAAGAATGTTATATTAAAATTGTACTGGAAATAATTTAATTGTTTTGAAGAATTTATTTGATTTTTTTTCAAAATACTGGAGTTTTTTAAAATATTTTTATTGCAAATTTTGGACGTAATTGAAATCTATGAAGAATTTCTTTTAAGTTTTTAAAATAATCGTGTATTTTTATTATTATTATTATTATTAATTATCGTAAATTAATAATTTTATTATTAAATTTTTATTAAAATTATTGATATAAAACTAGATTCTTTTAAACAATTTTATTAGTTTTCATAAATAATTAAATTTTTTTAAAGAATTTTTTTAAATTTCGTGAAAATAATGTAGTTTTTTTTAATAATTTTTATTAAAAATTTTTAAAAGTAATTACAATTTACGAAGAATTTTATCAAAAACTTTTGAGAATAATTGCAGAATTTTTTAGAAAAATTTGATTACTATTTATAAAAATAATTGGATTCTCGGAAATAATTTTATAATAAAAATAATTGAATTCTTGAGAAGAATTTTACAATTTATAAAAATAATTGAACTCTTGAAAATTCTTTCGAAAGATTTTATTATTTATAAAAATATTTTAATTTTGCCAAGAATTTTCTTATTTATAAAAATAATTGAATTCTTGTGGAGGATTTTACAATTCATAAAAATTAATGAATTATTTCGAAGAATTTTGTATCAGAATTATTGAAAATAATCGAATTCAATTATTAATATTTTTATAAAATAATTGTATTTTTTCTGGACATTTTGTTAAAGCTGCATATTTATTGAAAATAATTTAATTTAATTAATATTTTTAAAAATAATTGTATTCTTTCGAGAAATTTTATTAAAATTGTATTGAAAATAATTGAATTCCTACAAAACATTTATTATTATTAATGAAAATAATTGAATTCCTACAAAACATTTATTATTATTAATGAAAATAATTGAATTCCTCCAAAAAATTTTGTTCTTCATGAAAATAATTGAATTACTCCGAAGAATTTTATTATTTATGAAAATATTTTTATTTTGCAAAGAATATTTTGATTTATAAAAATAATTGAATTCTTGCAGAGGATTTTACAAATTCATAAAAGTAATTAAATTATTTTAAAGAATTTTATCTGAATTTTTGAAAATAATTGAATGTTTTGAAGGAATTTTATTAGAAATTTTGAAAATAATGAATTTTTTAAAATATAATTTCATCAAAATTGTCGAAAATAATTGAATTGATATAAATTTTTAATTCTTGAAAATAATAAAATTTAATTAATATTTTTCAAAATAATTGTATTCTTTCAAAAAATTTTTATCAAAATTATTGTATTGAAAATAATTGAATTCTTCCGATGAATTTTATTATTAACGAAAATAATTGAATTCCTCCAAAAAAATTTTGTTCTTCATGAAAATAATTGAATTACTCCGAAGAATTTTATTATTTATGAAAATAATTGAATTTTATCAAAATTGTTATCGTATTTTATAAATGAATTTTAAAACTTTTGAATCAGACACTATTTAAATGTTGATGTTTATATTTGAAAATAAATTTTTTTTTTAATTTACAAAATAATAATAAATGGACGTTTAATAAGACTGTTCAGAATTTTACGAAATTTTTAATCTTCTTTCAATTAGAGATTTGCAATATATATAATAACTATACTGAATTTATGCCAGTGAATTCAAATTATTTTGAATTGTGAGGCAAATTTCAAACCGTTATTCCAATTAAGTAAGAAAAAATTATTACTCAATTCGCATTCTTTAAAAATTTAATTTACAAACATTCATTTTCTTCCAAAGTTGTTGTCAGTAATTGACTATTAATGATTTTTTTTTATTTTAATAATAGTCACGTCAAGAATTTCCCGTTTTGAATATATTATATTTTTACGGGAAATAAAATTATTATTTTTATTATAATAATCGTAATTTAAATATAATTTAATTATTTATTATATAGCATTCATTATTATTGTCATATAATAATAATTATAATAATAAAAATAGTAATAAAATTCTTCATGTGATAAGAAACATAATTATAATAATTGAAGGAATTCGTTAGATTATAATTAAAAAATTCTTGGTTAATCTCATCTTACGTAAATTTTTTTTAAATGACATTCTAAAGGAGAAAAAAATTGCAATATTTTTATTTATTTTTATTTTGAAAATTATTCAAGAATACTTGAATAATTTTCAAGTATTGCTTCACTTTAAATTTTTCCAAAAATTATTTCAATGTTGATTTCATAATTTGAAATTTCTCATGTAATTGTGCTGTAATTTCTTGTCAAACATTATTTTAAAAATATCAGATATTTAACACTATATATACCGTAATGCAGAATAATTGCGTGATATAAAAGGTGCTTACGCGACACAGAATAAAAATTGCTGACGTACATGTTATAAACCTTGTCCACAAGAAAATCCACTTCTATAATGACGCTTTTCCTTCACTTCAAATATAATCTCAATGTCTCTCTATATATTTATATATTCCTTTTCCACTCACTGTTATTGTTATACAATCACTTTTAAACATATTTTTTTTTCATTCACAGTTTTCACACAATGGAGTTAAAAATTTTTTTACATAAAATTGAAACTACGGAAGAAATCCCAAAGTTTTGTCAATAGGACCTCAACATAATTATTTGAATCACTGCGGGGCTTTAAATTCTTCGAGGCAATTGAAAACAACATATGCGGATGAGAAGAAATTCTTGTCTGTACTTAACGACTTGACATACGAGGCTCGAGTGTGTTTGCTTTAAAAAATTCAAGGACTTATTTACACTATCTCATCATTTAAAATCGTTGAAAAAAAAGAAAGGAAAATTTTTCTATTATTTGCTTTTCAAGTAAGAAAAGAAATGAAGAAGAATAAGAAGAATTTAAAAAAAAGGATTTTTAAAAATAAAAAAAAGAATTATTTAAAAAATAAATAAGAGGAGTACAATTTAATTTTCGGAGAGCGAAATCTTAAGGAATTTTATAATAACAAGATCCACAGTGGATGAGACTTTGTGTTAAACTGGTACATCAGAGTTTTGATTGAAGTTAAGTAACACGAATGCTTTTTCTCTTTTTTCTGAATGTACAGTTTTTGAGCCGGCGTGGGTGTCGATGTAAATAACAGACACAAGAGACGAAGCAACACGTGCGGGCGACTTAAGGCGACTCCCGCAAAGTTTTAAAACACGAAGCGACTTTTGTCATCGCGGAGTATAATTTCTCTACTCCCCTATTACCCACCTCGTCACATTTAAAGAGCTGACTCATATCTTGTACATATATTATTTACGAGCAACAAACTCCTTCTTCAAAACATGACAGACTCCAGAGCAAGCTCCAGAGTCTTCATTGACTCCATAGTCACACCAGATCGTGACCGTTTAATTGTCCGATCTAATTCGACGAATTAACCGAGAAACATTTCTCCTCAACGGGTTCAGGGAGATCAATTATGAAACATCTTCAACTTTTTCTCAATTATAAGAACCCAACGTGGAGGGCTTCAAAAAATAATCGAAATTTTCTTTCAAAGACTTATATTGAATTCATTTTTTTTTAATTTGCTTCGTATTTATTAAGAAAAAAGAAAGTTGAGTATTTCTCTGCATTTCGACTACTAGGAATTTTTAGTAGTCGAAATTTTCAATTTAAAAAAAAAATTCAATTCTCAGTTAAAACAATTTTTAAATTTTCTTTTAATACGGAAAATATGGAACTTTGAAAAGGCATAAATTTTTATTCACTTTATAAATCATTTTAATTTTTGTAATTTTTAATGAAATACTTATTATGACACATTACTGAAAAAACTAATTAGAATTAAATTTTCAAATTATATTATATTTTTAAACTTTAAAGTAGGTATATAAAAAAACTTTAACAAATTTTGATACTAATTTCAAATTTGACACCAGATTTACAAAATTAAAAATAATTAAAGTTTCTTGTACGAGGAAAATTAATTTTCGCAAAAATTGTCATCTGATACCTAAATTAAAAATAATCTTCATTACGAAAATTTTAATTATTCTAAAGAATAGAGAAGGTAAAAAAATTATTATATATTCAACTTTCTGAACAAAGAATATAAATAATATTTTTTTCAGAGAATTTCCACTACTTTTAATTCGCTAATTTTTAAAAAAATTTCGAAAAACTCAATTATTTAACAAAATTTTATTCAATTCATTTTTCACAATAATTCAATTATTACTTTCACTATAAAATTTTTCATGAAAATTCCATTTTTTAAAAAATGTTTGATTAAATTCTAAGCATGAATTTAATTATTTTCATAAATAATAAAACTCATCGAAGAATTTCAATTATTTTTAATACTATTTTAAATTAATAATCGAAAAATTCAGTTATTTTCACAAATAAAGTTTTCCACAAGAATTCAATTCTTTAAACTAATAAAATTTTCATAATATTTATTATATTTCGAAAAAATTAAATAATTATTTAAAACAATGTTCATAAAATTCTTATAAAGAATTCAATTACTTTCAAAAATAATAAAATTTTTCACAGAAATTCAATTCTTTTTAAAAATTTTAATAAACTTTTCCGCAATAATTCAATTATTTTCAAAAATAATAAAATTCATAGCAGGCTTTCAATTATTTTTTAAACAATTTTACAGGAATTGCTCAAAAAATGTAATTATTCATAAAAACTTAATTTTAATTCCTCGAAAAAATCAATTATTTAAAAAAATGTTTTTTTTAAATATTTTTTGGAAGGATTGAATAATTATTTTCAAAAATTTAATAAAATTGTTCGAAAGAAATTAATTGTTTTAAATAAAATTTTAATTCAATTTTTTTGAAATAATTCAATTATTTTTTAAAATTGTTATAAAATTTTTTCTAAGATTTCAATTATTTACACAAATAATTTTTCGAAAGAATTCAATTATTAAAGATAAATAAGAAAATTACTCCCGAAAATTCAATTATTTTGAGGTTTTTTAATAAAATTCTTTTCAAAATTCAATTATTTTTAAAAATAATAAATTCCATTTTGAAAATTCCATTATTTTAAAAAATTCTAATGAATCGTTGTAAGAACTCAATTATTTTCATAAATAATAAAATGCTTTTTATAGAAATTCAATTATTTTCAATAAAATTTAATAAAATTTAATAAAATTTCCTAAAAATAATGTAATTTTTTAAAGTCATTTTAATTGAAAATTTTCAAAATAATTGACATTCACAAAGAATTTTATTAAAAACTTTTGAGAACAATTGAATTTGTTTAGGTTTAGAAAAATTTTATTACAGTTTTTAAAAATAATTGAATCTGTTGGAGAAATTTTATTAAAACTAACTTGAATAGAATTTAATATTTCTTCCTAGAAATTTTATTCAAATTGTATTGAAAATAATCGAATTCTTGCCAAGAATTTATTTTACAATTTATAATAATAATTGAATTGTTACGAAGAATTTTATCTGAATTTTTGAAAATAATTGAATGTTTTGAAGGAATTTTATTAAAAAATTTTGAAAATAATTGAATTTATTTAAAAAGAATTTCATCAAAATTGTCGAAAATAATTGAATTTATATATTAAAAATTTTAATTCTTGAAAATAATCGAATTTAAATACTATTTTTAAAAATAATTGTATTTTTTCGAGAAATTTGATGAAAATTGTATTGGAAATAATTGAATTCCTTCGAAATTTTATTATTTATGAAAATATTTTAATTTTGGGAAGAGTTTTCTTATTTATGAAAATAATTGAATTCTTGCGGAGGATTTTACAATTTATAAAAATAATTGAATTACTTCGAAGAATTTTATCTGAATTTTTGAAAATAATTGAATTTTTTTAAAATTTTGAAAATTCTTTTTTTAAAAGAATTTTATTAAAATTGTCGAAAATAATTGAATTTATACCTATATTAAAATTTTTAATTCTTGAAAATAATCGAATTTACTTAATATTTGTCAAAATAATTGTATTCTTTCGAGAAATTTTATTAAAATTGTATTGAAAATAATTGAATTGCTCTAAAAAAATATTATTTTGTGAGAATAATGAAATGCTTGCGAAAAATTTTATTAAAATTTTTAAATAATAATATACAAGAAATCTTTAATATTATATACCTTATAAGTGAATTTTTAAAATTTTGAATTTGCAATCATTCAAAAATTGATGTTTATTTTTGAAAATACAAAATTTTTTAATTTACAAAATAATAATAGGTAAATGGATTAATATCTAATTTAATATTGAAATTGTTATTATTTTATTAAGTCTTGAAATTAGTTACAAGTTTCATAAAACCAACTTCAAGTATGAGATTTAACCACTTAACGTCAGTTTAAAAATTAAAAAAAATTATCATGTTTGTTTCTGACACAAATAATCTTGGGAACTTTCACTCACCGTTTTGGAATAAAAAAGATGAATTTGAATTCAATTTCTTTGCTATAATTATAGAAAATAATTAATAAAAAAGAAAAAAAAATGGAATTAAGAAAAGGGGATGCAATTGCATGTGAAGGAGGTTCTAGTGCACGTGTGAAACGAGGAAAGAATAAAATTCTAGAAATGGAACTTCATCTCAAAAGCTTAAAAGAAAAATTAAACACACTCGAAACTATGCTTCCACATTCAAAAACTGATGATGACCAACAAGGTATATGGTACTTATCCAACAATTAAAATGTTTTCCTAAAATTTTCATTTTAAAATAGAAATAAATAAAAGATTTTAATTAATATACTTAAATATTTAATATTGTTTTTTCTAGATTGCCCAAAAACAAATGAAGGAAATTTGAATAAGGATGAAATGTGTGTTCTCCAATCATTGGCAGTGAAGGAGAAGAAGTTGCGTGATGAGATTTTCAAAATTGAATGCAAGGAGAAAGAATATTTACAAACTTTATCGCAGGCAAATGTTGAAAATAATATTAACGAAGATAAATGTAATTTCACTCGAATCGATAATTCGTTGAGAAGTCGTAAAGGAGAAAGCGTAGAAATAGAGAAAATTTCTCGTTTAGAAGAATACAGTAAAAAACTGTGCAACTGTTTACGGAGCATAAAAAATAATCGTAAAATTTGGTCTCGACAAGCTGGCGATTTATCAAAAGAACTTAATTGCTTGGAAAATTCTGGATTGGTATACAAATATAGCTTCAAATTTGTGTAATTATAATATTCTTCTATTTATTTTTTTTTCTTTTTACTAATACTTTTTTTTATAAATATTATCATATCTCTATAAATTTTTGTTTTAATATTGATTTAAATTTAGAAGAAATCCTCTCAAGATTTTGGTCCTGAAGGATATAAAACAATTGAGAACAAAATATGTCCTTGTGGAGAACCAGCGAAAGTAAGATATTTTCAAATACAAATTTGATGCTTGTATTTTGTTTCTGAACTTTTTTACTAATTTTTCTTTTTAAATATTTTCAATTAAATTTATTTTCAAATTAATGTACTGAAAATCGTTGAATTCTTGTAAAGTATTTAAAAAAAGAATTTAAAAATAATTGAATTCATTTAAAGAATTTTATCAAGATTTTTTTCCATAATTGAATTCTTTCCAAAAAAATGTAATTAAAATTGTATTGAAAATAATAATTATTTTCAATACAATTAAGATAAGATAAGATAAACATAAGATAACATAACATAACATACATAACATAACATACATAAGATTTTGATTAAAATTCTTTAAAATAATTGAATTCTTTTGAAGAATTTATACATAGAAAATTAAATTCTTTTAAACAATTTTATTAGAGTTTTTGTAAATAATTACGTTTTTTTTTAAAGAATTTCATTAAATTTCGTAAAAATAATGTAATTTTTTAAAATAATTTTAATTGAAAATTTTGATAATAATTAAAATTTACAAAGAATTTTATTAAAAAATTTTAAGAACAATTGAATTTGTTTAGAGAAATTTTATTACAGTTTTTAAAAATAATTGAATCTGTTAGAGAAATTTTATTAAAATTATCTTGAATGTAATTTAATTTCTTCCTAGAAATTTTATTAAAATTGTATTGAAAATAATCGAATTCTTTACAAGAATTATACAATTTATAAAAATAATTGAATTGTTTCGAAGAATTTTATCTGAATTTTTGAAAATAATTGAATATTTTGAACGAATTTTTAAAAATAATTGAATTTATATTAAAATTCTTGAAAAAATCGAATTTAAATATTATTTTTAAAAATAATTGTATTTTTCGAAAAATTTGATTAAAATTGTATTGGAAATAATTGAATTCCTTCGAAATTTTATTATTTATGAAAATAATTGAATTTCTTTGTAGAATTTTCTTATTTATGAAAATATTTTAATTTTGGGAAGAATTTTAACTAAATTTTTGAAAATAATTGAATTTTTTGAAGAAATTTTATTTAAAATTTTAAAAATTCTTTTTTTTAAAAGAATTTTATCAAAAATGTCGAAAATTTTTAATGAAAGTTTTGAAAGTAATTGAATTTTGTGAAGAATTCAATTATTTTCAGTAATTGTTATAAAATTCTTTGCAAAAAGTCTAATTACAAATAATAAAAATCTTTTCTTAAAAGAATTTTATCAAAAATGTCGAAAATTTTTAATGAATGTTTTGAAAGTAATTGAATTTTATGAAGAATTCAATTATTTTCAGTAATTGTAATAAAATTCATTGCAAAAAGTCTAATTACAAATAATAAAAATCTTCGTAAAAAATTCAATTATTTTTATATAAATATTAAATTTCTTATCGGGATTTCACTTATGTTTAATAAAATTTTAATTAATTTCTCCTAAAATTTCAATTATTTTTAAAAATCCTGTGAAAATTCTCCGAGAAAATTCAATTATGTATTTTTAAAAACAATTGAATTTTTCACAGGTAGTCAATTATTAAAAAAAATTTTAGTAAAATTCAATTCAAGAATTCAATTATTTTCATAAATAATGACATTTTTGCTAAAAATTCAATTATTTTAAATACAATTTTAAATGAATTCCACGGGAAAAATAAATTCTTTTAAAAAAATTTTTTTTTTCAATTCTCCGAAAGAATTTAATAATATCAATAAATAGTCAATTTTACACAGGAATTCAATTATTTTAAATACAATTTTAATAAAATTCTTCTCAAAAATTCACTTTTTTTTAAATTTTGCAAAAATTTATTTATTTGTAGAAATAATAAATTTTTTCACAGGGATTCAATTATTTTAAAAAGTTTTAATAACATTCTATTCAAGAATTAGATTATTTTCAGAAATAATTAAATTGTCGATGTACTGAAAATCATTAAATTCTAGTAAAGTTATTATAAAAAAATTTGAAAATAATTGAATTCATTTGAAGAATTTTATCATCATTTTTTTCATTAATTGAATTTCTTGGGGAAAATGTAATTAAAATTGTGTTGAAAATAATTTAATTCTTGGCAATATTTTTATTAAAATTTATTATTAATAATTGTAATTAACGATTTTCCTATTCAATTATATTAAAATTATACATTAGAAATTATTAAAAACATTTGAGAACAATTGAATTTGTTTAGAAAAATGTTATTATAATTTTTTAAAAATAATTGAACTTGTTAGAGAAACTTTTTAAAATTATCTTGAATATAATTGAATTTCTTTCTAGAAAACTTATTAAAATTATGTATTGAAAATAATTGAATTTCTCAGAAGAATTTTATTATTTACAATTGTATAATTGGATTCTTAACAAGAATTTTACAATTTATAAAAATAATTGAATTGTTTCAAAGAATATTATCAGAATTGATGAAATTAATTGAATTTTGATGAAAACTCTTGAAAATAATTGAATTTAAATAATATTTTTAAAATAACTGTATTCGAGAAATTTAATTAAAATTGTGTTGAAAATAATTGAATTCCTTCGAAACATTTTATTATTTATGAAAGTAATTGAATTCCTTTGTAGAATTTTATTATTTATGAAAATAATTGAATTCTTGCGGAGGATTTTACAATTTATAAAAATAATTGAATTGTTACGAAGAGTTTTATTAAAAATTTTGAAAATAATAATTTTTTTTAAAGAATTTCATCAAAGCTGTTGAAAATAATTGAATTTATATTAAAATTCTTGAAAAAATCGAATTTAAATAGGTAATAAATAAAAAATAATAAATAAATTCTTTAAATTTAAAATCTTGTAATTATTCAAAAATTGATGTTTATTCTTGAAAATATAAAATTTTTTAATTTACAAAATAATAATAAATGGAATATTGCGATCATTTGCTAGTAAAAATAGTAATATATTAATAAATTTGAAAAGAATATAGTTTTCAGTAATTTTGTGAAATTCATTTTTTTTCAAACATCATTCATTAGTAAATTTTTTAATATTTTAATTTCTATGAAAAGCTTAATTATTATTATTTTACAGTGTGACAGTTGCATTATTTGTAACTGTGCTGATTGGGAGCAAAATTTAAAAATAGATATTGATGAAAAACGAGAAGAATTCAATGAATTACAGCAGAAAGAAGTATCTCTTGTGGATAAAAAAAGTAATTGCAGATGTTTCTACACATCTTCTAATTCTGATGCTAGTTCACAATCCTTGGAAATCAATAATATATACCAGTAGGCAAAGACTTTTTCAAAATAATTAAATAATAAATAAATAAATAATTAATTTAAATACCTAATAAATAATTATTATTTTAATTTAGAAATTATTTTTTATATAATACAAATTTAAAAAAAAATTACAGATGCAGTTTGTCGAAAATGCACTCCGAAATGTCAATCGAAACTCTCTCTGTACCATCTACTGTGGATTGTGAGATTATAGGAAATGAAGAAGACAGAAAAAATTATTGTTGCCTCTGTAAATCTGAAGACGATTATCAAAAATTTTGTGAAATTTGCTTATGTGATTGGGAACGAGAATATAACACAAATCAACAACTTTATTCCGGTGAATTATTTCAGTTCTTTATAAATACTAATTATAATTTATTTCTAAATTTAATTTTGTTTATAATTCTATATTCTTATTATTATAATTAATCAGTGAAAGATGATGAAAATTGTCATCGGTGTAATGTCTGCAATGAGGAAAGATTCAGAGGCGGAACAGATTTCGGAATTTCAATCAACCATCACTGTTATGAAAATTGTACGGAAAATTTGACAAATATTTTGAAACCAACAGCACATCATGATGAGAATAAGGAGATAAGAGAAAAAATTCCCAATGACTTGGAAGACAAACGTTTTTTAACTCATTCCTCACTGGTTTCCAAGGTGAGTTAATATTTAATTTACAAACAACTCTTACTAAATTTCTCCCTCTTTCATATATTCATTTCTTAAATATAAGAACAAAATATATATATTCTTGAAATAAATTAAATGAAAAACAGAATATTTTATTAAAATTTTAAAACCATAAATAGATGATATAAAAAATGAATAATTTTAATTAATAACTAAATAATCGGGGTGGCCACATGTCAGTAAAGTCAGAAAAACAAAATTTTTGTCAGTTAAGTGAGGGAAATGTTAGGAAAAAATTAAATTCTTGACAAGAATTTTACAGTTTATAAAAATAATTGAATTGTTTTAAAGAATATTATCAGAATTGCAAAAAATAATTTAATTTTTATTAAAACTATTCTTCTAAATAATTCAATTTAAATAATATTTTAAAAAAATTGTATTTGAGATATTTAATTAAAATTGTATTGAAAATAATTAAATTCTTTCGAAATATTTTATTATTTATGAAAGTAATTGAATTCCTTTGTAGAATTTTATTATTTATGAAAATATTTTAATTTTGCGAAGAATTTTCTCATTTATGAAAATAATTGAATTCTTGCGGAGGATTTTACAGTTTATAAAAATAATTGAATTGTTTAATTGTTTCGAAGAGTTTCATTAAAAATTTTGAAAATAATGATTTTTTTAAAAGAATTTCATCAAAACTGTTGAAAATAATGATTTTTTAAAAAGAATTTCATCAAAACTGTTGATAATAATTGAATTTATATTACAATTCTTGAAAAAAATTGAATTTAAATAATATTTAAAAAAAATTGTATTCGAGATATTTAATTAAAATTGTATTGAAAATAATTAAATTCTTTCGAAATATTTTATTATTTATAAAAATATTTTAATTTTGCCAAGAATTTTCTTATTTATAAAAATAATTGAATTCTTGCGGAGGATTTTACAATTCATAAAAATAATTGAATTATTTCGAAGAATTTTATCTGAATTTTTGAAAATAATTGAATGTTTTGAAGGAATTTTATTAAAAATTTTGAAAATAATGAATTTGTTTAAAAAGAATTTTATCAAAATTGTCGAAAATAATTAAATTTATATATTAAAATTTTTAATTCTTGAAAATAATCGAATTTAATTAATATTTTTCAAAATAATAGTATTTTTTCGAGAAATTTGATTAAAATTGTATTGAAAATAATTGAATTCTTGAGAAGAATTTTATTATTTATGAGAAAAATGAAATTCTTGCTTAAAATTATATTAAAAATTTTTGAATAATAATTAAACAAAAATATTTAATTTTGTTATCAGGGAAATTAAGAAAATTGAGACTTTTTTGACTTATTTTCAAAAATTTCTACTTTTTAGACTTTTTTTTACAAACATTGCAACAAAATACCACAATTTTTAGTAAAAAAAGTGCAACTTATTTTGATTTTTATGATGCGAAAAATAACTATATAAATAAATATTTCAAAAATTGTTTTTGAATACTTGAAATTTTTTAAAATTGAATTAAAAATTATTTATTTATTTCAAGTATTTTGTTACAATTTTTTAAAATTATCAAAAATTTTAATAAAAAATCTTTAAAGATAAATTGAAAACTGAAAATTAATGGAAATTAGCTTCTAATTTTTTTAAATTCAGTATTTTCAATTACATATTTCGAAAAATAATAACATTTTGGAGGAAAAAATTATGTACAAAATTTTTAATTAAAATTCATCATAAAATTAATTATTTTTTTTTAATTATACAAAAATTCTTTTAAAGAAATTTAATTATTTTCAAAAATTACATAAAAATATGTTTAAAAACTAATTATTAGAATTGTTTTGTAATAATTTTTTAAGATTCAATATTATCTTCGAACAATGTAAATAAAAATTTATGAAAATTTACTTTTTGGACATAATAAAATTTTTGAAAAATCATGGTTCTGTTTATATTTAAAATTCTTCAAAACTTTGATCATTTCTATTTATACTTTTCAAAAATTCAATTATTTTTAAAAGATTTTACCAAATTTTAATTGTTTGGAAATATTTTTAAAAAATTAATTATAAAAATTTCTTTATAATTTTTTGAAAATATTATACCTTAACAACTTGAGAAAAAACTATGAAGAGTTACAATTATTATAAAAAATTGAGTTTATGTATTTAAATAGTTGAATTCTAGAAGAACTTTTGGAAAATTATTTAAATTAATTGATTCAGAGATGAAGTTTAGTTGGAAATTGTAGAAAATAATTGAATTCAGAAAACGTTATAATTGTAATTTTTAGAAATGATTAAAATTCATAAATTTTACTATCATTTTTCGTAAACATTCATATTTTCCTGCAAAAAGAATTTTGTCAGGAAAAGTAATTTTAATGTCAGTAAATTGATAAACTGAAACTTGTGACCACCCTGATAATAAATACTAAAATTAGGTCGCAGTTCAATTGAATTCTAAAATTATAAATATTTTTCAGTGCCTCAAAATTGAAAAAACAAAAAGGAAAGAAGTTATTGCAACTTTGATGAAAGAATTAAATCAAACGCCTATTTCAATTCGAACCGAAATTTATGAACAACCAAAAAAGAAAGAACAATCAAATTTTACAATTCTAACAAAAGATTTAGCATTTGGATTCTTAATATTGCTTCTTACTTGTTTGTCCTGTTTCCATAGTGGAATTTCTTCTTTTCTTTTTCTCTTAAAAGTCTTCTTTCAAATTTTCATTTTTCCAATTCAAATATTCTCGAAAATTTATGAAAACTTTCCATTTAATTACAACTCTATTCAAAATTCACAAATTTTTTCAATCTATCATAAAATTTTGATTTTTTCTCACAATTGTCAAAATTTTGTTTTCAATCATCGAAAGATGTTCAACATTTTCCAAATTTTTAAGAACGAAAATAATTTTTCCGACACTTTAATTGTAATATTCATTGTATTTATTTATTTCTTTTTTTCTCTCTTCATTTTCTCATTTATTTCGTGGGAAAGTACATTTTTAGGAACTAATAATAAAAAATTTTCCAATTCAAGAGCATTTGTCATGCAATTTATAAAAAGGATTGTGATTCTCGTTTCACGTCCTGTAATAATTTTAATAATTCTTATCAAGTTCGTGCTGTTACTTTTTGTAACTGTTTCTATCAATCTTATCAGTTCCTGTATACCACAAATGATTAGAAACGTCACATATCGGCTGATGAACTCATCCGTGAATCTATTTTTCCTTTTATTTAAAAGAATATCTAGTTTTTCATGCATTCTCTATGTGAATTGCATAATTTTTGGTTTTTTACTAAATAAAGTCTCAAATTTAAATGAATTTAATAATGTCTATTTAGAAAGTTTGAGACAATTCTTTAAAAATTATTTCCATGATTCTTCATTGGAAATAAAAACTCAAAATATTCCCGACAATTGTATGCAACAGTTACTGAGACCTTCGAATTTTCTCTATTTTTTAAATATTATTATTGAGAATGTGATTAAATTGTCAAAAATGATTTTTCACACTTTCGAAATTAGGTAAATTTTGTAATCTTCTTTTCTGGCCATTGTAAAAAGAAAATTAAAAATAAATAAACGATTTCAAGTCATTTTAATTTAAGTAATTTTTAAAGAAATACTTATTATGACACATAACTGAAAAACTAATTAGATTTAAATTTTCAAATTATATTATATTTTTAAACTTTAAAGTATATAAAAAAACTTTAACAAATTTTGATACTAATTTCAAATTTGACATCAGATTTTCAAAATTGAAAATAATTAAAGTTTCTTGTACGAGGAAAATTGAATTTCGCAAAAATTGTTATTTGATACCTATAAATTAAAAATAATCTTCATTACGAAAATTTTAATTATTCTGAAGAATAGAGAAGGTAAAAAAATTATTATATATTCAACTTTCTGAACAAAGAATATAAATAATATTTTTTTTTAGAGAATTTACACTACTTTTAATTCGCTAATTTTCAAAAAAATTTCGAAAAACTCAATTATTTGACAAAATTTTATGCAATTTATTTTTCACAATTTTTCAATTACTTTCACTTATAATAAAATTTTTCATGAAAATTCAATTTTTTAAAAAATGTTTGATTAAATTCTAAGTATGAATTTAATTATTTTCATAAATAATAAAACTCATCGAAGAATTTCAATTATTTTTATTACTATTTTAAATTAATAATCGAAACATTCAGTTATTTTCACAAATAAAGTTTTCCACAAGAATTCAATTATTTAAACTAATAAAATTTTCATAATATTTATTATATTTCGAAAAAATTAAATAATTATTTAAAACAATGTTCATAAAATTCTTATGAAAAATTCAATTACTTTCAAAAATAATAAAATTTTTCACAGAAATTCAATACTTTTTAAATATTTTAATAAGCTTTTCCGCAATAATCCAATTATTTTCAAAAATAATAAAATTCTTCTCTGTAATTCAATTATTTTTGAGAATTATAATAAAATTCCTAGCAACTATTCAATTATTTTCATAAATAATAAAATTCATAGCAGGATTTCAATTATTTTTAATACAATTTTACAGGAATTGCTCAAAAAATGTAATTATTCATAAAAACTTAATTTAAATTCCTCGAAAAAATCAATTATTTAAAAAAATGTTTTTTAAATATTTTTTGGAAGGATTGAATAATTATTTAAAAAAATTTAATAAAATTGTTCGAAAGAAATTAATTGTTTCAAATATAATTTTAATTAAATTTTTTTGAAATAATTCAATTATTTTTTTAAATTATAATTAAATTTTTTCTAAGAATTCAATTATTTACACAAATAATTTTTCGAAAGAATTCAATTATTAAAGATAAATAAGAAAATTACTCCCGAAAATTCAATTATTTTGAGGTATTGTAATCAAATTCTTTTCAAAATTCAATTATTTTCATAAATAACATTATTCGTCACAATAATTCAATTATGTTTAAAAGTAATAAATTTCTTCTTGGAAATTCCATTGTTTAAAAAAATTCTAATAAATCGTTCGCATGAATTCAATTATTTTTATAAATACTAAAAATTTTTTTAGGAATTCAATTATTTTCAAAAGAATTTAATAAAATTTCCCACAGACATTCAATTATTGACAAATTTTTTAATTGTATTCTTTGTAAAATTTAATTATATATTTAAAAAATTTTCTCAATTCAATGATTTTCTATATATCTACTATTTTCATAAAATATTCAAATAGAATTCAATTATTTAAAAAATGGTTTGTATAAATTTCCGTAAGAATTGAATTGTTTTCATGGATAGTAAAAATTTTCATCAATTCAATTATTTAAATTAGAATTTACATAAAATTATTCGAAACAAATGAATTATTTAAAATTTTTTGTAAAGTTCTTCGCAAGAATTAAATTATTTTTTATAAATATATTTTAAATTCTTTCATGAATAATAAAATTCGTTGCAGGAATTCAATTTATTAGCAGGATAAGAAAAAAGTAAATATTTTTGATGAAAATTAGGAAAAAGTCAGGAAAATAAAAAATATGGAATGGAATTTTTGTCAATTTTGTGAGTTTTTTTTTTTTGTTTCTTTTTTTGACATTAAAAAAATGACAATAACCCACAAAAATTAATTTTCAAAATAAACAAATGAATGCAGAGAATTTGCTAACGGAAAGGAAACTTACGATTATTATAAAATAAATAATAATAATAATAATATATAGGTACCTATATTAATTTATTATTAATTTTTGTCTAAAAATTTTTAATTAATTTATTTTCTATTCACTTTCAAGAAAATTCACAGATGGAAAAAGATATGGAAATCCTTTTGTTTGCTCCATGACGGTTTCCAAATGAGGAACTTTAATTAATTCTCTATATTTTAAAGATCTTCTATTGGGGTGAAAAACTCGACAACTTTTTTTAATCGTTTCATTGTGACTTGATAAATTTTTTAGATAATTTGTTGAATATTCAAATTCGTTCTCAATATTTAAATAATGTACTTTTAAAAATAATGGAAAAACTTTATTTATATTTCTTTGTGGTTTTCTGAAATAAAAAGGAGAAAATAAGTAATCATTATAAAATTGTTTGAACGAGATGAGAATTATTAAATAAAAGAAATTTTTATTTATCTTTAATTATATAATTAACAATTACTATAACAATAGTTAATGTCATTAAAGTTTCAATAATTTAACAAACCTTGAATTAATCGTGTAATTTTGATCTCCAAATGCGAATATTGTTTGGTATTGATTTTTAAATCGCTCACAATTACCGTAAATAATTTTATTGTTACTTGGACGAATTGTTAATGAGCTTAAACGTTTCATATTTTTCTCTTGACTAGAAATAGAAATTTGTCGTTCTTCTTTGTTAATAATTTCTTGATTCTATAAAATACATATATATTGTGAAAAACGAAAATTTAAATTCGTAAAATATTAAATTAAAAATTAAATTAAACAATTTTTAAGGTATTTGACAAAATTATCATTAAAATAAGTAGTTTAGTTACAATATAACAACCAAATAGTAATAGAAAAAAGAACAATGTATAGAAAAATAATATAATTATAAAAAAAAATTCTTTTGTCCCTGAAAATTTTCAAGTATTATTAAGAAAAAATGACATAATTGTAAAAAAGTCTTCATAAAATACAAATACAGTTTTGTAAAATGTTCCGTTTGGAAAAGTAGGACAAGAGCATTTAATTTATCTGCGGAAACGTTGAAATTGAATGCACCCATTATTCCAGAGAATAATTTTCTCATTTGTGAGATATCACGCGAATGAAGAAAACATATATTTAAGAAATCGCTTAACAATAAAAAAGATGCAAGTAAATTAAATTGGCTATGAAGAAATGTCAAAAATCAAAGAAATTTGAAGAAAAATATAATTTAGAAAAATTAAACATTAAATTAAAATATCATTTAAATAAATGCAGATTTAAAAAATCTTGAAAAACATATTAAATGACAATAAACAATATTTTAACAATATTATTGTTACATATAATTTAAAACTAATAATAAATTTACAAATTCTTTAATTTTAAAGACTGCAATAGTTCTTAATTTCCGAAAATTGTAATTTGGAAGTGAATAAATTAATGCCTGGAATAATAAAGTTCATAGCCGAAATATAAATGACATGCACTGCTTATTTGGCACGAAAAGAATTATTACACTTCATGCGGCGTAGCAATATAAAAGCAAAATTATACTGCAAGCAGTTTACGACTTGCACGCAACAATTTATTTCCATCTTGATTCATATAATAATATAAACTCCACTTTTAATTTACTTCTTCTTTGAATAATTTCCAGTATATTCAAAATCATATACGATGACAAAATATATATTTAAAACATTTCTCTCTTATTTAGTAAAATCTTATACTTCAATCATATACACTAATTATACAATAAAATTATAATAATTATAATATCAGAGTTGCCAAAAAAAAATTAATTTTCTTTTTCCCTGATTTTCAGACAAAATTTTGACTTTTTCCCTGACCCTAAAAGAATATTTTGATTCACACTCTGAAAATTATTAGATACTCAAAAATGTTCATTCAAATGTTCTATTACATCTATTTACGAATTTCTTTAATTGTAAAATTATTCAAAAACATCAATAATTTCTTTTTTTAAATAAATATTTAATTATTATTATTTTTCCATAGGAATTGAGATTTTAAAAATCTAGAGAGAATTTCTAGAGAATTTTAAAATCCATTTGTTTACAATTCAATTTTACGAAATTTTGATTATTCAGAAATTCTTCAATTAAATATTTAGAAACTAAAAGCTATGAAATAATTTCAAAAAAAAAAATTCAATTGAACTTTTTCAAAATACAATTATTTCTAAAAATTCATGCTGTAATACTTTTATTCAACAACTTATAATAATTTAAATTTCCATAAAATTTTTCAAAAGAAATTAAATTGTTTAAAAAACATTTTAATAAAATCCTTCGCAAGAATACAATTATTTTTACAAGTATAATAAAATTTTTCACATGAATATTCAATTATTTAAAAAAAATGTAATGAAATTCGTTGTAAGAATTCAATTATTTTCATAAGTTATAAAATTTTTGATAGTACATATTTCAATTATTTTCAATAAAAATTTTTAATTTTTTAAATTTATAATAAAAATCCTTGGCAAAATTCAATTTTTAGAAATTTTTAATAAAATTTTTGGCAAAATTTTAATTATTTTCTAAAAAATTTTCCTCAATTTCATATGTATTCTATTTATTTATAAATTTTTAAATAAATTTCTTCGCAATAATTTAATTATTTTCAATAAATAATCAAATTTTTTTACAGGGTTTAAATTATTTTCATAAATAATGAAATTCTTTACAGGATTTCAATTATTTTCATAAATAATAAAATTTTTGCATAGGATTTCAATTATTTAAAAAAATGCAATAAAAATTCGTTGAAAGAATTCAATTAATCTTCCAAATAATAAAATTCTTCACAGGATTTCAATTATTTTTATGACTATTTAAAATAAATTCCTCGAAAAATGGAATTTATTATTTTCAAAAATTTTTTACTAAAATTCAATTAAATTTCACAAATAATTAAAATCTAAGCTGAAATTCAAATATTTTCAAAATCTATTTTTAATACAATTTCTCAATAGAATTCAATTATTTAAAATAAAATGTAATAAAATTCTTTGCAGGAATTCGATTATTTCCATAAATAATAAAATTCTTTACAGGATTTTCAATTATTTTCATAAATAATAAAATTCTTTACAGGATTTTCAATTATTTAAAAAAAATGTAATAAAAATTCGTTGAAAGAATTCAATTATTCTCCTAAATAATAAAATTCTTCACAGGATTTCAATTATTTTTATTACAATTTGAAGTAAATTCCTCGAAAAATGTAATTATTTTAAAAATTTTTATTAAATTCTTCAAAAGAAATCAATTATCAATTATTTTGTCCAATTTTTGCAAAAGTTACTTGAGAATTTTCAAATCCATTGGTTCACAATTAAATTTTACGAAAATGCTATTATTCGGAAATTAATTAATTATTTAAAAAATAAAAATTTTAAATAATTAAAAAAAAAATTCAATTAACTTTTTTAAAAATAATTAATTCTATACAGTATTGTTAAGGGAGCGTTCACAAATTACGTAACGCTAATTTTTGAAAATTTTGACCCCCCCTCCCCCCATGTAACACACTGTTACATACATTAGCGCCATTTTTTCTGCTGTACATAACAAATAGCTAGACCCCCCCCTCCCCTTTATAATGTTACGTAATTTGTGAACGCTCCCTAAGTAGTTAGAAGAATGAAAAAATCAGATTTTTTAAAGACTTTAATTTGAAACTTTTTCAAAATAAAATTATTTCTAAAAATTCATGTTATAATACTTTTAATATTCAATATATAAAATTTTAACTGAAATTCATTTTTAAAACAAGTTTTTTTTTATAAAATTCTATACAAGACTTCAATTATTTAAATACAAAAATGAAAAAATTATTAAATAAATAAATGTTTCTCAAAATTGAATTCTCATAAAGATAATTTTATCCAAACATTTTTAAATAATTGAATTTCTTTTGACGAATTTTAATCAAATTTTCAAGAATAATTCGAGGAATTTGGCCCCTGTAAAAAATTGTATTAAAAATAATTGAAATTCAATGAGTTTTGATATTCATGAAAATAAATGAATTGAATTTTATTATTTATGAAAATAATATTTAATTATTGCGAAGAAATTTATAAAAAAATTTCTAAATAGTTGAATTTGTGTAAAATTTTTATTAGTTATGAAAATAATGAAGAAGAATTTTATTTATTTTTAAAGATAATTGAAATTTTGAGGAGAATTTTAAAAATTTTTTGAACATAATTATTGAATTTCTGTAAACATTTGTAACTTCTAAAATTCAATTTTTTAAAGTGTTTTTAACTAAAATTCTTTTATAAATCCATGATTTTTAATAATTAATTAAATGTATCTATTAAAAAATTAAATAAAACTAATTATGAATCCTGTAAATTAAATTTTTTCCAGTACTTTAAAATACAAATTCCTGACTTTTCCCTGAATTCCCTAATTTCTCTGACCTGTGGCAACTCTGAATATATTTCCTTATTTTTGGCTTAAACGTCTTCATTCAAAACATAAATTATCATTTTTCCATAATATTTTTCATTAAATTATTTATATTAGGTATATTTATTATTGATCAATATTAATTAATTGTTTTATTTTAATTAATATTCTTTTAATGTCGTGTATGCCAAAAATATAAGGAGAACATATTTTTGGAACTATTTTTTAATTTCAACTCTCTCATTTTCAATTGAATATATAATATTTTGAACGTGAGATGGAAAGAGAAGTTTTTTCGTTTGTGGATCGGTGCGAATTCGTCGAAATTTGCAGTCGGAATTGCATTGTGATGAATGCAATAAATATTTACTCGAATCTTCCCACCATCGACGAATATCGCCACGCCTAGTATCGCGTACCTGAGTCAGTAGAAAATCCTCGTCATTTAAAATGTGTTGACTATGCCTTGGACAAATGTGACTTTCCTTTTGTGCTTTTAGTAATGAGGAATGTGTCGGTGCAGCGATTCGATCAATTTGAATCTATATTATACAAAGAGAGACAAAGAATTAATTTACATTCGACGAAATGTTTTTTTTTTTTCATTCCTTATCGGTCAACGCAAGTATATTTATAATATAAAAAGAAATAAAATAAGTTTTCAAATTATAAACAAAAAATAATAATTATTATTATTAACTGTAATAATCGTCGTCTACCTACTTCTTTATTTTTTTTACTATTTTTTAATTTAATAATATATTATCTTTATTTTTCAAAAAATTCATAAAATATTTTTATTAATCTAAAAAAAAAAAAAATTAAAATTAGAAAGTAGAAAATATTTTGCAAATTTTCTGCTTCTCAATTACAATTCATAAACAAAGTACAAGATTTAAGTAAAAAAAAATTTTATAAATAAAATTTTGTTTAAGAAATTTTAAATTTATTTTGGAAAAAATAATTACAAAATTTCTATTTGTTAAAAACGGTTGTAAAATTATTCGAAAACATCAATAACTTCTTTTCTAAATAAATATTCAATCATTTTATTTTTCCACAGGAATCAAGATTTTCAAAAAATTCAAATTCAAACCTTTTTGAAATTCAATAATTTATAAGAATATTTATTATAAAACATGAAGAAATTAAAGATAACCGAGTAATAAGATGATTATTTTATATAATAGAAATATTCTTACAGTAATTTTTTAAAATTATTTTCATTGATTTAATTCAATATTATGTATTATTTTCTAGGATTTTTAATTAAGAATTTCCAAAAAAACTCTTAGAGAATTTTCTAATTCATTTGTTTACAATAATTCAATTTTAAAAAACTTCAATTATTCGGAAATTCATCAATTAAATATAAATTATAAAATAAAAACTTTAAAAAAATAATTTCAAGTAAAATTGAAATAAACTTTTTCCAAAAAATTAATTCTTCTACAGAATTGTTACTTAAAAATAATTATAAAAAATAAAAATTTTTAAACATTTTACAGTCAGGTCTCGCCAAGTGTCGTTTTCAGTAAGTGTCATGACTCACAAAGTGTCATCGTTCAAGACCCAACAAGTGTCACTTTTCCCACTTTTTTTTACCCTCTCCAATGCTAAAAATGGACTTCCCCAAACCGGTTTGCAACATAAACCAATGAAATGGCCACTTTTATTAAAGGGGCGTGGCTTAGGCCACTGACACTTACTGAGACAGACGGTCTCAAAAAATTCCCAGTGACGACACTTAGCGAGACCTGACTGTAATTTAAAACCTTTTTAAAATTCAATTATTTCTAAAGATACACGCTATAATCCTTTTAATGTTCAATTATAATCTAAAATTTTAAGTCAAATTCATTTTTAAATCAATTTTTATTAGAAAATTCTACTAGAATTCAATTATTTAAATAAAAAAAAAACTTATTAAATAATTGAATTATCGTAAAGAATTTTATGAATAAATTTTTAAATAATTGAATTCCTAAAAAGAATTTTATTATTTACGAAAATAATTGAATCCCTGAAAAAATGTTATTATTTATGACAATAATTGAATTCTTGCGAAGAACTTTATAAGAGATTTTTAAAATAATTGAATTTCCAAGAAAAAATTTATTACTTTTAAAAATAATTGAATTCTCTCCCGAAAATTAAATTATTTTAAGACATTTTAATTCTTTGCAAAAAATTCAATTATTCATATAATGTAATTTATGAAAATAATTGAATTTTGCAAAGAATTTTATTAAAATGTCTCAGAATAATTGAATTTTCGGGAATAATTTTGTTATTTATCGACATAATTAAATCCTTTTAAAGAATTATTTATATAAATAATTGAATTCTTGGGAAGACTTTTATTAAAATCTAGAGAAAAATTTTTTCAAAATAATTCAATTATATAATTGAATTATTTCAAAAAAATATATTTCAATAATTATTGATTCTTTCGAGGAATTGAAATTACATTTTTAACAATAATTAAATTTTTTGAGCAACTTTTATTAGAAAATTCTACTAGAATTCAATTATTTAAATAAAAAAATAAACTTATTGAATAATTGAATTCTCATAAAGAATTTTATGAATAAATTTTTAAATAATTGAATTCTTTCGACGAATTTTAATAAAATTACACTTTTTGAGGAATTCCATTAAAATTGTATTGAAAATAATTGAAATTCAGCATTGAGTTTTATTATTTATGTATAAATAATTGAATTCCTAAAAAGAATTTTATTATTTACGAAAATAATTGAATCCCTGAAAAAATGTTATTATTTATGAAAATAATTGAATTCTTGCGAAGAACTTTATAAAAAATTTGTAAATAATTGAATTCCTGTGTTATTATTATTTAATCAAAATAATTAAAGGTTTGCGTAGAATTTTATTAAAATTTTTTCGAAATAAATTGAATTCTTTTGGAAAATTTTATTAATATAGTAGATACTAAAAATAATTGAATTAGGGAAATTTTTTGAAAATAATTGAAATTTTGTCAAGAATTTTATTGAAATTTTGGAAAATAATTGAATTTCGTAAAATAATTTTATTATTTCTAAAAACATTTGAAACTATGACGAGAATTTTAAAAAAAATTTTGAACATAATTGAATTTCGGCGAAGAATTTTATTACTTTTCCAAAATTCAATTTTTTTTAGTGTTTTTGAGTAAAATTGAAAAAAATAATTTGTGCAATTTTTTTTTTTTTTTTGAACCTTGGCACGTTTGAAGCTCTTTCGACTGGCAGCGGAAGACTGTCGAATAATTGGAACTATTTCTTCTTTTTTTTGCGGTTGTTTATTGGGATCGCCAAATAATCCTTTTGACTCTGCGACCTTAATCATAAAGAGAGAATCAAATTGCATCATTTCTTTTCGTCTTATAAACGCAATAAAGCAGCCATGCTCTAAAAGATTGTCACAATTTTCATCATAAATATCATTAATACCACAAACTTCAAAAATGTCACTATCTGGAACCTGTTGAATCAATTATTATTTTTTCTATTTTGTTAAAATTTAATTAAAAATATTATTACAATTTCAAATATACCTTTATATCAGGATAAGATGTAGTAACGGAAATTTCTTCTTCCTTTTCTTGTTCTTCTTCTGGATTTTGTGAAATTTCCGCTTCCGATGGCTCGCATGATTGTCTTCGTTTTCCTGGTCTAATTATTTTTGGCGATTTTTCTCCAAATTCTTTTGGCATTTTCTTCTTAATCTGCAAAAGATGAAAAGAATGAAAAGAATTTTTCTCAAAATGAAAAGTACAGGCTTCGCACTCATCTACTAAAACCTACTATTTACTACTTTTTTTACTTTATGCTACTATTTGGGTACTACTACTTTCAATTCGCTAATACTAAAAATCAAAAAACTATTCTCAAAAATTATAATCAAATTTTTTAAAACGATTCAATTATTTTCAAATAATATTCGAAATTCAATTATTTTCAATATCTATAGTATTTTCATAAAATTTTGCAAAAGAATTCAATTATTTTAAAAAAATGATAAAATTCATCCAAAATTCAATTATTTTCACAAATAATAAAATTTCCACAAGAATTCAATTAATTTAGATTTCCAAAAAAAATCCGAAAAAATCAATTATTTAACAAAATTTTTTATACAATTCTTTACAATAATTCAATTACCTACATTCACTAATAATAACATTTTTCATGGAAATTCAAAATTTTTTTTTAAAAATGTTTGATAAAATTCTTAACAAGAATTCAATTATTTTCATAAATATTAAAACACATGGAAGAATTTCAATTATTTTTAAATACTAGGATTTTAAATTAATTAATTGAAAAATTCAATATTATTTTCACAAAAATAAAATTTTTCACAAGAATTCAATTATTTAAAATAAAATTTTCATAATATTTATTATATTTCGAAAAAATTAATTATTTAAAACGATGTTTATAAAATTCTTATGAAGAATTCAATTATTTTCAAAAATAACAAAATTTTTCAACAGAACTTAAATTCTTTTTAAAATATTTTAATAAAATTTTTGGACAATAATTTAATTATTTTCATAAATAATAAAATTCTTCTAAGAAATTCAATTATTTTTGAAAATTTTAATAAAATTCTTTACAAGTAGGTATTTAATTATTTTTATAAATAATAAAATTCATCGCAGGATTTCAAATATTTTGAATACAATTTTACAGGAATTGCTCAAAAAATGTAATTATTCTTAAAAATCTAATTTTAATTCCTCGAAAGAATCAATTATTTAAAAAAAATGTTTTTCAAATTCTTTGGAAGAATTCACTTGTTTACAAAAATTGACATCTTTGAACATATATTATATAAATATTTGTACAAAAATATTAGAATTTTTCACAGAAATTCAATTATTTAACTACCTTTTTTTAAAATGTTTCAATTATGTAATTGAATTATTTCGAAAAAATTTTCTTTTAGATTATAATCGGATTCTTCCAAGAATTCAATTATGTCGATAAATAACAAAATTATTCCCGAAAATTCAATTATTCTGAGACATTTTAATAAAATTCTTTGCAAAATTCAATTATTTTCATAAATTACATTATATGAATAATTAAATATTGTTATTTATGAAAATAATTGAATTTTGCAAAGAATTAAAATGTCTCAAAATAATTGAATTTTCGAGAGAGAATTCAATTATTTTTAAAAGTAATAAATTTTTTCTTGGAAATTCAATATTATTTTAAAAAATTCTAATAAAATCGTTCGCAAGAATTCAATTATTTTCATAAATAATAACATTTTTACAGGGATTCAATTATTTTCGTAAATAGTAAAATTCTTTTTAGGAATTCAATTATTTATACATAAATAATAAAACTCAATGCTGAATTTCAATTATTTTCAATACAATTTTAATGGAATTCCTCAAAAAGTGTTATTTTATTAAAATTCGTCGAAAGAATTCAATTATTTAAAAATTTATTCATAAAATTCTTTATGAGAATTCAATTATTTAATAAGTTTTTTTTATTTAAATAATTGAATTCTAGTAGAATTTTCTAATAAAAATTGCTCAAAAAATGAATTTGACTTAAAATTTTAGATTCTAATTGAACATTAAAAGGATTATAGCGTGAATTTTTAGAAATAATTGAATTTTAAAAAGGTTTTAAATTAAAATGTTTGAAAATTTTTATTTTTTGTATTTTTAAGTAACAATTCTGTAGAAGAATTAATTTTTTGGAAAAAGTTTATTTCAATTTTACTTGAAATTATTTTTTTAAAGTTTTTATTTTATAATTTATATTTAATTGATGAATTTCCAAATAATTCAAGTTTTGTAAAATTGAATTGTAAACAAATGAATTTGAAAATTCTCTAAGAGTTTTTTTTTTGAAAATTATTAAAAATAATTGAATTAAAGAAGAATTTTAGTTAAAAATTTTAGAAAATAATAATTGAATTAAAATGATGGAAATAATTTTTAAAAAAATTACAGTAAGAATATTCCTATTATATAAAATAATGATCTTATCACTCGGTTATCTTAAATTTATTATAAAAAATGAAGAAATCGATCGTAATCAATTTCTTCATGTTTTATAATAAATATTCTTATAATTTGTTAAATTTCAAAAAGGTTTGAATTTGAAGCTTTTGAAGAATTTGAATTCCTGTGGAAAAATAATAATAATTAAATATTTATCTAGAAAAGAAGTTATTGATGTTTTCGAATAATTTTACAACCGTTTTTAACAAATAGAAATTTTGTAATTATTTTTTCCAAAATAAATTAAAAATTTCTTAAACAAAATTTTATTAATTTTGATTTGATAGAATTCTTTGTAAAATTGAATTATTTTTAAAAACTTTTTGAAATTCAATGATTTTCATCTACTATTTTCATAAAATTTCAAAACAGAATTTAATTATTTAAAACTTTTTTTTTTTTTTTGAAATCTTCTTAAGGATTTTTTTTTCATGAATAATAAAAATTTCTCAGGAATTCAATCATTTAAATTAGAATTTGCATAAAAATTAGTAGAAAGAAATGAATTGATTTAAAAATTTTTATACAATTCTTCGCAAGAATTAAATTATTTTTATAAATATTTAATAAAATATTTAAATTTAAAAAATGGTTTGTAAAAATTTTCGTAAGAATTCAATTCTTTTCATGAATAATAAAAATTTTCATCAATTCAATTATTTAAATTAGAATTTGCATAAAATTATTATTCAAAAGAAATGAATTATTGAAAATTTTTTATAGAATTCTTCGCAAGAATTAAATTATTTTTATAAATATTTAAATTCTTTCATGAATAATAAAATTCGTTGCAGGAATTCAATTTATTAGTATACCTAGTAGGATAAGAAAGAAGTAAATATTTTTGATGAAAATTAGGAAAAAGTCTAAAAAATATAGAATGGAATTTTTGTCAGTTTTGTGAAGTGTTTAAAATGAGTTTTTTGGTCGTCAAGTGTAATTTTTCGATAGCTACTTTTTTACTAATTTTTTTTTAGTTTGAAAGCTACTTTTTTAAAATTAATTATCGAGTGCGAAGTCTGAAAGTAAGAAGGATGATGTTTTTAATGAATTTTTGAAAATGAAACCCACAGTTGTTTCTTTAAGATATTTTTCTTTGGCAATTCCATTGGCATAATCGACGACCTGATTGACCATTTCTGTCGTTTCCGAGGGCAAAATTGAATGGACTTCGTAAATAAGAAGCTGAATATTGGGTTTCGTTAGGGCGTGTTTTAAGGTTGATAACTGATCAGCAAGAAGTGTTCTAGGATACTTTAGTTCATCGTCATCACTCGTTAACGATTCCAAGAGAGCGGAATCTCCACCACGAGCAACTGACAAGTCAACGATGTCATTTATTCCCGTGTAACTACAATGAGGAGTCGCTAATACAATTGTCGCTCTCTCCAATTCGGACGAAGCTGGCGGAGCCACGTATCTGAAAAATAATTTCTTTTCAAATTGAGAAACTAATTCCCGCATATGGAATGAATAAAACGCATCAGTTACTGTTCTGAGAAGATTCGACATTGTTGGAGCGTTATTCCTAAGTGGTGTAAATAATTCTCATATTCACTATGCTGATCTCCAGTGCCAAAGGCCAGAAGTCGTCCGGCATCTTCTACATCAGCCAAAAGACTGGCAACATATGCCGTGTGTCTTGGAGCAATGCATTGCGTTAAAATTACAGGTCCGCATAATTTTCCACTGTGAACTGCCTTCATTAAACTCGCTGCTCCCAAACAGAGAGATCTTTCCTATAATAAAAATCAGAAAAATTTCATGCTTTCATATTGTTTCTTATTTCAAAAATGTTGTTTCATTTTTCGTTTTTTAAAGAATATATACCAGAAAAATAAAACGATGCTTGCGAACTAGTTGAGATGTAGCCAATTTTTCTCGACTCTTCTCATGAAAACTGACGACTTTTGGACAAAGAGAATCGAAGGCAAAATTATCTTCGTCCAAATTCGTTTCCTTACAACTAATACAATAGTGAAAACCCAATTTCTCCATTTCGATGATAAATTCTTCTTTGCTCGCTATTTTCATTGAATTCACCCAACCTGAAGCTATTTGACTCTCTTCATTCCAATAAATTCCCTCTGCTGACTTTAAATGACTCGGCAGTAAATCGTCTTTAAAAACAAAAGTACATTCAAAGTCCGAATAAATTTTAAATTCCCAGCATGAAGATGTATTTAACTTCCCCACGGTTAACGGTGTTCGACGGTCTCTGAAATTTCTAGATTACATTCGACAAGCCGCTATCACCCAACAAATACGGCACTGCCTGGTTTAAATGACGTGAAATTGGTAAACAATCATTTTCGAACGAGTTTTTCTCTGCACACAAGCACTTTTTGCAAAATCTGAATCCGAACCATTGACACAAATCTTCTTAATTACCTAAATCCAAAATATTTTTTTTATCCTTGAAGAAACGCGATTGCAAAATGGGAAAGGCCGGAGTAATGTAATGCGAATCATTTTGACAGCTGAGCCTTTACGCTCCCTGCATGCTTCTGCCCTCTAATGGCAAATGGTTGGAACAAACGTCTTGCCGCCTGTCATTACATTACTTTTGTTGCTTTTGCATTTACCATTTTGCAACCGCGTTTCTGCATGGATTAAAAAAATATTTTGGATTTAGGTAATTAAGAAGATTTGTGTCCTTGGTTCGGATTCAGATTTTGCAAAAAGTGCTTGTGTGCAGAGAAAAACTCGTTCGAAAATGATTGTTTACCAATTTCACGTCATTTAAACCAGGCAGTACCGTTTTTGTAGGGCGAAAAGTGTAGGTCGCTCATAACCTACAAATTTCAGAGACCATCGAACGCTCTTAACCCCGAGTACACTCGGGGTATATCTTTATTTCTTTATTTAAAAAAAATTAAATTCGAGAGTCATATAAATAAAACTCTTAGTGTAACTTGATAAATAGTTATGTATTTAATATGAAAATATATGTGAAATAATCAAAATTAAATTTGTCAAAATTAATTTTAACAAAATTATAAATTTATTTCCTGCAAAATTGAAAAATGATAAAAACTGTAGGAGGGTGAAAGAAAGGATATAAAATGGATCACCTAGAGTTAAAGCTGAACCACCAATTCTCAGTCTTGAAACACTTGCCGCCAATCGTGTTTTCGTTTCGAGAAGACAATCCTCCACGTCTTTCAATCCGGCTAAATTAAAAGCTCTCTCACGTTCGGCAATAATCAATTTACTTCCAAGACGAGCAAATTTTCTCCCTTGCATATCGTACAATAAAAGCCAAACTATTTTTTCCCGCTTTCGAAGGTCTTTATAGTGTTGCCAAAATCCAACGTCTTCTAATGCATGATTCAATATATGTTTATCTAAAAGACCATTTTAACCTTATGATCATTATAATAGCGGAGATTAAAATTTCAGGGCTTGAACCGCAGTGAAAGTATTTAAAAATACGGATTTTACGGAACAAAAATTAAAAATTACGGACCAATTACTGAAAAAAAACAGTCCGAGTCGAATAAGAGAACATTTTACTTAAAACTATAAATTACATTTTTCATAACTATAAAACATGAATATATCAATAACTCCGAGTCTTCGACTTGGAGTCATCGATTTCTTCATGTTTTGTAATAATTAAAGATGACCGAGTGATAAAATCATTATCATTTCAATTATTATTTTTAAGAAATTTTAACTAAAATTCTTCTTTAAATCGATGATTATTAATAATTTTCGAAAAAGTTCTTTGACAATTTTCAAATCCATTTTTTCACAATATTCAATTTTACGAAATTTCAATAACATATTGCTAAATTCTTTAATTAAATATACATCAAAAATTCAAAACTTAAAATAATATAAAAAAAAATTTAATTAATCTTTTCCAAAAAAAAATTAATTCTTCTACAGAATTGATAGTTAAAAGTATGAAACCATTTCAAAATTCAATTATTTCTAAAAATTCACGCTATAATCCTTTTAATGTTCAATTATAATCTAAAATTTTAAGTGGAATTCATTTTTAAATCAATTTTTATTAGAAAATTCCACTAGAATTCAATTATTTAAATACAAAAAATAACTAATGGAATAATTGAATTCTCATAAAGAATTTTATTAAAAAATTTTTGGAAAATTGAATTCTGTTTGAGGAATTTTAATAAAAGCTTAAAGAATAATTACACTTTTTGAGGAATTCCATTAAAATTGTCATAAAAATAATTGAAATTCTGCGATGAGTTTTATTTTTTATGAAAATAATTGAATTTCTGCAATAATTTGTAATTTCTCCAAAATTATATTTTTTTAATGTTTTTAACTAAAATTCTTCCATTAATTAATTATTTTTAATAATTTTTTAAAAAGTTTTTTGAGAATTTTCAAATCCTTTTTTTACAATATTTAATTTTACGAAATTTCAATTATTCGTAAATTATTCAATTGAATATATATATTATTAGAAAATAAAAACTTCAAAAAAATTATTTCAAATAAAATTGAAATAAACTTTTTCAAAAAATTAATTCTTCTTAGCCAAAAGTATGAAAAATTAAAATTTTCAAACATTTTAATTTGAAACCTTTTCAAAATTTAATTACTTCTAAAAATTCACACCATATTGCTAATAATATTCAATTATTATCTAAAATTTTATCTGAAATCCATTTTTAAATAAATTTTTATTTGAAAATTCTACTAGAATTCAATTATTTAAATACAAAAAAAACAATTTTATTGAATAATTGCGTTTTTTAAAATTAAATTCTCATAAAGAATTTTAACAATAAATTTTTAAATAATTGAATTCTTTCGAAATTTTAATAAATTTTTTTATGAATATTACATTTTTCGAATAACTTTTGATTAAAATTTTATTAAAAATAATTGAAATTCTGCGATGAGTTTTATTATTTGTGAAAATAATTGAATCCCTAAGAAAAATTTTATTATTTTTGAACAATATTAAATTTTTGCGAAGAATATTATTACTCTTGAAAATAATTGAATTTCTGCAATAATTTTTAACTTTTACAAAATTAAATTTGAAAATTTTCAAATTCTTTTGTTACAATTTAATTTTACAAAATTTCAATTATTTGCAAATTCTTCTATTAAATATATATTAGGAAATAAAAATTTCATATACAATTTAAAAAAAAATCCGCAATTAAACTTTCTCAAAAAAATTAATTCCACAGAATTGTTAGTTAAAAATATGGAAAATACATTTTTTTCAAAGATTTAAACTTGAAACCTTTTCCAAATTCAACTATTTCTAAAAATTTACGTTATACTGCTTTTAATATGCAATTATTATCTAAAATTTCAACTGAAATTGATTTTTAAACAAATTTTTATTGAAAAATTCTACGAGAATTCAATTATTTAAATACAAAAAAAATTTTTTTGAATAATTACATGTTTCTAAAAATTCAATTTTCATATAAAATTTTTATATTATGGAACATAATTAAATTTCTTTTTAAGAATTTTATTACTCTTGAAAATAATTGAATTTCTCCAATAATTTTGTAATTTCTACAAAATTAAATTTTTGTTAGTGTTTCAACTTTTATTGTATAAATTCATTATTTTTAAAAAGTTCTTTAAGAATTTTCAAATTCAATTGTTTACAACTCAATTTTATAAAATTTCAATTATTATCTGTTAATTTAACTAAAATTCATTATTAAATCAATTTTCCTTCGAAAATTCTACAAGAATTCAATTATTTTATTGCAAAGATAAAGAATTTATTTAATAATGGAATGTTTCTTAAAATTAAATTCTCATAAAGAATTTTATTAACAAATTTTTAAATAATTGAATTCTTTTGACGAATTTTAACAAAATTTTTAAGAATAATTACATTTTTTGAGAAAATTGATTAAAATTGTATTAAAAATAATTGAAATTCTGCGATGAGTTTTATTATTTGCGAAAATAATTGAATCCCTAAAAAGAATTTTATTATTTTTGAACAATATTTAACTGTTGCAAAGAATATTTTTACTTTTGAAAATAATTGAATTTCTGCAATAATTTGTAACTTTTCCAAAATTAAATTTTCTTTTTCTTGTTTTTAACTAAAATTTTTCTATAAATGCATTATTTTTAATAATTTTTAAAAGAGTTCTTTGAGAATTTTCAAATTCATCGTTTACAATTTAATTTTACAAAATTTCAATTATTCTTGAATTCTTTAATCAAATATATATTAGAAAATAAAAACTTCAAATAATATAAAAAAAATTCAATTAAACTTTTTCAAAAAAATTAATTCCACAGAATTGTTAATTAAAACTATTAAAAATTCAGATTTTCAACTTTTTTAATTTTAAACCTTTTCAAAATTTAATTATTGCTAAAAATTCACGCTATATTGCTTTTTATATTTATAATTATTATCTAAAATTCATTTTTGAATCAATTTTTATTTGAAAATTCTACTAGAATTCAGTTACTTAAATACAAAAATAAATAATTTATTGAATAATTGAATATTTCTTATAATTCAATTCCCATAAAGAATTTTATCAATAAATTTTTCAATAATTGAATTCTTTTGACGAATTTTAATAAAATTTTTAAGAATAATTACATTTTTTGAGAGATTTGATTAAAATATTGTATTAAAAATAAGTGATATTCTATGATGAGTTTTATTATTTGTGAAAATAATTGAATCCCTAAGAAGAATTTTATTATTTATGATAATAATTGAATCCCTGTAAAAATTTTATTATTTATGAAAATAATTGAATGATTGTGAAGAAATTTTTTAAAAAAATTTATAAATAATTGAATTGTTGTAAATTTTTATTATTTATGCAAATCATTAAATGCTTTCGTAGAATTTTATCAAAATTTGTTTTAAATAATTGAATTTTTTAGGAAAATTTTGTTAAAATAGTAGTGATTTTAATAGTAGATATAATATTAAAAATCATTGAATTGAGGAAAATTTTTGAAAATAATTAAATTTCGGAGAAGAATTTAATTATTTTTAAAGATAATTAAAATTTTGAGGAGACTTTCGAAAATAATTGAAATTTTGCTTAGAATTTTATTAAAATTTTTGAAAATAATTGAATTTCCGAGAATAATTTAATTATTTCTAAAGATAATTGAAATTTTTATTACTTTTGAAAATAATTGAATTTCTCCAATGATTTGTAATTTCTCTAAAATTCTCCAAATTATCTTACATCTCAAGACATCGTAAACCAGACCAAATACACGTCTCATTTCAGCTTCATCAACATAATTAGGCGAAGGATCATCTTTTTGAAGAACTTTTGCAGCTAAAATAATATCTCGAATTCGCCATCCTGGTTCTATACAGGCTTCAGTCATTGAACCACTTGCTGAAGAAATTGTTGACAAGAAAGAAAGGATTTCTTCACATTTTCCTTTCTTCGGTTTTCGAGGAAAATGTACATTGCCAGGCTCCCATTTATAAACTTTTTTCTCTTCCAATGCATTCTTTGAAGGAGAATCCATTCTACGTATGTATCAAAATAGAAAATGAAAACAATCAAATGTCAAAATATTTGACAGCAAACAAATTATGGTTATTTTCATTTTCAAATTATACTTTTCACTGTTTTTCAGCAGAAGCAAGCAGAAGAATTTGATTTTTGAAAAAATAAGTTAGAGAGGACTTAAAGGATCATGGTAAGAAAATAAAAGTTAATAAATAACTAAAAAAATAACTAAAAACGTAAAAGAAAATTCAAATATTATAAAATTTAAATTATGAAAAAGAATAGAAATAATTCCATTTGAAAATGAATTGAAATAAAATTATAAAAATAATAAAAGCTCACTCTTTATCCTCTGAATTTCTATCCATTAAACGTTGAAGATCAACAAGTTGATAATAAACTTGATGACGCCATTCTTCATTACTCGGCAAAATTAATTCGTCCAATTCTCGACGATGTTCTTCTTCATCAATGAAATCTGGTGGTTTTATGAATTTCGACAATACAACGCGAAAAACTCTCGCGTAAATTGTAAATATACTCGATTTTCTCCAATTTTTTTTTCGCAAAATAATACTCTTCTTATCCTCCATTTCCTTTTCAAATGAAGAAAAATCTTCAGCAAGATGTTGCCAATCCTCGTCCGTGAAACTATTGTTCTTCTCCATATTCTCACTGAGATCAATGAAAAAGAAAACAAAAAATATTTCATTTAAACTGATTTTTCAAATAAAATTAAATTTCTTTCGGAATTTTTCTTTACCTTTTCTTGGCCTCGTAAAATTTTTCATGATTAAATAAAATTTGTTTCGACTCATTGAGAACTTGTTCAAGAGCTGCAATATTCATTGTCAGTAAAGAAAAAAAGAATTTTTTAAATTTATTTTTCAATTATAAATTATAATTAACAAAAAAGGTAAAGATTTTTAATATTGACGCTCAGTCTTAAAGAAAGCCAAAAAAAAATTTTTTTAATATTTTGTCGATTCGATTAAAAAAAAATTATTTTTTATAAAATATTATTTAAATCAGTATCAATATAAAAAATCCTAATAAAAAATCGAGTATAAAAAATTTTATTAAAAAATTTTTTTTTTTATAAAAATTAGATGAATTTTGAATCTAAATTTCTAGGTGTGATTTTTAATAGAACGATCTTGATTCGTGAAACTTTGAAAGTGAACTGAATGAAATGAGATATATATTCGGTATAAGCACCTTTCGTGAAAAATCGGCGCCGTTTGGATAATTACAACTCTTTTTTTTTTTTTCTTTTTTTTTCTTATACTTTTATTTGTCACGTAGAATGTTGAAAAGAGAACTAAAAGGGAAGAAGGCGTTTGGTTTGATATCAGCATCGCGTGCTTTGAAATCATCTGATGAAATAGCTTTATACTACCTGCACTCTCTTTCCTACATTCACGAATAGCTTTACATCTCTATATTCCTACGAAATTGTAGAATTTTGTCTTTATGTGGTATGTCCCTGCATGTCCTACTCTATTTCTATATCTAGATTGACACCAATGTGCCCCACATTTTCATTCGTGAATCAATTGTAAAAATAATATTTTTATATCAGTTGATCGCGTCGCAAATCAATTCACCTTGACTTAGAACGAAAATCCCGCGTGAATAATTTTACAATAAAAATAATAATCAATATCGCATTTAACTTAAAAAAAAAAAAAAACATTAGGTAATAAAAGTTAGTCCAGGGCTCGAACCAGTGAAAGTATTTAAAAATACGGACTTTACGGACCAAAAATGAAAAATTACGGACTATTTACGGACCAATGACAAAAATATAACCAGTCCGAGTCAAATAAAAGAAAATTTTACTTAAAACTATAAATTAAATTTTTTATAACTATAAAACATGAAGAAATCAATAACTCCGAGTCTTCGACTCGGAGTGATCGATTTCTTCATGTTTTGTGATAATTAAAGATAACCGAGTGATAAAATCATTTACAATTCAATTATTATTTACAAGAATCTTTAACTAAAATTCTTCTTTAAATCGATTATTTTGAATAATTTTCGAAAAAGTTCTTTGAGAATTTTCAAATTCATTTGTTTACAATTCAATTTTACGAAATTTCAATTATTCGTAAATTCTTTAATTAAATAAATATTAGAAAATAGAAACTAAAAATAATATTAAAAAAATTTAATTATTTATTATCTAAAATTTTATCTCAAATTCATTTTGAAATCAATTTTTATTGGAAAATTCTATGAGAATTCAATTATATAAATACAATAAATAATTCAATTGACAAATTTTAATAAAATTAAATTTTTTTTTTGCATTTTTTGAGAAATTTGATTAAATTGTATTAAAAATAATTGAAATTCTGCGATGAGTTTTATTATTTGTGAAAATAATTGAATCCCTAAGAAGAATTTTATTATTTACGATAATAATTGAATTTCTTAGAAGAATTTTATTATTTATGAAAATAATTGAATTATTGTCAAAAAATTTTATTAAAATGTTTTTAAAAAAATTGAAGTTCTGTTGAAAAATTTTGTTATTTTTGAAAATAATTGAATTCTTCATAAGAATTTTATTTAACATTGTTTTAAATAATTAATTTTTTCGAAATATAATAAATAATATGAAAATTTTATTTTAAATAATTGAATTCTTGTAGAAAATTTTATTTGTGAAAATAATATTGAATTTTTCGATTAATTAATTTAAAATCCTAGTATTTAAAAATAGTTGAAATTCTTCGATGAGTTTTATTATTTATGAAAATAATTGAATTCTTGTTAAGAATTTTATCAAACATTTAAAAAAAAATATTAAATTTCCATGAAATCCGCAATTAAACTTTATCAAAAAACATAATTTCAAAATTCAATTATTTCTAAAAATTCACGCTATATTGCTTTTAATATTCAATATTATTATTTAAAATTTTATCTGAAATTCATTTTTGAATCAATTTTTATAATTGGAAACTTCTACGAGAATTCAATTATTTAAATACAATAAATAATTTGTTGAAGAATTTTAATAAAATTTTTAAGAATAATTACATTTTTCGAAAAATTTGATTAAAATAATTGAATTCCTAAAAAGAATTTTATTATTTTTGAAGAATATTTAATTTTTGCGAAAAATATTATTATCTACTCTTACAAATAATTGAATTTCTTCAATAATTTGTAACTTTTCTAAAATTAATTTTTTTGGCGTGTTTTTAAGTAAAATAATAATAATAATAAAATTCTTCTTTAAATAAATCAATTAATTTTCGAGAAAGTTCTTTGAGAATTTTCAAATTCATTTGTTTTCAATATTCAATTTTACAAAATTTCAATTATTTGTAAATTCTTCAATTAAATATATATTAGAAAATAAAAACTTCAAATAATTTTTAAAAAATCCGCAATTAAACTTTTTTAAAGAAATTAATTTCAAAATTCAATTATTTCTAAAAATTTACTCTATATTGCTTTTAATATTTAACTATTATCTAAAATTTTAACTAAAATTAATCTTTTAAACAATTTTTATTAGAAAATTCTACGAGAATTCAATTATTTAAATACAATTAAATAAATAATTTATTGAATAGTTGAATATTTCTTAAAATTGAAATCTCGTAAAGAATTTTATCAACAAATTTTTAAAAAATCGAATTCTGTTGAGGAATTTTTTATAAAAGTTCTAAGAATAATTACACTTTTTGCGGAATTCTATTAAAATTGTCATAAAAATGATTGAAACTCTGCGATGAATTTTATTATTCATGCAAATAATTGAATTTCTGCAATAGTTTGTAATTTCTCCAAAATTATATTTTTTTAGTGTCTTTAACTAAAATTCTTCTATAAATCAATTATTTTTAATAATAATTTTTGAAAAAGTTCTTTGAGAATTTACAAATTCATTTGTTTACAATTCAATTTTACAAAATTTCAATTATTCGTTAGTTTTTCTATTAAATTTTGTTAAGAATTTTATTGAAATTTTTGAAAATAATTGAATTTTGTAAAATAATTTTATTATTTCTTAAATCATTTGAAATTGTGACGAGAATTTTTTTTTTAATTTTTGAATATAATTGAATTTCTGCGAAGAATTTTATTGCTTTTGAAAATAATTGAATTCCTGCAATCATTTGTAATTTCTCTAAATTTTTCAAAATTATATCGTACAATTTACGAAATTTTCGTCCTTTTTCTATCAAATTACGGGATTTGCGGACCTAGTCCGACCCCTGTAGTTAGTCCCAAAATTGTAAAAAGTTGATTTTAGATTATTTTTTTTCCAGAAAAGAAAGTGAAATCAATTTTTTTCTTTGAAGAAAAAAAAACACTGTTGCACTTGAAAATATAAATATTGTATATTCTACTCTATAAAATAAATACAAGTATGTTTAAATAATTGCATACAAATTTTGTACATGTTTACATGTAAATTCATTAACTCTATAAAATTTATAACGTATTAATAAAAACAATTCTAAAAATATTATACTCATCGGGCTAATGTCAAGAAATTGATCAAGTTTTATGAATTCATTAAAAGTTTCATAGAATAGTAAAATCTCATTAAAAGTTTAAAAATTCTACACTATTGTACAATTCCAGTTATTATAAGACACTTGTGGTTAATAAAAGTTATATTAAACGAATATAAGATTCTCCCTTTTTTTCACTTTTAAAAATATTAAAATTGAAGAAAAATTTCTTAAAGGATACTTGTTTTAGCAAATAATTGTCAATTTGTAAAATACATAATTACAAACGTGGCAGTTTCGTTATCTTGTGTTTTAAGTTAAAACGTTTTTTTTACATTAGTAATATTAGTATTTCTTCTCGGCATTTTTTCAGACTTCTTTCAATTAATTCCTTTGTATCTTGTAAATAAATTATACAGAACACGAAGAGTTGATTTCAAATCTAAGTTGACCACATCTGTAACAAATTTAAAGAATAAGTATATGCAATAGTTTAAGATAATATTTTTTTAACATAATTGAATTTATGCGAAGAAGTTTATCACTTTTGAAAATAATTAAATTTCTGAAATCAGTTGTTCTTAAAATTTCAAATTAAAACCTTTTGAAGTTCATCTATTTATGAAGATTGTAAATGCAACTCTTTTGAAATCCAATTAATCTTGAAATTTTTAAGTAAAATTATTCATTAAATAATTTATAAATAATAATTTTATGATAGTTCTTCAAGAATTAAGTTATTTAAAAAGAAATTATCGTCATAGAAATAGAAAAATTGAAGGTTTCGTATTATAATTCTTGGCAATTTCATAGTTTATAAGGCAAACAAAAAAGACAAAAATTCAGAATTTTCTTATAAATTCTAAAAATTTATTTTTTTTCCAGTACTTTTAATAAAAATCCCTGACTTCTCTGACCTGTGGTAACCCTGAACTAATTCAAAATTAGAGAACAGTATAAATATCTATAAAAATTGAAATAAAAAGCGATTTTTTAAAAAGAAATTAAAGTAATAAAACTTTTTTTAATTTGGTGAAAAAATTCCCTGCAATTTAATTTAATAATAAAAGTAATTTATTACCTTCCGGCCTGGCTTTTGGTTTAGGTAAACCAATATCCTGCATAAGTTCGAAAGCAAACGCAACATTGTGAACCTTTTGATCGTGATTTTTGGGAGTTAAATGAAAACTTCCCAAAGGAACGAAAAATCCTTCGAGAAGTCCCAATAACAATGTGAGAAATACTCCGTCATGGAATTGAGAATCCAAATCTGTCACTTCTAGATGAACTTTACTTAGATGTTTATTCACAAAAGTTACTAAAGACTGGAAAAGATAAATTAAAAAATTAGATTTTTAAATTGAAAATAAATAAATAAATTGTGAAATAAAAATAAAAATAATAACCCTTTTGACGACGGCTAATTTTTCAGGAGCCTGATCGAATAAAGTATCGAAGGCATCCCTCTCGCAGCGCATTCCCACATCGTCGTACGTGGACGTGATCTCTTCTTTCACGGTTCTATGAGTTAATTGTCCATCCATCTTTTTTACAACAACAACATAAACGACAACTCGTTCCGGCAGTCTAATGGGCGCCCGAAATTGTCGAGCCAAGCCAACCAGCAAATGTAAAATGGAGACAATGTTCTTGGAATGCACTGACTCGACGCTCCATTTATAAGGCGGATAACGTCCTAGAACGTGATTAGCAGCGTGAAGTACAACTTCCAATTTTTGCTTTTGACCCTCCTCGGATTGAGTCACTTCCGGAACGTCAAGTTTTCGTCCTGTTAATTTCTCTAGAAACACAAGAATCATTTCAGTTGATATTTTTAGATAATAATAAAAAAGAAACAAAAATCCATTTTTATACCTAAAAGTTTTTGGAGTACTTGACCATCATATAAATCTTCGGCAATATTTTTCACAATAATTCTCTGATTAGCTAATTCATCGTTAATCCAATCAATTAGAATAGTAACAAGCTCAAGTACTTTTGGATCCTCAAGGGATTTTGGTTCTATCATCGAACGTTCCTCATTTTCTTCTAAATTATATTCTTCAGGTGGTAAATCAGGATTTGCGGCACATCCTGGCGAATCGATGGCATATTTCCCCTCTTCTTGCACCTCTTGAACTAACATGCAAAATTATTATTATTATTTGTCGATTAACATTTAAAAAAATATAAAACTAGAAAAGTATGTAAGGGACATTTCATTTCAAACAATTTTTTTTCTACTTATCCCATTAAATGTCCATAATATATCATACGGAAATGGAAACTAGAAAAGTTTGCAGCTTTATTTTTATAAAAAGTTCGAACCGGTGAAACTATTAATTCAAAATACGGACCATTTACGGACCGATTACTGACAAAAATATAAGCAGTCCGTGTCAAATAAGAAAACATTTTACTTAAAACTATAAATTAAATTTGTCAACAATAAAACATCAGTCCGAGTCAAATAAGAAAACATTTTACTTGAAACTAAAAATTAAATTTTCCAACAATAAAATATGAAGAAATTGATAACTCCGAGTCTTCGACTCGGAGTGATCAATTTCTTCATGTTTTATAATTAATAAAAGATGGCAAATTGATAAAATCATTATTTTATATTATAAGAAAATTGTACTTCTTCAAAATTATTTTCATCATTTCAATTCAATTATTATTTTCAAGAATTTTTAACTAAAGTTCTTCTTTAAATCAATTAATTTTCGAGAAAGTTCTCTGACAATTTTCAAATCCATTTGTTTACAATATTCAATTTAACGAATTTCAATTATTCGTAAATTCTTCAATTAAATATATATTAGAAAATAATACAAAATAATTCAATTAAACATTTTCAAAAAAAATTAATTTCAAAATTTAATTATTTCTAAAAATTTACACTATATTGCTTTTAATATTCAATTACATATATAATCTAAAATTTTAACTGAAATTCATTTTTATGAAATGAAAATCAATTTTTATTAGAAAATTCTACTAGAATTCAATTATTTAAATACAAAAATAAATAATTTTTTGAATAATTGAATATTTCTTAAAATTCAATTCCCATAAATAATGTTATCAACCAATTTTTAAATAATTGAATTCTTTCAATGAATTTTAATTAAATTTTTAGGAATAATTACATTTTTCGAGAATTTCAATTAAAATTGTATTAAAAATAATTGAAATTCTGCGATGAGTTTTATTATTTGCGAAAATAATTGAATCCCTAAAAAGAATTTCATTATTTTGAACAATATTTAACTGTTGCAAAGAATATTTTTACTTTTGAAAATAATTGAATTTCTGCAATAATTTGTAACTTTTCCAAATTAAATTTTTTTTTCGTGTTTTTAACTAAAAATTCTTTAATAAATGAATTATTTTTAATAATTTTTGAAAAAGTTCTTTGAGAATTTTCAAATTCATTTGTTTACAATTCAATTTTACAAAAAATCTCAATTATTATTTAATTGCAAAGATAAACAATTTATTTAATAATTGAATGTTTCTTAAAATTCAATTTTCATAAAGAATTTTATCAAATTTTTAAATAATTGATTTTTTTTGGACAAATTGTAATAAAATTTTGAAGAATAATTACATTTTTCGAGAAATTTGTTTAAAATTTTATTAAAAATAATTGAAATTCTGCGTTCAGTTTTATTATTTGTGAAAATAATTGAATTTCTAGAAAAAAATTCTATTATTTATGAAAATAATATGAATTATTGCGAAGAAGTTTATAAAAAGTTTATAAATAATTGAATTCCTCTGAAATTTTTATTATTTATAAAAATAAGTAAATGTTTGCGTAGAATTTTATTAAAAATTTTTCGAAATAATTGAATTCTTTTGGAAAATTGTATTAAAATAATCTTATATTGAAATTCATTGAATTGAAGAACATTTTTTAAAGTAATTGAAATTTTGTCAAGAATTTTATTAAAATTTTTGAAAATAATTGAATTTCGAAGAATAATTTTATTTTTTATAAAGATAAATTTGAAATTTTGTCGAGAATTTTATTAAAATTTTTGAAAATAATTGAATTTCGGAGAAGAATTTAATTATTTCTAAAGATAATTGCAATTTTGTTGAGAATTAAAAAAAATATTTCTGATCATAATTGAACTTCTGCGAAGAAGAATTTTATTACTTTGAAAATAATTGACAAACTTTTTGTCCTTTTTCAATCAAATTACGGACTTTACAGAGCTTTTTTCAAAAATAGAAAGTTCATCAAATTCTCTGTCGAATCAGTGTATAATATATTATAAATAATAAAATTTTTATATAATAAAAGTTATTAGAAAATCGGTCTTCTTACGATTGTTTTTTGTTGTTTAAACTGTTTGAAATGGAATGCCCCATAAGCATAAATAAAAATTTTAATTACAAGCTATAAAACAATTGACAACAATCAAATAATATTAATAATAAAAACATTGATTAGAACTGAGGTCATCTAATATCAGATTCGTATTAATAAATATATAATGTTCTCAACACAATTGGGTTGAGTCCTTATAAGGAAATCATCTGATTCCATAACACCCACGAAAAATTTAATAAATTATGAAAATTTAAAAAATAAAAACTTTAATATTTGTTCTTTATCTCTTACCTTCCTTAATACGTTTCTTGCGTCCCAGTGTGCCAATTTTATCCCAAAAACTTTCTTCCTTTTCGTCTTTTTTGGCCGAAATAGGTGGACGAGGTGATTTTGGTCGAGGAGAAGCCATGATTATGTTTATTTATATGGGAAACTGTGGGGAAACTTAAGGAATAACGTCATCAGCAAATCAGACATTGAACGTCATTGTCGAAAACATTTATAGGTTAAGTCACTTTATACCACTTTTTATGTTTTTTATAAAGCACAAATTTTTTAAGAATTTTAATAAAACATTTTTGTTCTTTAAAAACAAATTTTTTTTTAAATAAATAAAATAATAGAATGATAATTTCTTGTTGACACTATAAAATTTAATTGTTACATTCCTGGTGAATGTCAAAGAAGGAAACGTCGAATTCGAACCACTTTCAAACAATGAAAAGTAGATTCAATAAATAATATTAAATAAAGATGAATAAATAATTATTTCTTAAATAAATTACCAAAATAGATACAATAATAGTATTTTCAATTAAAATTTCTTTATTTTAAATAGAGGCAGATTCTTTAATTTTTTAAGATAGATGACACGGAACACAAGGAACGTTGGACTTGAATTCGTAATCAGATGGTTCGCCAGACAGTGCGAAATAACGGAATGAACGGAATGTAATAACAATTTTTAGGTTAGGGTTGAAGTATGTACAAAAGTTTTGTTTATGTATTAAAAAGGAAATAAATTATTTAAAAATGTCAATTTTTGTACGTCTTTGTGAAAAAAACATTTTTTCTACAATAAAAAAACCTACACCTCTTTGTGCCACATATGTGGCAGAATCACAAGCACCACGAGATTCTGGTAAAAAAGATTCCGGTAAGTCTTTATTTAATTTCTTTACATTAATAATAACAGTTAGTTATAATAGCTAATTTCAGCCTTAATAGCCCACATTTCCTTTTAAAACATACTTCCTACCTATTTCTCCTCATTTCTAAATTTTATTTTCATATATTTTTAGCTTAATAATAAAAATATTAATTATTTACAGGCATCACAGTTGGTCCCCTTTTGTCCCCTTATTTCAATTTTATCATCTTTTTCACCTTTTTCCCCTTAATTAACATTCAAATAATTAATATATTATTATTAATAGTTTTTTCTAGAAAAAACAAAAATTCTAATACAAAACCTTTAATTTTTCCATTTCTGACAATAATTTCTTTTTAAATAACTTAATTCTTATAGAAGTTAGAGTTTCAATTATTTTCGTAAATAATAAAATTCTTTTTAGAAATTCAATTATTTTCATAAATAATAACACTCATTGCAGAATTTCAATTTTAATCGAATTCCTAGAAAAATGTAATTATTCTTAAAAATTCTATTAAAATTCGTCAAAAGAATTTAATGATTTAAAAATTTATTGATAAAATGAAGATCAAATTCTTTATGAGAATTCAATTTTGAAAAACATTCAATTATTCAATTAATTATTTATTTTTGTATTTAATTGATTGTAAAATAAGGAAAGAATGAAATAAATAATTGAATTCTCGTGAAATTTTCTAATATTGATTAAAAAATGTATTTCAGTTAAAATTTTAGATAATAATTGAATATTAAAAGCAATATAGATTTGAAAATTCGCAAAGAAGTATTTCAAAAATTATTAAAAATAATGCATTTATAGAAGAATTTTAGTTAAAAACACGAAAAAAAAATTTTTATTGTGACAAAATTACAAATTATTGTAATTTATTAATTTTAATAAAATTCTTTGCAAAATTTTAATTATTTGCAAAAATTTTCCTAAATTTAATAATATTCAATATCTACTATTTTAATTATATTTTCCAAAAGAATTCAATTATTTTTAAAAAATTTTTATTAAAATTCTACGCAAACGTTTAATTATTTTCATAAATAATAAAATAATTTCACAGGAATTCTACTATTTACAAATCTTTTATTAATTTCTTCGCAATAATTCTATTATTTTCATAAATAATCCAACTCATCGCAGAATTTCAATTATTTTTAATAAAATTTTAATCGAATACTTTGAAAAATGTTATTATATTTTAAAAAAATTTATTTAAATTTCGTCAAAAGAATTTCATGATTTAAAAATATGTTGATAAAATTCTTTATGGGTATTTAATATTAAAAACATTCAGACAAGATTATTTTAAAAAATTGAAAAAATTCTTTGTTTAATTAAATTATTTTCCAAATTTTTAATTAAAATTATTAAAAAAAACATTATTTTCAAAAAAATTTAAAGAAACTTGTCAAAAGATTTTAATTATTCATAAAAACTCTAATAAAAAATTTGGAAGCCATTTGTAGATTTATTTGTGTTCAAAATCAAAAAAATTTAAATTTTGATCAGAAAAGAAAACCGGGAAATAACCTGAAATTTGGTGGAACGAAAATAGTAGACACACCCTGTCAATTATTTACAAAATTTTTAATAAATTTCTTCGAAATAATTCAATTATTTTCATAGGTAATAAAATTTTCACTGTAATTCGATTATTTAAAAAAAAATTTAACAAAGTTTATTTCAAAAATTCAATTATTTTTATAAATAACAAAATTCTTCACCGAAATTCAATTATTTTTAGAAACTTGAATAAAAAATTCGTTCCAAGAATTCAATTCTTTATATAAATAATAAAATATCTTCACAGAAATTCAGTTATTTTTTATAAACTGGAATAAAATTCTTTGGAAGAATTAAATTATTTTCAAAAGTAATAAAATTCTTCGCAGAAATTCAGTTATGTTCAAAAGTTAAAAAAAAATTCTCGTCAAAATTTCAAGTATTTTTATAAATAATAAAATTCTTCTACGAAATTCATTTATTTTAGAAAATTTTAATAAAATTCTTGGGAAAATTTGAATTATTTTCATAAATAATAAAACTCATCGCAGGATTATCACTTGGTCGACTTTAATTATAATAAAACAGGAAGAAAGTGATCACTCCGAGTCGAAGACTCGGAATGATCAATTTCTTCACGTTTTATAATAATATTCTCATAAATTGTTGAATTTCAAAAAGATTTGAATTTGAATGTTTTTTAAAATCTTAATTTCTATGGAAAAATAATAATGATATTATTTTTTAAAAAAAAGAAGTTATTGCTGTTTTTGAATAATTTTACAGTTGAAGAAATTCGTAAATAAATGCAATAGAACTTTTTTTTTTAGTATCTAATCATTTTCAGAGTGAATCGCAGAATATTCTTTAGGGAAAATAAATAAATATTTATGCTCAGGTTATTGAATCTTTCAACGTTATTTATTTTTTCAGATGGTTTTCGAATTTTAATGTTGAAGCCGGAAAAAGCTGAGAAAAGAGAAAGAACGGAATTAAAATTTAAAATCTTACCGCCAAGAGAAACAAGAATGAAAGTTGATCAAGATTGGCCGTCAGTTTGGCCTGGACCAAGAACTTTTCATCCAGCAACTGTACCACTTCCCATTAGACAAGGATATCCTTTGAGAAATCAAGCACCATTTGGTAAATACGCCAATGCTGAGTTAATGAAAATTCCTAATTTCTTACATCTCACACCACCGGCCGTACGAAGACATTGTGAAGCAATTAAAAAGTTTTGCACCAAATGGCCAGTGGGTTTGGAAACCGAAGAAAAATGTACTAAACACTTTCCCATGGAAGTAATTACAAGCGATTACGTTTTCTCCTCGCCCACAATACGTGAACCTTTAGCCAGAATTGTGAGCTTGAGAGTAAAAGTATCGAGTCTCACTTTAGACAGACATGCTAAAGATAAACTTCTTAGATTAGTAAAGGATAAATACGATCCTGAGACTGATTACATTACAATCACGACAGATCGATGTCCAATGAAGAAGCAAAACATGGACTATGTTCAATATCTTATTACTGCTTTATATCATGAATCTTGGGTAAATTTCTTTTTCTTTCATTTCAGAGAAAGTTCTCCTTGATTTATTTATTTTTCATTTTCTTTTCTTTTCTTTTGTTTACAGAAAGTGGAACCTTGGGAAGCGGAAAAAAGTGAAGCTGACATGGAATATTACGACTGGGACACAAACAAAAGTCGTGAAAACTTAATCAGTCTTCTTTGTTGGCCTGAGCCACCAAAAGATATTGACTATCAAACTGTTCCTCACGCTGTAGAATATAAAATGGCAGTTACGGATCTTATAAATAACGGGGAAGACGAACATTCTGTAGATAAATACAAAGAAGCTGTCAAGAATTTGTTGAACTTAAAATAAGTTTTTTAAATAAATAAGTTATGTACATAAAAATTCTATAAATAATTTTTTAACATAACATTTATTTCTTTCCTTTTTTTTTGAAGGGGAAAAATTATAAAACATGACAAACAGTCTGGGCTCGAAATAGGTCCGTAAATTTGCTTGAAGTTGGTAAAAGTCCGTTTTTTTGAAAAAAGGTCCGTAAAATCTGTAATTTGCTTGAGAAAAGACGAAAAGTTCGTAAATTGTTAGGATATAATTTGAAGAATTGTAGAGAAATTACAAACGATATCAGAAATTCAATTATATTGAAAAATAATAAAATTCTTCGAAGAAATTCAATTATGTTAAAAAATTTCAGTTATCTTTATAAAAAATAAAATTCTTCTTCGAAATTCAATTATTTTCAAAATTTTTATTAAAATTCTTGGCAAAATTTCAATTATTTTCAAAAAATTTTCTTGACTTTAATGATTTTCAATATCTAATATTTTAATAAAATTTCTCCAAAGAATTCAATTATTTAAAACAAATTTTGTTAAAATTCTACGGAAACATTTAATTTATTATTTTCATAAATAATAAAAATTCACAAGAATTCAATTATTTACTGAAATAAAAAATTTCAATTGTCTTTAGAAATAATTAAATTCTTCTCCGAAATCCAATTATTTTCAAAAATGTTAATAAAATTCTCGACAAAATTTCAATTATTTTTAATAAAATTTGAAACAAATTTCTCCAAAATTATAATTAATCTTAAAAATTTTATTACAATTCGTCAAAAGAATTCAATTACTAACATTACATTTGCCTCAATATCTCAGAACGAGAAAGAGCTAAAGGCCTCAATTTTTTTTTAAATTGTAGGTCTCCCCGGGGGACATAAAATGAGAGTATTTTCAGCCTGATTCATAAAGCTTAACTATATTTTTTTTGCATTTTTCATTCTGTAAAAAAACGTTTTTTGGCCTTAACTTAAAAAAAATGTTAGGACACCTATAAATGTTTTTCTTTAGTTTTGTAGAGTTTTTTCAGACGCATCTTTTGAGCCCTAATTGAACATTTTTCGTCTATATTAGCCGGAGATATTAAAGTTTTAAAAATCTAAATTTTTCGAAAATAACACTTTTTTGAAAATTTTGTTGAAAAATATAAAAGTAACTTTAAAAGTATTATTACCAACTTGTAGAGCATTAAAAAAGGCTTCGATTGACCTATTTTTGAACCTGATTCGGTCAGAAATTATCAAATTATTGGTATTTGAAAAATCAAAAATTGTGGAAAATAACATTTTTTCAACATTCTTGTTTATTAACTTATACGTGTAATTATTAAACTATTATAACCATCTTATAGAATATATATAAAAACATATTTTTTGGACCAAGATTTAATGATTTTTAACTCTCTTATAAAAATTAATTCTTATAATTTCAATTATTATTATTTCTATGAGGAAGCAAAGTGTTCATGAAATGAACACCAAAATTATAAAAATGTACAACTTGGCAGCGGTTTTTTATAAAATTGAATTGTAAACAAATAAATTTGAAAATTCTTAAAGAACTTTTTCGAAATAATGGATTTAGAGAAATTTAGTTAAAAACAAAAACAAAAAAATTTTATTTTGGAGAAGTTACAAAAAAGAACTTTTTCGAAATAATGGATTTGAAGAAATTTAGTTGAAAACAAAAACAAAAAAATTTTATTTTTGAGAAGTTACAAAATTATTGGAGAAATTCAATTATATGTTGAAAAATATTAAAATTCTATATGAGAATTGAATTTTAACAAACATTCAATTATTCAATAAATTATCTATTTTTGTTTTTAAATAATTGAATTTTAGTAGAATTTTTTATTAAAAATTGATTTGAAAATGAATTTCAGTTAAAATTTTAGATAATAATTGAACATTAAAAGGATTTTAGCGTGAATTTTTAGAAATAATCGACTTTTGAAAAGGTTTTATATTAAAATCTTTGAAGATTTTAATTTTTTATACTTTTAACTCATACAATTCTGTGGAAGAATTAATTTTTTTGAAAAAGCTTATTTCAATTTTACTTGAAATTATTTTTTTGAAGTTGTTTTTTTTTAATAATATATTTAATTGATGAATTTCCGAATAATTCAAGTTTTGTAAAATTGAATTGTAACCAAATGAATTTGTCAATTCTCAAAGAACTTTTTCAAAAATTATTAAAAATAATTCATTTATAGAAGAATTTTAGTTAAAAACACTAAAAAAATATTATTTTGGAGAAATTACAAATTATTGCAGAAATTCAATTATTTTTATAAATAATAAAACTCATCGCAGAATTCCAATTATTTTTAATACAATTTTATTCGAATCTCTCGAAAAATGTAGTATAATATTATTCTTAAAAATTTCATTAAAATTTGTCAAAAGAATTCAATTTTTAAAAAAAATTAGTTAATAAAACTTTTTATGGGAATTGAATTTTAAGAAATATTCAATTATTCAATTAATTGTTTTTTTTTGTAATTAAATAATTGAATTATACTTGAATTTTCTAATAAAAATTTATTTAAAAATTAATTTCACTTAAAATTTTAGATAATAATAATTGTATATTTAAAGCATTAGAGAGTGAATTTTTCGAAATAATTAAATTTTGAAAAGGTTTTAAATTAAAATCTTTGAAAAAATGTATTTTCCATATTTTTAACTAACATTTCTGTGGAATTAATTTTTTTTTTAAAAGTTTAATTGCGGATTTTTTTTTTTTTTGAAATTATATATAAAGATTTTATTTTCTAATATACTTTTAAGTGGAGAATTTACAAATAATTGAAACTCTGTAAAATTGAATTGTAAACAAATGAATTTGAAAATTTTCAAAGAAATTTTTTTAAAAATGATTAAAAATAATGCAATTATAGAAGAATTTTAGTTAAACACACGAAAAAAAAAATTTTATTTGGAAAAGTTACAAATTATTGCAGAAATTCAATCATTTTCAAGAGTAATAAGGGATCATCCATAAATAACGTTACACTGATTTTCGGGTTTTTTGACCCCCACCCCCCCTTCGTTGCATTTGGTTGCAAATTACCAACACCCCCCCTAAATATAACGTTGCAAAAATGACTTATACCCCCAAAAATAAGAATTATATTATTTTTCTGGATTAATGAAGTAATTTTTCTTATTTCTCATATTATTATTATTTATTAAAATTAACTCTGATAATGATTTACACAACAAGAATAATTTATAATAATATATAACATTTTGCAACGTTACATTTCAAAATCACCCACCTCCCCCCTTGTTGCAATCAGTTGCATTTTTCAACCACCCCCCCCTCCCCTAATCGTGTAACGTTATTTATGGATGCTCCCTAATATTCTTCGCAAAAATTAAATATTCTTCAAAAATAATAAAATTCTTTTTAGGGATTCGATTATTTTCGGAAATAATAAAACTCATCGCAGAATTTCAATTATTTTTAATACAACTTTAATCAATTTTTTCGAAAAATGTAATTATTCTTCAAAATTTTGTTAAAATTCGTCAAAAGAATTCAATTATTTAGAAAGTTTTTTGATAAAATTCTTTATGAGAATTCAATTTTAATAAACATTTAATTATTCAATAAATTATTTATTTTGTATTTAAATAATTGAATTGCAGTTGAATTTTCTAATAAAAATTGATTTGAAAATGAATTTCAGTGAAAATTTTAGATAATAATTATTGAATATTAAAATCAATATAGCGTGAATTTTTAAAAATAATTGAATTTTGAAATTAATTTTTTTGAAAACGTTTATATGAATTTTGTTTATATTATTTAAAGTTTTTATTTTCTAATATATATTTAATTGAAGAATTACTGAATAATTGAAATTTCGTAAAATTGAATATTATAAACAAATGGATTTGAAAATTGTCAAAGAGTTTTTTCGAAAATTATTAAAAATAATTGATTTAAAGAAGAATTTTAGTTAAAAATTCTTGAAAATAATAATTGAATTGATAATGACTAACCAGTCATATTTTTGTCTGTAATTGGTCCGTAAAGTCCGTATTTTTAAATACTTTCACTGGCTCGAACCCTGCAAACATTACATTTATATATTTGTATAATAAATGAGATTGGTCGCTAATTGATTTTATGATTAATCTAATATTCATTTTTAATAGAATTATTTTTCGTTACAATGAAAGCACACAAATGATGATAAATTCAAAAGTAATTTTGAATTCAAATCCATGACGAAACTTACTGGAGCATTGACAATAAATGACAAACACGCAATATATTTTAGTATAAAAGTAAATGGAATTTTGAATACGAATTGTAGTGTTTTGCTTATTTTCGTGAGTTTGGTGTGTTTCTCTTTGTACAATGGACAGCGATAAATATTTATATTTTTTGGACAATGATCAATGTTCGTAAATTTGTTTTTATTGTAAGTATTTTTTTTTTTAAATTAAAAATATTGATGAATGTAATTGAAATCATTTTTTGATTAATTTAATAATTAAATAAAAAAAGTAATATTAGTAGTAAAGAAGAATATTCATTAATTTTTTTTTAACTATTTAGAAAATTATATTCTGGGCAATTATACTGATGGATTATAGGATCGAGAAGATATTTGGAAAAACGCCACCCAGTTTGTATTTGCCGAATTTATCGGAAAATAATAAACTGCATCCAATTACCATTCCCATTGTACCAAATTGCAAAAATACGAATTTTCTCAATCAGCCCTACCTTTGTAAATTCGTAAATCAATTTAAAAAAGTTCCTCCAGTTACTAGTAATTCTATTTTCTCACCTCAAGATTATTTAACTGATAAACCAACAAATCGACAAGGGAGAAGCTATTATGGTTCTTATGGACATGGAGCACCGTCAGCTCCAACTTTTTATCCGTTAGTAATTTAATTTTTGTTCATAACAATTTTTTTTATTTATTTTTTTTATTTTCTCTATGTCATTGTATTATTATTAATGATATGAATCTAATTAATAATAATTTTTGAAGTTCAACTATTTTCAGAACTTTCGATCCAATTAGCGTACTCGCCTCACTCGCATTCTTGGCTTTTCTATTGCAATCTTTTGCATCATTATTCGACAGATCAAGATCAATTATTCCAACAATTATTAGCAGCCGAAGACATTCTTCATCAGAAGTTGACGAGGACGTTGAGGAGCGTGTAATGCGAGCTCTTAATGAATATGTACGATTATATATTTAATTATTTTATTATTTATTAATCAGGTTTGCCACAAAAAATTAATTTTCTTTTTCCCTGATTTCCAGACAAAATTTTGACTGATTCACCCTGACCCAAAAGAATATTCTGATTCTCAAATTTAAACCTTTTGAAATTCGCTATCTTCATGTTTTATAATAATTTAAATTTCTATAAAATTTTTCAAAAAAAAAAAAAAAATTTTATTATTTAGAAAAATTTTAATAAAATCCTTGGCAAAAATTCAATTTAAAAAAAGACTTATTTTTATAAGTATTAAAATTTTTCACATCAATTCAATTATTTGAAAAAATGTAATAAAATTCGTTGTAAGAATTCAATTATTATCATAAATAATAAAATTTTTCCTATAAGATTTAAATTATTTTCAATACAATTTTAAATGAATTCCTCGAAAAATGTAATTATTTTCAAACATTTTTTGCAAGAATTCAATTACATTTCACAAATAATGAAATTCTTCGTTGAAATTCAAAAATAGTTTCAAAATCTACTATTTTAATAAAATTTCTCAAAAGAATTCAATTATTTTCATAAATAATAAAATTCTTCACAGGATTTCAATTATTTAAAAAAAAATGTAATAAAATTCGTTGCAGGAATTTAATTATTTCCATAAAAAATAAAATTCTTTGCAAGAATTTAATTATTTTCATAATTAATAAAATTCTTCACAGGATTTCAATTATTTTTAAAAAATGTAATAAAATTCGTTGCAAGAATTTAATAGTTTTTCTAAATACATACTAAAATTCTTCACAGGATTTCAATTATTTAAAAAAAAATGAAATTATTGAATTCAATTATTTTTAAAAGTAATAAAATTCAATTAATTTCAAAAATTTTTCTAAATTCAATAATTTCTATATCTATTATTTTAATAAACTTTCCCAAAAGAATTCAATTATTTAAAAACAATTTTTACAAATTTCTAGACGAATTTTCAAATATTTTCTAAAATAATTAATATTTCACAGGAATTCAATAAATAAAAATAGATTTTGCATAATTTCTTTTAAAAAAATCAATTTTTCGAAACTTTTTTATAAAATTCTTCGCAATAATTTAATTATTTTCCTAAATAATAAAATTCTTCTCAGGATTTCAATTATTTTTAATACAATTTTAAGTAAATTCTTCGAAAGATGTAATTAAATTTAAAATTTGTATTAAAATTCTTCGAATGAAATAAATGAACAATTATCAATTATACTTTTAATTTTTTATCTGAAATGCATTTTTAAAACAATTTTTATTAGAAAATTCTACGAGAATTCAATTATTTTAATACAAAAATGAAACAATTATTAAGTAAATGAATTTTTTTTAAAATTAAATTTTCATAAAGAATTTTATCAATAAATTTTTAAATAATCGAATTTTAATAAAATTTTCAAGAAGAATTACATTTTTCAAAGAATTTGGTTCAAATTGTATTAAAAATAATTGAAATTCTATGAAGAGTTTTATTATTCATGAAAATAATTGAATTTTTGTAAAAAATTTTATTATTTATGAAAATAATTGAATTATTTATTTATTTATTTATTTGTTTATACACCCGTCTTCAGCTTATCTAGCTATACAAGTGTGTTACATGAAAATAATTTGTAAATAATTCAATTCCTGTGAAATTTTTATTATTTATGAAAATAATTAAATGTTTGCGTAGAATTTTATTAAACTTTTTTTCAACTAATTGAATGCTTTCAGGAATTTTTATTAAAGTAGTGAATATTAAAAATCATTGAATTGAGAAAAGTTTTTGAAAATAATTGAATTTCTGAGAAAAATTTTACTACTTTTGTAAATAATTGAATTTCTGCAATCATTTGTAATATTGCTTCAAAATTCAATTTGTTTTAGTGTTTTTAACTAAAATTCTTCTATAAATCCATGATTTTTAATAATTAATTAAATATATATTAAAAAAAAAAAAATTAATTACGAATCCTACAAATTTAATTTTTTTCATTACTTTTAATAAAAAACCCTGAATTTTCCCTGATTTCCCTGACCAATTCTACTTTCCCTGGCTTTTCTCTGATTTTCCTGACCTGCGGCAACCCTGATTATTCAGATCAAGTTAATTAAAAAAAGAATAGAAAATTTTATTGCGATTATTAAAAGTCTTCTACTATAAGTTGATTTTCTTAAATATTTCATACTAAAAGTTTTTCTTTTTCATAAATTTTCAGTCAGCCTTGGAAAATAATTTATTCAATCAAAGAGAAGAGACGACAACGAAATTCAAACCTTCTGCAAAACGATGAAATTATTCAAACTATTTGAAAAAATTGTATAAATATTTTATTAATGTACTAAAAATATTACAAAAACATTAATATCAAATTATTGCTTATTTTACGCTTAAAATTGAACCGCTAAAATAATCATAATGCGATCCTTATATATATATTTATTTTTTATTTATAAGCGTAACGTTTGCAATTTTTATTCTTTTTTCATTAAAAAAAAAAAATACTGGAATAAAATTCAAACAACTCATTAGATGTGAGAATGTCAGTAAAAATGGTGAATCTTAATCACCGGACATTGATTTCAAATCAATGTTGTTTTAACTTAAGATAAATTATTATTATTACACGACATTATTTTTTTTTATAGATATTAACAAAATTTCTTTAAAAATTTCAAAAGTGACAATTAATTTCTCAGTCAATTCGTGCCTTTTCAATTTCAATTATAAATACTGTTGTTAACTCTAAAATGTCTAAAACTAAAATCAATAGAAATTGTTATATAAAAAAATATAGTAAAAAATTGCTAAAACTTCTATAGTATTTGCTTCTATTTATTCCTCAGAATATCTCTTGAAATTCATTTTTCTTAAAAAGATTACTCATTTTTGATTCATTCTGAAATTGTTAATCTGTTTTTTCTAAAATGCACATCAGACGATATTCTTACCGTTTAGGAAAAATTTTTTGTCCTCTACTTATAAAATTGAAAAAAAGTTTCAAATATGTTTTGAATTTTTTATGTTTCGATGGGGGAGCAGATTTTTTTCCAAAATAAATCAAAAATGAGGATGTGACAAGTGTATTGCTTAAATCACTGGAGAATTGTTGCAGCTTAAGTGCATTTTATTTCTCACAATTATAGTCTTCATGACCTTATATCTGATTTTAATATATACAATACATCTTATCTTGTACGCATAAAATAAATCAATAATTAAAAAAAATCACTAGACTTGCTCAAACTACCAGGGAACCCTAGACAAAGGTAATGCTGGAGTAGATCTGCAAGTTAACAATCAAGTTAGCTTCTAGGGGGTCACACACATTATAGTAGAACAAAATTCCGATTTACTCGTTTTTTTTTCTTTGCTGAGCTATTGTAATTAAAATTCAGAAATGAATATTCAGATTTCTCTCTTGACAACTTACTTCGGCTTGACGATATTTTTCTGGTAAGGATGATGCGAAGAAGTAAGAGCTCGCCTTTCCTTTCCTCTGACGACCTTGAGTGTTGCGTCCGACTGATCATTGCTGGCGAAATTACTGCTCGATGATGATGGTGGTGGTGGTAGTGTTTTTAATTTGTCACTTTTGAGTTTATTTAAAATAGCGATACTTTTTGCGCTCATGAATAATTGATGTTTAGGCGCTTCCTTATTATTATTCTCCTTGCCTGAGATATTATTCGTATTTTGGATAACTTTATTTTTCGGTGATATTTTCCTGATGAATTTCGGTGGTGTTCGACCTGGACCAGTATTTTTGTCGTGGAGAATACGTTTACGGAATTTTGGCTCTTGAAGATTAATTGTACTGTTGAGTTTGCTGACGTCAATGGTCCTGTTACTGGCCTCGGCTTCTGTGTCTAATGTATTTGTGGAGAGAGATTCTTCTAGAGTAACAGTCAAATTATGAGGTTCGATAGTCGCCGTAATGCCAGAGGGTGTACAGTCTACTGACTCTTGTGATTGTTGCTCTTGTTCGTCGAGAGCTGTGGGTTGGAAAATTGGCATTTCACCGGTTAAAGGATTGTCCAAGATGTCGAGAATTGTCATACTGTAAAAATCTTCTTCCGCCGTTGTTGATTCTAAATCAGACCATTTTATATTGCGAACGCCCTCTAATGATTTAATGAGTTGTTTAAATTCGATTTTCATCTTCTCGTTCACGGCTCCGTAGCCCCTCATCATGTTGTAGTATGTTTGTACTGTTGAACTCAACATTTTGATTATGGTTAAATCAGAGTGCATTTCGCATTGCTCGAGACTATTGATACGCTTGCCATGCTCGCATTGTTGTTGCAATCTTATTCTTTCGACTTCCATTTGTAACAGAGACGTCTTCTCCCTCAACTTCTCGGTGAGATCTTTGGATTTGATCTCAAGTTCGAGAATTTGTAATTCATTTTCAACCTGAAAAGAAAAGAGAGAAAAGAAAATTTAGTGAAATTGAAAAATATAGAATTATTAATTATAATAATCGTCTTATTCTTTCTTTCATTCTGTCCACACTATAAAGTTAGTTTTTGTATATACTTTTGATTTTTTTTCTTTAAAAAATATTGTTTGACAGATCAAAAAAATGCAGGTATTTTTTCATGATTTATAATAAAACAATATTTGAAATTAGAAAATATAAAAAAATTATGATTAACAAATAAATTTTGTTTATTATTTGCTTTTTTCTATAACAAACTTCGTTTAATCTAAATTATGTACCTAAATTTTTCATGCTCCTAAAGTTCTGAACGTTCAAATGAACAAAATTTATTTATTTCTTCTTCGAATTAAAATTTTATTATAATAATATTGTCACTTAGCTTCAAAATATTAATTTTTACTTTTCAAATATTTAATTCATACTTTTAATTTTAATTGTAATCGCAGTAATTGTTGAAAATATTGGTAATGAAAAAATATTTCGTTCATTTGAACGTTCAGAACTTTAGGAACATAATTTTTCTCCTTTTTATTTATAAAAAATAGAAAATTGTTAATTTTTATAAAAAATTATAATTAAGAAATAGGAAATATTTTGTGCATATATTTATATTTCTCAATAACAATATTGTTCAGAAACAAATTCTTTTCTTTTGGAAAAGAAACATTGCATATATTCTATTTTATTTGTCAATTACAAATTTTAATTGAAAATTAAAAAAAAAAGTAGAAAAAAGTAAAAAAACTTTTTAAATTTTTAGAAAATAGAGAAAAAATTTAACTCAAAAAAAATGTTCTTTTACATTTAATTGCAAATTTCTTTAATTGTAAAAAATTATTCGAAAACATCAATAACTTTTTTTTTAAATAAATATTTAAATATTATTTTCCGTAGGAATTTTTCAAAACATTCAAATTCAAATCTTTTTAAATTCAATAACTTATAAGAATGTTTTATAATAATTAAAGATGGCCGAGTGATAAAATCATTGTTTTATATTATAAGAATATTATTACAGTAACCTTTTCAAAATTATTTTCATCGTTTCAAATCAATTATTATTTTCTACAATTAATTAATAATTATTATTAATTATTAATTATTAATTATTAATTATTTTTTATGAAAATAATTTAATTCCTTAAAAAAATTTTATTATTTATGAAAAATAATTGAATTATTGCGAAGGAATTTATAAAAAAAATTGTAAATAATTGAATTCCTGAGAAATTTTTATTATTTATAAAAATGATTAAATGTTTGCGTACTATTTTTGGGAATTTGAAATTGATTTGAAAATAATTGAACTTTGTGGAAGAATTTTGTTATTTATTAAGATAATAGGAATTTTGACGAAAATTTTTAAAAAATTTGAAAGATAATTAAATTTCATAAGAAGAATTTTATCACTCTTGAAAATAATTGAATTTCTGCAATTATTTGAATTTTTCCAAAATTGGATTTTTTTTAGTGCTTCAACAAAAATTTGAATTAGAAATTTTTAAATTCTATTATTTTTAAAATTGCTAATTTTATGCTAAAAAGTTTGCCGCGAGAATTGGTGCTCGTTTTTAATAATTTTTTAAAAAGTTCTTTGACAATTTTCAAATACATTTGTTCAAAATTCAATTTTACTAAATTTCGATTATTCGGAAATTCTTCAATATTAATTAGGGGCCGTACACATAATACGTCACGCGTCTAGGGGGAGGGAGGGAGGGGGTCTGAGAATTGTGACTAAGTGTGACATGGGGGAGGGGGGGGGGGGGGTGAACTCATGTGTTACGTCACAATCTTTTAAATTCAAAGATTATAAGAAATTATATGTGACAATGTCACTTTTTCTAAATAAAACAAGTTAAAAATGCTTTAAACTATTTAATATCTATTATGTACCTGTTTAACATCTATTGGCATATTATTTATAATATGATGATAAATAATATATTCTCTTAATTTGAATCAGTTAAAAATCATGGTTTTAACTGACAATCAGTAGTGACTTACTTTTTGCTTCTGAATCAGTTAAAAATAACTGAAAAATTATCCACAAAACACCGAAATTTTTCTAAATATTGTATATTAAAGATTTGCTTGCATAATTCGAAAAATTTACTTGCAAAGTTTATTTTAAAATTGTGTAAAGATTTAAATTTCTCACTCCAATAAATGTCTATCGTCAAATTTTCTTAAAAATATAGCTTGAAACTTTCCTGAACATTTGAATTGCATTTTCGACTATACTTTCGTGAAAATTTTCCTGCAAATTTGACTTAAATTTTCAGGAAAGTTTCGCGCTACACATTTATTGAAGTGGGATATTTAAATCTTTACACAATTTTCACTAAACTTTGCATTTAAATATTTCAAAGCTTAATTGCGAGTAAATCTTTAGTAAATTTTTAGGAAAGTTTCGGTGCTATGTATAGGTAGTTAAACGTGACTAATTGAATCAATCAAAAACAATTGTATTGAAACATCAGTTATTTTCAACTAATTGTCAGAAAAAAAATATTACTATTTGAATTAGTGACTGACTTTTTGCTTCTAAATCAGGTATTTTTAACTGCGATTCAATAATATATAGTGTAAGATATAATACAGTCAGGTCCCCATACTGTTAGATTCCAAACTGTTATGTCCTCAGTAGTGTTATGTTTTTGCATAACCTCCAAATTCAGAAGTGTTAGGTGACGTCATGTTACGTCACCAATTTTCAGGGCCGTATTCTTAAGCCCAAAGAAAAGGGGGCATATACTTCTAGGCCAAACTTGAGGTGTATATATTTACGTTCCTGAAAAGTGCGCAGTAGGCATACTTTGAGCACATAACAGAGCTGAGTCTGGAGGAGTGGGAAATTTCTGGAAATGTAACAGTATGGGGACCCGACTGTATATATATTGTCCAATGTATAAAATTTACAGTGAAATTTACGTGTGTGACGTGACGTAGGGGGGAGGGGGGGTTCAAGATTTGTGACGAAGTGTGACATAGGGGGAGGGAGGGGTTAAAAAGGGTCCAAAATCGCGTGACGTATTATGTGTACGGCCCCTTATTAAATATATTTTAGAAAATAAAAACTTCAAATTATTAAAAAAAATATTAAATTCAACATTTTAAAAAAATATTAATTCTTCAAAATTGAAAGTTAAAAGCAGAAAAAATTCAAATTTTCAAATATTTAAATTTGAAACCTTTTCAAAATTATTTCATTATTTAAATACAAAAGTAAATAATTTATTGAATAATTGAATATTTTTAAAATTTAATTCTTATAAAGAATTTTATCAACAAATTTTTAAATAATTGAATTCTTTCGACGAATTTTAATTTAGTTTTTAAGAATAATTTAAATCGAATTCCTCGAAAAATGTAATTACATTTTTCGAGGAATTCGATTAAAATTGTATCAAAAATAATTAAAATCCTGCGATGAGTTTTATTATTTATGAAAATAATTCAAATTTTCCCAAGAATTTTATTAAAATTTTTCTAAAATAATTGAATTTCGTAGAAGAATGTTATTATTTTTAAAAATACTAGAAATTTTGACAAGAATTTTTTTTTAACTTTTGAACATAATTGAATTTCTGCGAAGAATTTTATTACTTTTGAAAATAATTTAATTCTTCCAACGAATTTTATTCAAGTTTATAAAAAAATAACTGAATTTCTGTAAAGATATTTTATTATTTATATAAATAACTAGCCAAACTATCCGCGCGCAAGCGCGCGGGAATGTTTTATGGGGCTGCTTATTTTAAACAATTTAAAAAATTTTAAAGAAATAATTATTATAACCTAACAAAGAGATTTAACTAACTAAAATTTAAATAATTTCACTCAATGGTCTCAATTTAAATAGAATTTACATTACTAGACTTAAACTATGGCTAGAACAATTACAATTAGTATCTGGGTCATCTTTTGCATTGCTTATTTTATAAAGCCATTTTAAATTAAATACTTTTCAAAGAAATAATAATTATTACACAATGAAAAAAGTTTTACTTGAAATAGCGATAAGTTTCTCTAGAATAACGAAAGTATTAATTGAAGCACTGAATAATTTCGCTACCCGTGTAGAAATTGCAATGTGGCACTGGTAGGGCCCGTATAAGTTTTCCCTTTTAATATTAGGGGCCGAATAAGGCAAATTGCTGGGGACCTCACCAGTTTCGTTACGCAAAACGTAATAGGGCCCGATAGTGGAAAATTAATGTGGCCCCAAACAAGGGCCTAACAGGACCCCTATCAAAGCCCTACTAATTACAAATGACCGCCTACTTAAAAAACCCTGGTTTTTATTCATTTTTGACTATTTCTTGTAGTTCCAGGAGGCGTAAATAATTAGGAAGATGAGTAAATAATTATCATAAATTAATATCATAGTTCTAACATTAATTATCATAGCTCCTGGAGGCCCCAATAAAAAACGTAGTTGAAACAACTATAAAAAACAATTAAATTAATTATATAAAGTAGGTAGTAAACTGAAATTATTTATTTATTTATTTATTTATGTTTAATAATTGTTTAATTTCGTTTTCTAACCTTTTTTCCTACGTACTTTTGTTTATTTTACCTCATATATTTAATACAAATACATCTAACAGAGAAAAAATTCCTAAACGCCGGGAATTGAACCCACGACCCTAATATTCGCAAACCGATAATCTAACCACCTAACCACGCTCGCACGCTACAATGACTTCCTTAATACTTGAGGACATTTATGTTCACATTAATTATTAATTTACAAAAAATAATGTCTCTATCAGTAATTAAAACTTGTTACTCAGGGGTTTTTGGAGTCGCTGATTAAGAATCTGATGTTACTTTTTCAAAATTCAAAATGGCGGATCCAGTATGGCGGTCAAAATTCAAATTTGATCAGATTCGCATGAAACTTGTTACTCGGGGGTTTTCGGGGTCGCTGAATAAGAATCTGATGTCACTTTTAAAAATTCAA